TGAAACAAAATTATTTTGTTGTGGACCCTTTGATTGAAGGGTTTGAACTTGCCTGATGACCAATGTTGAATAAGCATCCTACTATCATTACCACTAGTAGTACTTCATTGCGCTAGGCAAACCTTTTTTTTTATTCTTTTTGTTGGAAGGGAAGATGGGTTTAAAATGGAAAAAGAAAATTACAAACAAATTTCAGTTTAAAAAAATTAGAAGAGAAAAATATGAATTCTCACATCTCATAATGAGAGAATAGAGGAATAAGATATAATTTTGTATAATACTATAATACGGTCATGTGGTATAATATGTTCCCGAAGTGGCGGAGCTAGAAGTTCATATGTGAGGTGGCCTTTTACAAAATATTTATAAAAATAATTCAAACTCACAATACATATATAATGACATCTTTAATTTACACTTTTTTTTTCTTTTGGTAATCTACAAATTAATTGAAAGATCCATTGAACTCAATAGAGAATAATTCAAATTTTTACAAACCCTAACAAACCATAGGTAAAGAGAAAACAATAAATAAAAAAATAAGAGAAAGATTAACTATCTTAATTAAGTAAGTCAACCCAATTGAAACTTGATAATTTGGCCCAAAAAAAAATTATAATATATTATATGGAGAATAAGATAATAAATAGCAACAAATCTAGAGAAATGGGTGAAAATAACTCTTATATTTGAAGGACTTGTGTAAAAAATAATAATATGTATACTAAATTTTTAGAAAATTGATCTAAAACATGAAGAAAAAAAAATGTAAACTTGAAGAAAAAAACCCTAGAAATATTAGAAGTATCATAAAAGGTATTAATATATAATATTTTTTAATATAAAAATGAGAAAAGGGGGGAGGGGGGGACTTGGACCACACTGGTCTCTTAGGAGTCATTTGGTACGGTAGACTGTCATGGACTGGACTAAATCCTAGGACTGTCTTGGATGTCTTGGATTAGTTCGGATTGGCCTAAGAGCAGCTCCACTCATTTGCCCTTTGCCATGGCAAGGGGGGAGGGACTAGGGCAGCTACTATGGATGTGAATAGTGGTTGCCCTTGTAAAAAGCAAAGTGTGTTTCCACCCGTTGCCATGGCAACCACTATTCACATAAGATATGAAGAAAGGAATTTGTATAGAGTTTTGATTTGGGAAGTGAAAAATATGACTAAGTATTTATTTTTTATTTTTTTTTTGATTGATTTTGTTTTTTTTTTATTTTTTTTTTTTTTTTTTTTGTTTTGTTGACGTTCAGCAAACCCAAGCTAGACTGAGGGCTGGTTTTGCCTGAGGGCCAACCCAGGCTTGTGGAGCCCACCCACAGCCCGAGCAGCATTTGTCCGCTGGAAAGCCGTTTTGGGCCTAACCCCCCCTTTGCCCAAGCACGCTGGAGTTGCTCTAAGATAGATTAATTACTGAGCTACGTTTGGTACTGCGTCGGACTAAGGAGCTGGATTATAAAAATAGTGAACACTTATGTTTGGTGCTATGTCGGACTAAAAAATAATTCTTATAATATTTAAATTTAATTGGGGTTTTTGACCTAAAAGATAAATAAATGCTACAAAGAACCCCAATTCAAAGATTTATAAAAATATCTGGCAAAAAGAAAGAAAGATTTAAAACAATAATAAAAAGAAAACAAATAAAATTCTGTTTTTTTTTTTAAAATGAAGAATAAATTATTTTTTTTTTTTTTTTTTTTTTTTTTTTTTTTTTCAAGATTAATCTTAGTTGGTCGAAACATTGTTAAAGGAGCTAAGCTCACTCTATATAATTCTAGGTTTTTCAAGGACCAAGTAAAACAATAATTAAAAAAAATTATATACATATATATGTATCATTTTTGTATATTTGACTTTTGACTTCAAACTGAAAAATAGAATTTGACAAGGTAAAAATTGCTTGCGATAAAGAAAGCATCACATCATGAATTATTAAACTTGTTGCAATATCAAAAAAATATCAAACATTTGTAAATTACTATAGTTTGATTTTCCAAATGCAATATCAAAATAATTATTGTAATATTTAAATTTAATCAAGGATTTTTAAAAAAAAATACAAAAAAAAAAAAAAAAAAAAAAAAAAAAAACAATAATATAAAAGAAAATAAAAAAAATAAATAATGATATATTTTTAAAGAGATGCGTTGGACTCACGTGTTCTATTTAGTGAACCACTTTTCAGGCTCTCTATATTAGAAGAGCGAGTAAGGCATTTTTTTCACTATTGGACTATACAGTCTCATTTAAGTTAGTCCCGTCTCTTATTAAATAAGGGTTTCGAATGCTATTTAACTCAGTCCAATTCAATGAGGTGTACCAAACATGGCCTTAGTGATTCCGCCTTTGTGTTCATGTATTATAATAGGGTAATGCTAGACTTATCATATTTTTGTACCACCTCTCTAATAGAGGTGACGCTCACCAATACAATATGACCCACCTCTATTAGAGAGGTGGTACAATGTGGTATGAAAAATATGATAAGCTTAGTATTTTTCATTATAATATAGAAAGATGACATAAAACATTTGTAGATGAAGTGATCACCATCGATCCTCGAAATATACTTCTCTATATTGAAAAAAATTCATTATCACTGGAATTATTGTTGTGTGTGTATTATACGCATTTTATATATTATTTGGAGGATATTGGGTAAAAGTTCATGTGGACAAAGCTAGAAGGAGCTATGATCTTCCTAATCTAATGCTCCTCGAGGGCTTATAGGTACTTTCCAAACTGTTTTGATGTTTTTATTCTTTTTCAAGCTAATAATAGAGCAGGATAAGAATTATAAAGAATTCTCCTGTTGTCGTAATCTAGAAATATGCATATGTAGGTACAGGTGTCCTGCCTGTATTGGATCTGTCATGCATGCTGACAAAGAAAGAATGTTACAGTGGAGCCCACGTGCATCTGCTGCTTCTGCATGGCGACACATTGCGTTCCTTCTCCCATTATTAATTATGTGAAATGAAAACCCATGCGTTTGCTTTGACCTTTAGCAAATAAGTGGATAGACCACCAAACTTTTGTAGATAAACAAAGACATAAACAAATGTAGCCCCTAAAATGCTAACCTAGCAAGCATGGCTCTATTGTTTTATATTCGAAAGAGAGCAACATCCGTTTACGGGGAGACTATAATGAGGAGTTATAGTAAGGGATTCTTTAATATCTATTCGATCAATTTTAGAATTATTATTGGACGGCAAATTTGGACACCCACCCTCAATATAAGCACTTCATTATAAAAGCTCCCGTTTGTTTATGTCTATAAAAATGGTTAGTTCTCAAAAGGCTCTACAATGCAATCAATCACCGCCTTATTTTAGGTTTGATTACTTCTTTTCAAATTGGGGTTTTTCTATGAAAAAAATAAAGAGATATTTAGTTATATACTCATTCTTAGTACTAATGATATAAATCAACCTTACACCATCTAATTTCTATAACCAAACCCAAAAAATACCCAAAAAATGAAAGCTGACCCTATTGAATTTAATTTTGATTATTAAATTACTTTGATGCCCTATTAAGTGTTTTGGATTTTTTATTTATGAGATTTTGGGGTTGAGTTTGTTTTAAGAAATTGATGGCGGTTTTGTAATTTATAAGTTAGAAGCCTCTTTGTTATGTTGTAAATGAGCTTTGGGTGTGTTTCTAAAATTCATTTCATATAAGGTTTTTCTATAATTTGAGCTCTTATATTTGGTATAATACTGAATCTAAAAATAAAAGCAATCGTTTTTTTTAATCTCTCTCTGATAAGATATGCAGACAGGTAAATCTGGTAATTTCATATATCTTTTCTTGATCTAGTGAAAAAGCAACAAAAATAGAATACAATAACAAGTGGAAACAAAGAGCCTTGCAATGGTGGACTGTCGACCAGCAATGGAGCTTCCAAGGCATGAGTCAGATAATTGGAAAGGGAATTGTGAGTGATTGAGTTATATACATGTTGATGTGGAGTGATTTTGGCCATTATTTTTATTTTATTTTATTTATTTTGAGTGGCAAAGATAGATAGGGTTGGGAGGAATTATATAAGAAAATGAAAAGGAGGAATGCTAATGGGTAAAATGGTCATTTTGATTAAATGACAGGACATCTAATAAGTAATGTGATGTGAAATTAAACCATAATTTGCCACATTAAAATTTCATAACATTGACGTTTAATCAAAATTAATAGGTGATATAACATGAAACACGTTTCGGAAAAACATAAATAAACCGACATAAAATATTGATATCCCAACAAGCAAAACAAACACAAAAGGATGGAAACATATAAAAATATATGAAAAATGTGGCTACTTGGCAATGAATTTCCAGACATGCCATTTTCCATTAGGTACAAATGAGTGCCCAAAGCCGTAATACAAGCACAATTATTTACATGTGTCCATTAACATATGGACAAAGGCATCGGAAAGGAGAAAACAGTGTAGGATACGTTAGGTAATCTGTCTAAGTTTTGCTCAACTCCATGCAGATTGTCTCCTCTCAATTCTCTAGGGTTTTCAGCAAAACTCCATCTCCAAGAAGCCAGAAAATCATTTCCTCCATCTCACTTTGGTCCCTTGGAGTTATCTAGGTTTTGGTCTTACTCTTCCATGTGGAGAATAAAATTAGGTCAGAATTAGTGGCCTTTTTGCAACCCCACAAGGCTTGTTGGGTTTTTAGGGTTTTAAAAGTGGGAAGGGATAAGGGATTTGGAATCCTAAGTTTTGGATAGAGATTTTGGGTGTGGAAAATGAAAGAGAGGGTGTGTGGTTGGGTCCATGAGACATATTTCACTTGGGTGTTTGTTTATGTCTAGTTGTGTCAAGGGAATATGCCATCTCTCTGTTACCCAAATTAAGACAGGTGAGTTCTCATCAGGTTGTCTTCAGGATTCTTCCTTTTTACAAGTGGGCGGAAGTATTTAATTATTAGAGCACTTCCATCCATTTGTCATGGTAAAAAGTAAGGGCAAGACAATGACTGTTACTATTTACCTGAATAGTGACAGCCCTTGCAAAGGGCTTGTGGTGTTTCCACCCATTGTCATCATAACCATTATTCACGTGAGATATGAAGAGAGGAATTTGTATAGAGTTTTGGTGTGGGAAGTGAAGAATATGACTAAGTATTTATTTTTTTAAAAATTCTGAAATTTTTAGTATTTTTTAAGATTTTTTTTAAAGTTTTTTCGTTGCTAACGTCAGCAAATCCAAGCAACAGCCAGGCTGTTCTTGCCTTCTGGCTTGCCCAGGCTTGTGGAGCCCACAAGCTGACTGGGCAGCTTAAGCCCGCTGGAACCATAAAATGGGGCTTGGGCCCCTTCCTGCCCTAGCAAGGGCTATACTGTGGAAGTGCTCTTATAGAGAATGGGCATGTGGTATTTTTGTGTAGGAACAGTAACCCAGGCAGCAAAAGATAGAAGATTAATAGAAAAATGTTATGCTTGTAAATTATGTACTAGCCTTTATATAAAGTTTAATATATATTGTTTGTGCAAATTTCTTGGATTTGCTGAAGATCCTCAAGAAGATCCTCTTGTGCAAATTTCTCTTGAAGATTAATAGAATAATCGCTTGAAGATCCTTCGCTCCTTGAGCTTCTTTCTCTCTCTTCTTAGATTTTTGTAATATCAAACATGAGTATAAAAAAAAACACCCGGGTGGGTGTTGGCCAAAGACCCTCCAATACCTAAGTTAGTTCGATTGAATCTTTGAGAAATAATAGCTAAAAAGGGTACGGAGTTTTCTCTATGGGGAAAACCGAGTGACCAAAGCCGTGATAGGAGAGGCGAGAGTGGTGAGGTCGGCGGCAATGGAGGTGTTGTCGGCTTAGTTTATTCTGACGTTTGGGAACTTCTAAGGGTTGCTACTAATGGGGAGAAGTGGTTCATGTCCACTTCAATTAACACCTGGGCCTTCTATTTAATGGTATTCTGCTGTATAAATAATGTGTCTTTGCAGGTGTGAGACCCTCGTTCTAGAAGCAATTCATTTTCATTGATGCATTTATTTACTTTACTTCTTAAGAGTAATACAAAACAAATAAGCAAACTGTGCAAAGTCAACTTCCTACAAAGACCAGCCTCGAAGAAATGTTTCTTTAACTTGTCCAAAAACAATAAAAACAAAGGTGTAGGTGAGAAGAGTACATCCTTACGGGGGTGGCCTAACTTGGCTCCTTCGACCAAAGAAAAAAATGACTATTGGGTAGCTTCTGGGGCCTTTTCGTTTGCTTATTTTTTATTTTATTTTATTATAAATGTTTTGAGAATAAAAGATAATAAAGGTCCGTTTGATATCTTATTTGGATTCAATTTTATAAACTCAAAAAAAAAAAATTTAAGTCCGAAGACCCCAAAAACTCGTTTGGTAGACCCATTTTCAAAAACCCATACCCAAAAAGAAATAAAAAACACTCACATTATTGAAAACAAATAAAGTGAGATTTTACACACACTATCTCTCTCTCTCTCCCCTTCCCCTTTTTTCCTTTGTTAATTTCAATTTAGGAATCTAGGGTTTCTTATTTTAATTTCAATTTTGTTATATGTTAAAAATAGTTTGAAGTGCAATACCAAACAAGTTTTAAATCTTAAAATCAGTATTTAAAAACTCATATTTTTAAAATAAATCATAATTTTTTGAGTTTTTTGAGTTTTTTTTTAATAGGATACCAAATGAGCACTAAATAACATATGATATTTATTTTGGAAAGGAAATAACATGATTTTTAAGGGTAAGTTTTGGCATCTTTTTAATTGTAGTGGTACATGGGGGATGGGGGGTCGTGGGATGTGTGTCCATATAAGATGTCAAAATTTGAACATAGGTGGGCGGAATGACTGGGCCTCCAAAGATGGCTATAAGGTGTAAATAGAATCCCCTCCAAAACTAGATTTGGTTCGGTTAAAACGATCCAGTCTTAAAAGCCTCTTAGGCTTGCAAAGAGGTACAGCATCTAAACGTAAGGAATTGTAGGAATAGAGGACAGAGAGCGAGTCGATAATATGTTACCGATGACATTGGTAACGCAATCTGGGTCAACAAATCAGCAAATTCATTTCTTTGATACATTTACCTGATCTTTTTCCCTCTTGAACAAACCAAGCTAGTAAAATAGAGAATTAAAACAAGTGTGCAGAAATGATTCGCACTGCATATAACAGAACAGCAAACATAATACAAGAGGCCAATAGAACTCGCAAGCGCTTATTATCTACAATTTCATATCTCACCAGTGCCAAGAGGCTGCCTTGATCTATCACCAGAAGCCCATGCTCGATAATCCCTCACAAGCTGCACCAAAAATTATGTGAGCATTCCAAGTATATCACAAGGAAAAACTTGAGAGGTAAAATTTGCAAGGATCCTAACTTTCAAAATTGAATGTTACGCCTTCAAACTTCCACAGAAATGTATGATGTCACATCTTATCATAATTTGAAATGCTAAATCATGTCCTGTAAGTGTCAAAATCCATATATTGTTCTTTGAACTATCTTCTTACAAGTGAAGTGAAATAGACACCCTAAATCCGAAGGCTGATCTTATAACTTCTATGATAAAAGAGCTAATTCCATTGTGGTGCTGGCAGTCAAGCATCAAAAGTGCACCGTGGAGTTTGAACAATGAGTATCCACAATCAAACAGTACATATAAAAAACAAAAACACCATTTGAATAATTTTTATGGAACAAAGCAAAGCTACATATCTCATAAGAGCCCATGGGTAGAACTTGCCCTTAAAGAAGGGCTTGTAAGGGAAGGGTGCCCAGGAGCTCTTATACCATCCCAAAATATGTTTTTTTCCCAATGTGGGATCTTGAGCCCTAACATTCCACTATGCTTCCGTACCCAACCTCCTCGTCTACCCACTCTATTGATACCAGCCCGATGGTAGGCCTTTCCATGTCCTCCCTTTGAGATGGCTCTCACTTACCCACTAGTATTCGGCAACTCGATATTATGCCCATACATAATACCAACCACCTTAATCTAGCCTATAAGTTGCCCCTTTCGTAGAGTCTGGCCCAGTTGTGAGGTGAAACTAGAATCTGATACCAAATGTTAGGAGTCCATGGGTAAAACTTGCCCATAAAAACTGGCTTGTAAGGGAAGGGCCCCCAATAGCTCTTAAACCATCCCAACATATGCTAGTTTTCCAATGTGGCATTTTGAGTCCTAACAATATCCACTCCAAAGATCAAAATTCAAAAGCCTTTGATAGGTGTTTGCCCCAAGCCAAGTTGTGCCAATCCAATCCATAAATAATTTGCGAAAGCAGTTCACAAGATTTACTATGTGCCAAGACAGCCCAAGAGCATACGACATCGTTCTCCTACTGATGCAAAATTAATCTGCAAGAAAACTACTGGGAAACTGAAACCTAGAGAGGGAGAGACAGACAGACAGACAGAGTGAGAGCGACTGTATATCAACTTGGATCATGGCTAACAAATTCACATATGTTAATGAATCCCATGAAAAAAATGTTTCTCAATGATTTTATTCACTGAAATTATAGAATTTTACATTTTGCCTCATTTTGAACCCTTGCTTTAAATCAATCCCATCCATTATGTTATACCAAATTCTTGCTTACTTCTTTTATCAATTATACTCATCTTTCATGTCCGCCATGGCTCAATCGGAATGAGATGCAATGTGAAAATCAATTTTGATTCAATAGAATTCTGTAATGCAGATGAAACACATAGCAGTGCACATGAACCAGTTTGTCGTCATAGCCAAAGCCCTTTTTCATCAGCACACTTACATACGATTTTTTTTCTTCTTATTTTGGTCAAATCAAAGGCCATTCAAGCTTTGGCTTACAACAACTCGAGTTCATTTATCTTGAACTGTATTAAAAAAAAAAGAAGAAAGAAAAGAAAAAAAAGTGAGAAGAACAATGAGAGAAAACCAAAGTAATCCTTAAAATAAGCATAAACATTATGCTATCAGCCCATCCATCAAAAAAGAAAGAAAGAAGCCAACAATCCACATGCAAATAGCAAGGGTTTGAATTTATTCCAATTTACCTATCTAAAAAGGAAAATTTTAAGACAATTTTATATTTATTTCCAATTTAAAATAATGTATACTTCAGAGGCCATGGTCAGATTGGTTTTGAAATCAATAGATTTAAAAATAAATAATAAATAAATAATAAAAACACAGAAGGACAAACTGCAAAACAGTATCGAAGAAATTTCCACTAACCTGCGACATAAACCTGGGAAGCATAATTCTTAATATTTGTTCAAGGACTTGGGTCCCGGATGATTCAATAGCTTGTGCTGGGATTGCACGAAATGCAAAAGGAATCTCAATGCCCACCTTAATTTCACAAAACAATCCAAGTTAGTTTCCGGACATAGTAAAATATCAATTAGCATAGTTATGCAACAATATAGAAAATTGAAATAAATAAAAAATCTTGCAATATACACCTCAATGACAGTTTCTGATCTGAGTTGCTGTAGTGAGGAGTTGCTTTGGTTGTTAGTGCACGATATTTGATTCACCATAAAAGCTGCATTCCCATACCAAATCAATGTCAAAGAACTCCTGAAAAGAAGTATAAATCTAATGACTCAACAAAACAAATGCCTTCTCTAGTAGAAATGAAACTCTTTAATATTAAATGTTTTCATCATTGAGAAATGAAACCAAATACACTACCACGATTCACCTTCCCTACTATCTCTACAAACACTCTGCATAAACCATTCTGCAGATGGACATTTTTTGACCAAAAAGTTTAACCAATATTAATCAGTGAATACCATTATTTCAGATGATGACAGTTTCCTTCTGCAGTCATTGGCAGTCAGCCAGCTTTCACAACTGTGGAAAAGCCACGCATACACAACTGATTGGTGCAGACGAAATTTGTGAAACAGATAAACCATAAATAACCAATTGATTCACTCTAAAATCTGTGAAGGGGTAAATATCTGGATTCGTGCAAAGACCTCAACAACCTTAAGCTTTGACGCATCCACTTTCAGAGTTGATTAATTTCCTTTTCAGTTCAAGTTTGAAAAAAATTATCTTGCATGGCCCCCAAGGCTTACTAAAGAGAAATAGATAGGGATGTAAATGAGTTGAGCCTCTTGACAACTACTTGTGAGCTGCTCAATAAAGGCTTCGTCGAGCTCATTCAGTTATCTAGTTATCCAATCATGCCTCGACCAATTCAGAATTCTGATATTTACATCAAGAAGCAGACAATGAGCCATACCAGGCCTTTCCAAACCAAGAAGCAGAGTAAATTCTAAGGTTAACTAATTCATGGTCTCGACCCTAATGAGTACCTAGTATAGTTGAGCTTGAGCTTGGTTATGCACGTACTCAGAAGAGCTTAAACGACCACCCAGCTCACTTACACCCCTACAAATGGAAGAAGTTTGTGCGACATCGAAAGGTTGCAGGATGCAGTGAGTACTAGTACATGAATTGATTCTGTATGTGTTACTAAATTATACTAGGTACTCACGAGACCATGAATTAATAAACCTCAGAACTCGTTCTGCTTCTCGCGAGACAACTATTTGAAATTAAGCAGGCAATCATTGATGATTTTTCTTATGAAGCTCAATGATCGCTAACCTGTTTCCACAATAAACGAAAATAGAGTGCACTAATATGTTTTGAACCCTCAAGTTTTGCAATATTAATGTAGTATAGTTATAGCAACATGCCGTAATCAACCTCCACAAATTTGTTTCAACAGAACGGGCTTTACATAATTCTAATTCTGACTCTCATAAAACTAAGCAAAAACTCACTCACCATCAAACTTGTCGTTCTGCGCAACCGCGATGGGTGAGCCTTCAAGCTGTACCAACAAAGCATAAATGAACAAAAGGGCACATGATAATATTCATAAATTTTTTTAAAAGAAAAAAAAATGAAAATGAAGAATAAAACTACACACACCTTGCAGGACAAGAGCTTAATGCAACAGCCATTGGGCTGCTCTTCGACTCTAACAAGAAGAACAGGGCAAACCTCAAATGCAAAGAACTTGAACCTATACACATAGCACCTGAATGTATTCTCATCCACTCTCTCTATCCTCTCTGCATCTAAAACCGAGTATTGACTCGCCGGTAAGCTCATATACTCACCTGAAAAACCCAACAACAAAAACCCATAAATTTCGGGAAAACAAAAAACAAAAAATTTTTTTGACAAAATTGAGAAATCAACCATGAAATTGCATAGAAAGAAATACGAAATGTCATTCTAACATTACTTAGAGGCCGCTGGAGCTGCGGAACCGATACCGATTCGGCTCGCCGAGCGACGAAGCGCGCTTTCGGTGTCAAATCGGCCGAAATGTGAAGCGAGGGTTTCGGGGAAGCGAAAGCGAAAAGCGCATGCTTGAGTTTCAGTCTCGAAGACGTCCCGTTCCTCAGGTTTTCGTACGGACACGAAATGGAACCAAATTTTATAGAGAACGAGCTCAGTGCCATTTTTTTTTCCTTATATTATAAAATAAATATTTAAATATTTGCCCCGAAAAGGAAGCAAAAATAATAGGAAATGATTTATTTATAAAAAGATTTGAATTTGGGAGGTTTGTGTCCGCTTATCAGATGAGAGAAGCAGAGGAAGAAGAAGCAGTTGAGTGGTGAAGGATAACAGGATAAGACAAATAATCTACCTGCATTTAATTTTCTTTTTTCCTCATCACTAGAATTTTGTGAATAAAAAAATGTCAATATGTGCATGAAAATTATGTTTTTATGTAGATACTGTTTGCCTCTTCGCTCGAAGAAGTCATTCTTACTATAAATTATAGTTTCACACGAATGCAATAATAATTCATTTAATTTTTTATTTTTTAAATTATTCTACATGTTTCGTATAAAACTCCTTAAGATTTCAAAAATTACATAACACTCACTAAGTGCCCGTTTGACATTTATTTTGAAATTTTTTGAAAGCCCAACTTGTTTGGTAAAAGATAATAAAATCACTTATTTTGAATAATTGTTGTGAGAGAAAGCAATTAGGGAAAGCAGGTGATGAGCTGCTTTCATTTTTGATTATGCAGGAATCAGTTTTGAAAAAGCGTTGGGTTTAATGAAACTTTCAAATTTCCAAAAATAACCACGTGTTTTTTTTACCAACCACACTTCTAACAAAAAGTTTACTAAACGCCAAACCATTTTGTTTCACAGCTGATTTCTCTCACAACAAATCTGACAGTGATTATTTTTACAGTACAGCAACGCCAAATTGGCCCTAAGGTTTCAAATTTTTTTCACAAAATCCTTTCCGTTAATTTTGCACCTAAAAATGGTTGATATCATAAAAATTAAAAATTAAAAATTTACTCCAAATGATACTCAAAGATTGGATTGCACATATACCCTTAAAGCTTAACTAGCCTCTTCGCACACGCTTCTACGCCTCCTAAAGGCTTTTTTTTTAAAAAAAAATTTTAATTTATTTTAGAATCAAAAAAGATAATGAGTAGTTGTGTTCCATAAAAATAGGATTCATTATCTTATTTTTCTTTTAATTTTAATTTTTTTTAATATGAAAAAGTGTGAAATTACTATATTATCCTCATTTAATTAATAATTTTAATTCTTAATGTTTGGATTAACCAAGGACATTTTCTGGTATTTTAAATATTTCACAATTCTCTGCATTTTGCTTTATATATATAGATTATTGAGGTTGATTTTGTCAGAAGTTTTTTAAAATATAAAAAAATTATTAATTTTTCAATGAAAAAAAAAGATTAAAGGACTAAGTTCCGTGAAAACAATTTGAGACATGTGAGAGAGTTTAGTGTAATTTCTAAAACCTCAAAGGGTTTTGTAAAAATACTACCGAGCATAGAAGGTGTGTAAATAACACTGTGTGGATTCAGGTCATTCTCTCAACAATGTGAGAAATGTTGTACTTATCACTTTGACCGGCTCTAGTAAGTTGTTGTTCTTGTTTTCGTAAAAAACATTAATGGCATGTTACTTATTAGTAATGTGTGTATTAACATATAGGTGTTGGAATGATTTCAATTCCTTATTTCTCCCACATTTACTAACACATGCGAAATAAAAAAATTATAAGAATTCATGGTAAAATCCATAATCTAATATCCTAAAAACTAAGAATCAGATCAACCGTTGATTCAATTCCAATTCCTTATTCTCAAATTCTTAAGACCCAGTTTGGGATTGCTGTTTAAAAAAAGTTGCTTATACTGTGCTTTGAAAATAATTAGTTGTAAAGTAAAGCAGCTCCATGTTTTGTAAACAATATTTTTAAAGTGTTGTCAATACAAAAAGTAGTGTCAAAACCGTTTGGTAAATTTTAATATAAAATTGTTGTAACTGTGAATAATGAAAAAAATAGACATGATGTTAAAAGTATTATGCACTAATGTGGTGGTAGTGGTAGTGATGGAGTGGAGGTGGTGGTGGTGATGAAGGTGGAGTTGGTGGTTGTGGTGGTGGGGATGGTGGTTGTGGACGTGTTGGTGGTGGTGGTAGTGGCAGCATGGTGGTGGTGGTTGTGGAGGTGGTGGTGGAGGTAGAGGTTTTGGAGGAGGTGGTGGTGGTGGTGGTGGCGGCAATGGCAGTGGTTGTGGAGGTAGTGAATGTGGTGGTGCAAGTGATGAAGTTGGATGTGGAAGTGGAGGTAGTATCATTTTTTAAAATGAATGATGGTATTTGGGGAATTAAAAAAATTCATTAAAGGTTCATCTATGCTTCTTTTGAAAGTAGCTTTGAAAAGCAACCCAGAGCCTTCTTTTAAAAGGTGCTGTCAAAAGGCCACTACTTTTAAAATAATCGGAATATTTTATTTGAGTGCTGCTAAATGAACCCTAAAATTAACTGAGTACACCCTATGCTCTAAGTACACCCTAATATTTAAATCAAAATGTAAAATTAACTAAGTACACCCTATCTAACTATCAAAAATACCCCTTGTACACCCTAATACACTCTATCACACAACACCAAACACACAAAGAAAATTCGAATACAGATAAAATTTCATTCACTTGATGATGGTTCTTAGCATCCTGGATAATGCTTAACTTGGCATAAATATCCAAAATTGCACTTCCCACAAAGACATTCGAATGCAAACCTATCTTTGTTGCACATGCATGAGCGTTGTTGCTTGCCTATGTTTAGGTCTCCAAGTGCAGTAGATGAGTGAATGACAGTGACAAATGTGAATTCGTTGGGTCTGATATTCGAAACAAGCATTCTTGAAAAGAGATAAATAGCTTCTTCATGATGGTGCTACTAAGCAAAGCTGCCTATTATTGTTGTTTCGGATACCACACTCAGGCGTTTCGTCAAACAACTGGCGTGCATGGAAGAATTCATATGAAGTACCAAGTTGAAGGGTATGCGCACGAGCTTTCTGGGTTCCACGATCTGACAAATGTAAATTTTAATTTTCTTTCAACCTAAACCCAAAAAACCAAAATTAATACCTCTTTTGATGACTCCCTCGACATGTCTGAAGCATCCATGAGACTTGTTTGCATCAATGAATTAATGAATAACAATGAAACAAATTGTTGGAGTTAATATTAAGGTTTTTGGAAGTTTGATTTTTTTGCTTATGTTTGATTATGGTTGAATATGGTGAGTAGGGTATACTTATTAAAATTACATTTGTTTCATAATTCAATATATTCTTTTTGGTCATTTTATATTAGGACAAATTAGTAATTTAATAAATAGTTTGATAGTAGGGTGTACTTAGTTAATTTGAGGGTTCGTTCAGCAACACTCTTTTATTTTTACCAAACACCTTAGACTGCTTAACTTTTAAGTAAAATAGATTTTTTGCCAAAAAAAACAATCCCATAAGGGGCATAACTCTCCCGATCATAACTTCTCCAAATAAGGAAGTCTCATGGAACACAAAAGCCAAAAACCCTGCAGATAATATTGGAATCATATTCCTCCAAGATAACCAAGTCCAATAACCCGAATCTATCTCTTCTTATAATAATATTATTATATTGTTATTAATTTTTTATCCAGTTAGAATTGGGAGATATAACCCCTTTCCCACGTTATATATAACAAGAAAATAAAGGAAAAACCTCTGTATAAAACACGCACCCAACCAAACCCTAGCAATCTCCATTCAACCTAGAAGAAGGGACAAAACCGAAGCTTGGAACTTGGCTCTTCTTGTTACGTACTGTGAGTACTGAATTCCTTCTTACACCTAATCTTTTTTCTGTTTTCATGAATCGTATCGAGCGGCATGGTTTTATGCATAAACCCATCGTGTTTGGTTACTTTTAATCAATACAAACATTACTTTGGGAAGGGATAAATTGCTGGAATAGTTAAGCTTGTTCTTTCTAATTATTTTTCTGAGCATAAATCTCAAAACGTAGGGAAGGAAATAAATCTCAAGACGTAGCATATGGACTTATGGGTTTTGTTTGATTACTGCAAAATCGGTATATAAAGTTTTTTTTTTAGAGGAGAAATCTTAGAGAAACGTGAAGATTACTTATTTATTTTTCTTTCTGGCATTGGATCCAAAATCAAAGTTTTAAAGGGCTTTACCCTCTTTCCATTGGATCCAAAATCACTCAAATTGCGGAAGAAGGGCTTCCAGACTGGAGTTTTAATACCAAAAAGTTTCCAGAAACTAACATGATTGACTCTATTGGTCGATTTATATTGAAATAGAATTAAGGTATTTGAAACGAATTGATAGATGCTGCCTTGTACGGGTGGAAGTTAGAATAATTTGAGTTCTATTGTTTTTGAGTGTAACCCATGTACATCCGAAAATTCTAATATGTTATTTGTATTGGTATACTTCAATTACTATGTGCTAAATTATAACCTGGTAGTTTTGTTTTCTGAATTGTAGGTGATCACAATTCGGTACGTAGAAATGGAGTATGGTGAGTCTATTTTTCGGTTTTTGGTTTTTGTTTTTCATAATTAAGGTTTCTGATTACCCTTCGCCTTTAGAAAGGGCTGCAAGATAACTGACTGATATTATTTTTCATGTTATGTTGCAAAATAGGATACTTTCAATTTCAATCAAGTCACCAGCAGGCCTTGAAATCGCTTGAAGCTCAGATAATTGAGCATAAGAAACTACTTGTGAAGTTGGAAGCTGAAAAGAGAGGGCTTAATGCATGTCTTGACAAGACTGAGGCTCAAAATTTAGATCTTGGGAAGGAGCTTAAGCAGATGGAAGTTGATAAGATGGAGCTTAGAAAGAAAGTGCTTCAGTTGCAGAAGGAAAAGGAACTTAATAACAAATATTTTTCTCAGAGAATGCTTGTGCTGCAGGGTGAAGTTGATCGGAACCAACAGCTTAGGGCTGAAAAGGAGGATCTTGTGAAGCAGCTTGAGCAGCTTGGGGTAGATAAGCAAATCCTTGAGGAAGATGCTGAGCAGAGTGAGTGTTGGAGGAGAGAGCTTGAGGTGGAGCTTGAGGCGAGTGAGATTGAAAAGGGAGATATTGTAAAAGAGCTTAAGGAGATTCACGCTGAAAAGAAAAATCTTGAGGGACAGCTTGAGAAGATGGAAGATTATCAGAAAGAGATTAAGAAGAAACTTCTTGATCTGCAGGATGAAGCTGAGAAGAAAGAGCTTCAGAGCAAAGAGCTTAATCAGAAAGTGCTTGACCTGCAGAGTGAAGCTGTTCAAAACAAAAACCTTAAGAGTGATCTTGAGAAAAAGCTTGCGGTGAGTGAAGCTGAAAAGAAAAAGCTTGAGGCGTTTCGGGCTGAAAAGGAAGATCTTGAGAAAGAGCTTCAGGAGATTCGGGCTCAAATGGGATATATTGTGGAAGACCTTGAGATGATTAAGGCTGAGATGGGAGATCTTGAGAAAGAGCTTTTGCGGAGTGAGGCTGATAAGACGGAGCTTGAGAAGAAAATGCCTGAGCTGAGTAGTCAAGTGAAGATTAAGGAGATTGAGAACAAAGACCTTAATGATAAATTGTTTCAGCTGTGGAGGGAAGCAGATAAAAACAAACTGCGTAATGATGATCTTGAGAAAAAGCTTGCGCTTAGTGAACGTCGGACGAAAGAGCTTGTTGGGATTGAGACTGAAAAGAAACTTCTCGAGAAAGAGCTCGAGGGGATTCGATCTAAAAGGGGAGATCTTGTGTCAGAGCGTAAGCAGAGTGAGACTGAGAAGGAGCTTAAGCAGAAAGTGCTTGAACTGGAGACTGAAGGTCGTCGAAACAAAACGCTTTTGAATGATCTTGAGAAAAAGCTTAAGCAGACTGAATGTCAGAAGAAAGAGCTTAAACAAGAGCTGGAGATGAATAAGCAATATCTCGACGAAGAACAACAGCACACTGTAAAATTTTTTTATCGGAATGAGATGCAGTTGGATCAAATGGTAATTTTCTTCTTCTCCACTTGAATTATAAATTTACTATGGCTATTTTCTTGGATTAAGTAACAGGAAATTAGATTGTCATCCTTAAATAAGATGTTATTCTTATTAATTTGAATGTATAAGTAGGTTTAAAATTGTGTATATCATAATGCACACTTAACCTAAAGGACCTAAAATCCTGTACCTATGTTATATTAAAAAAAAAATTAGGCTTTTCACATGTAAGCCCTAAGTAGGACCCGAGATATAAAAAAGCCCTACAATACTCAAACCTTAGGAAAGAGCCCATTTTGACTTTTCAATTAGACCAAATATACCATATAAGCCTTGAAAAACCTAAACATTACAACATTATCATTGAAGTTTTTTTCTTTCTAAAAATCATAATGTAAGGATAATAATGGTATTTCACACATCAACTGGTCCTTTTTGGGTTTGTTTTCTTCAATTTGTAGCTTTTAGTGTCTACATAAAATCAACGCAAGAAATAGGTTTTATTATAAATTTCTCAAAAATTAATTAGGAGACTAAAATCAAAATGATTAGGACTTTATCATGATTGATGTAGTTTGATATTTTAATTTGAATAACAATAATGATTCTTGTCTTCTTCTTGTTGTTGAATGTCAAAAGAGAGATCTTAAAGAATTTATTGAGAAGAGTGAGGCTCAGAAGCAAAATCTTAAGAAAGAGCTTCAGCAAACTAAAGCTGCAAAGTTAGGGCTTAAAAATGCTTTTGAGGAGAGTGAATGCCAGAAGAAGGACCTCCAGGAAGGCCTTCACAAAATTGTTGGGCAAATGGTATTTTCCTTGTTCTCAACTTAAAATTATTTTACTTAAGCTAGCTTTTCTTTTAATGAAAAAACAATTTTATTCAATGATGAAATCTAACTAAAATTTGGTATAATCCAATTAGAAATAAGAATGATTAATCGGGCAATCTTGTTTCCGGCTGTGATTTTCAGAACAAAAAGATCAGGGAAGTGCTTGAAACTAGTGAGACTCAGAAGGAACAGATTAGGAAAGTGTATGAGCAGATTAAAGATGGAAAGCTAGATGTCGAGAAAGCTCTCGAGGAGAGTGAACGCCAGAAGAAGGAGCTCGAGGAGGTGCTTGCAAAGAGTGAGGCTCAAAAGGAACATCTTGAGAAAGAGCTTGAGAAGATTGAAGATGAAAAGATGCAGCTCAAGGAAGCTCTGGAGGAAAGTGAGCTGATGAAAAGACAACAAGTGATAGTTTTTGGCCAGAAGGAACAACTTGTGAAGGCAGAGCTTAACAAGAAAGTGCTTCAGCTGCAGAATGAAGCTGATCAAAGCAAGGAGCTTAACAAACGCCTTGAGCAAAAGCTAGGGCATACTGAAATGCGCAAGATGTTACTTGAGAACGCTCTTAAGGATAGAGATATTCAACTGCAAGAAATGGTATTATTTTTTTCTTGTTCTCAAGTTCAAATCAATTTATTTACTTAATTATTCTATTTGTAATTATTTTTTTTCTTTCGGAATCAGAGATTTGCTTTAGAGCAAAAGCAAAATGAAGATGTGGTGGCAGATTTGTCGAAAGAACCAAAGGTTTGTTTAATTTCCATAATCAATCATATTGTGCATTAATTAACCTATTTTCAAATGTTAACATTATTTTGTTGTTTTATTTTTTGTGATTGACTAGAATCGGGAGAGTTCGAAGAAAGAGATTACATCTATCAACAGTGAAATGGAGTATCTTCATTATGTCAACAAGAAAAGCACAGAAGAGTTGGATGTTGCTGATGTTGCTGCTGCTGCTGATGATGATGATGATGATGATGATGATTGGCTTAAAATTTGAAGTGGCTATGTTAAGGCCAATTGGCCCCCTAGACTTTGAAGTTTATTAATTAGGTTTTCTTTCAAGTAAATAAGATGCATATAAACTTGTCTAAATCTTTTTGCCCTTTGGAACTGAAGAAGATTAATCATCTTTGTTTTGATTGAACTAGCCTTCAGTAAATAACTGAGTTTTAAGTCTAAAATCTTCAGTAAATTTTCCCAGCTGCTTTCTTAACCCTTTGATTTTCTCAATCTCTCAGTTAGTTGGATTGGCTCAGGCCTTTGTTGTGATCCCAAGTGGTCTTAAGTACAAGCCCTCATGTTACCCTTCCCATGTATACACATACAAAGAAGAAATTATAGGCATGCGAGATGATGAGATCCCAAATTTTAAGAATCTTTCTATTTAAACCCAACATTCATCTGAATTCATCCTTACATCTTGGCAAGGAGACTAGAATGAGGGTTAGAGGTTATAATGAGGAGTACGATTCAGTTCAAAGTTATTATTGGACCGTTGAATTGAACCCTTCATTATAACGCCTCAACATAACCTCTCATTATAGAAGAAGCTCCCAACATTTTGGTGTGGGGACTGATCCACAGACAATTTTAGTCAAAGCCCATAAAAAGAACGTCACACCAACAACAACCGACCTAATAGATTTTTATTTGCTTAACTTGAGGACGGCATTATGACAAATTGTGGAGTTTCATTGGGTAGTTCTAGTACTACATCTACAAGACATCACAAATAATTGTTCATGACGTCGTTTGAAATCACAATATTATTATTTTGACACCACCAGAAGTGCGTATTTGATTGGAACAACGCGTAAAAAGTGAGAGACCCAAATATTCAACAAACGCCCATTAATTCTGATTTCACACAAGAGAACAGAAAAAAGATACTAAAGAAAGGAGAAAAAAAAAGATATTTAGTGATACACCCATTCTTAGCATTAATATTATAAATAAACCCTACACCATTGAAATTCTATAAACAAACCAAAAAAAAACCCAAAAATAACAGCTGGTCTTATTAAATTTAATATTGATTATTAAATTACTTTAATGCCCTATTGAGTGTTTTGGGTATTTTTATAAGATTTTGGGGTTGGGCTTGTTTTAAGAAATTTATAGTAGTTTTGTAATTTATAAGAAGTTAAAGCCTATTTGTTATGTTGTAAATAGGCTTTGGGTGTGTTTATAAAGTCCATTTCATATGGGGTATTTTTATAATTTGGGCATCCATATTGGGTATAATAGTGAATCTCCCAAAAAAAAATTCCAAATTATTGTTATTATATATGCAGCAGCAGCAGTACGTATGCAGAAGCATAATGTGACACGAATGTAAACGTCATGCACAAACAGGCATACCTAACCTTGCCGTTGACGTGGACTCTTTCAATTACCAAGTCACCCTCTTTGCCTTCTTCAATGTTATATATATATATATATATATATATATATATATATATATATATATATATATATATATACTAGCTCTACATTGCATACTAATCTCTCTCTGATCTCTTACTTGAGCTTATTTAATTAGTACACACAAAATGCACCAAGCAATTCCATACAAGTCATGGGCACCAATTGGCACCACCACCGCAGTACCACTGATCAGACGTCCAAATCCGACTGCTGTGGCGGCCGAAGACAAAATCATCCAAGGAACAAGGAATGATCATGTGATGATCAAGAACATGGTGTCGGAGACGGCGGTGATCGTGTTCACGAGACGCGGGTGCTGCATGGGACATGTAGTGCAGCGCTTGCTTTTAGGCCACGGTGTCAACCCAACCGTGTACGAGGTTGATGACGGAAAGGAGGACGGGGTTGCTGTTGCAAAGGAGTTGGAGATGATTTGTGGTGGTTCGAAATCAAAGGTGGTTGTTATGTTTCCTGCTGTGTTTATTGGCGGTGAGTTGTTTGGGGGATTGGAAAGTGTTATGGCTGCTCATATATCTGGGGAATTGGTTCCTGTTTTGAAACAAGCTGGGGCCTTGTGGCTTTGATCTTACTTTTTCATTTTAATTTAGATTTTATAGGAATTGTTGGGTTCTTTTTTTCGCTGGAATTTAGGAATTGTTGGCATTTTCCTAGCTTGTGTGTAGATTTTAGAGTTCGGGATATGAATTCGTTGTTGAACAAAATAAAGACGGTCTTTCTTCATTTTGTGATTTCCAAAGTCCATAGCTGCAGCCAATGGATAAAAACTAACCAAGAAAAGCAATCGGGACAATTGGCCAGAGAAATTGAAAAAGTAAACTGATTGGAACAACCAAGTACAAGGTTACATATTGTGGATTTCTAGTTTAACATAATCAAATTGTATCCAACCAAGAATCAAAATCATCCTGTTCTTCGGACTTTGTTCCCCCGGAATGGGATGATCGAAATTCATGGACAGCCCTTTCTTTCTGGGCTTGAGATGGACCACTTTGTCTGATCTGTACGGATGTTTCATTTATCAAGTCGTCAAGCTCATCACCAAAGTTAGCAGTCGCGAGTACCGATGAATCTGGGGCTTTTCTCGGAAGTTGAAGTGGAGCCATGAAAGCTGCTTCTTGTACTGAAACAGTTTTAACAGAACTGAAGCCAGATGAATCATTTATCTTGGTCTCACCAAATGAATCAAGAAGCATATCCAGTTCTGCCTCTGCAGTTGATGCCTCAAATGATTTCACACTGAATTGTGTTTCGGACTCTGATAATTTGCTTTGATAATCAGATTTGCCAAGTTTACTTGGATTGATATTACCCTGAATCACAGAAACTGATCCTAGGTTAGGCAAGATTGGGTCTGGATGCCCACTTCCGGTTGAACCAGATATTGTAATCTCAATATCATGATCAGCAACCTGGACCTTCTCTGAAATTGATTCTTCAGGCATTCCTCGGGTTGCTTCCTCATTACATGTTGCTTGCATCGGGTCAGAGGACTGACTGCAGGTCACCTCTTGTCCCTCCACATGCTGTTACATAAACAAGGATATGTTACTTAGCTGTAGCACATAACATAAATAGCAACAGAAAGCATATTTATTAACAAACATCTAAAAATTATGAGGATGAAATGTGTTACTGTAAATTTTATCACCACTACTTCCTTCCACAACCACAGAATAATAATCTGCTGACATCACTCTCCCGCACATTTAAGCATTGATCACTATACTCAAAAGTACTACTTTCACCTCATAGGTGTATGCATTTTCCAATTTTGACCACTATCTTGTTTACAATTATAATTTCCCTCTGAGTTTGCCCTTGCAATGCATGTTTCCATCCCAAAACCCAACAAGCAATACATATGAAGTCTACTGTAGTCTACAATTAACCGCTTCATAGTTGTAGTTCTTACATTTCATACAGAAATCAAATGCAGAATTGGTAATCATCCCAAAATGTCATTGGCATTTCACAAGTGAAAACTACTAAGGACATTTAAAACTTCAACAAAGAGAGCACACCCACAACTGCATGCATTCTCATGCGCATCCACTTTTATTTATTTTTTATATTTAGTTCTCTTCAGTTTGGGGAAAGCATACCAGCTCTGGTGGCAATAGTTCTGCTTCGATGAAAAGCCTTTCGGGTAAGGCTATCTTTTCCAGTTGTTCTGCAAGAGCATGCAAATTCAAGGAGAGAAATGACACCTGCATCGTGGGTAAAAATAAAAGCTGAGGTGGCTTGGAGAATGAGTAAAACTAAAAAAATAATAAGCAAAAGAAGTGCATAGCTTAACAAACTAGCACAGGACAAGAATTTCATTTAGCCTACTACAAGGACATGATTTTACCAAAACTTAGAAAACTGAATTTCATTAAAAGAATAGAAGAACCAATTTTATTGCTACGCAAAAGAAATATTACATAGCCGTGGACAAGAAGTCAACTTACAAAGAAACATAATAAATCCTTACGGCAACCAAACAACAAAACCAGTGTCTGTCAGACCAAGCAGGCACATCAATTATTGACATCCTTATATCACACTTGCAAAAATTAAAACTCAGTAGTCTAAATGACACATGCATAAAACACATGTGATGCAGAAATCTGGGAAGGCACGCCCACAATAGAGAAAAATACTGTTGGTAACTCCCAAAATTCATTTTTATACCCCTTTATTTCTGTATGGGACAAAACCTGTCTCCAATTACCAACATAGCCATTGGCGGCATGGTTTAAAAGCCAACCACCATGTATTACCTTGTGGCTTGTGCTTTATAGTAAATTGTAATGCACAATTCCTGATATCAATAAATGAAGCATCCAAGTGACTAAATATATTGAATGTGTTCCCAGCATATACAAGGGTAAAAGTTATATTTATGCCTTCGTAATAATTATATACCAAGTAGTATATGACCAATTTTGTTATGTGTATACATTCCTAATCTTATTCCTCATGGGTGAGCATGGAAACCCAATTTATTTATAAAAGAAAAGTACTTTATCACTATTTGAGTATGAACCATTCAATGTTGATTCAACAGTTGATGAATATTGAATTTCTGTTTACCAGGTGAGCAGGCTATCACAATCCTGTCTGTGTGCATCTACAATGATTGCCTTATCATTCTTTCAAGTTCAACAAGAATTTTTTTCTCAGCCATTACATCAGATATATATGATTGAGATGCATTAAGAAATATGCATAGATACATATATGCATTGCATACATACATGTTCATAATAACAAAGTAAATAATGCATTACCTCATGATGTGCAGCAGTCTTATCCTCCACAACAAAATTATCATCTCCAATCCTTGATAGAATACTCTCACCCCTGACTGAAAGCATAGATCCTATCCCCTCATTCCAGTCCCCTGCACAACATGCAATTTAATATTGGAACTATAAGGACCTCTCTAGCAAGTAAACAGTATTAGATTATAGTATTGCTTTCTTTTTCTTTTCTTTTCCCAACCTACGACTTATGAAGGAAAGTCCTTACTGCATAATTGGAAACACTGGTCACAATGCAAATTATGTGTCAGCTTTACATAATGTCGTCAAAGACAATGACTAATGATAATTAGAGACAACTCCAAGAAACTATATGAGAATCAGGTAGGACATGGACATGCAATTACATCACTATACTAAGACTTCAGATATCACATGCCTCAGAACAATCTAATGTCATTCAAATAGATAAATTTCGAGCCAAAGCTGAAGTATATGCACTGATTGGGAAAAACAAAAATTGAAGAAGCTGCATATGGATAAAGGTGCAGGTTAGAACTGAAAAACTGATTCAAGTGATCACATACTTATTGTTAGTTGCATCCTAGGGTGAATCCTTACATGGTTCAGAAGAATTTAACGGAATTCCTCCCCATGTTCTTCAAATGAAAGAAAGTAATTTTAACAAAGGAAACAGAAATCAAGTTGAACCAGCATATAAATATTTGCAAGAAAAACAAACCAACAAAGATCAACCAAATATTTCACCCCAAAAAAATGATCAACTAAATATGCTTAAAAAATTATCCTATAGAAACATAAATTTCCCTATTCAATTGTACAGAAAACTAAACCAAATTCAATAACATGGAAGCAAAGAACATACCAAGTAGAACATTATCCGAGGAAGGAAATGGGTCTGAATAAATGGTTAACTCAGACTGAGCCTTAGCCTCGGCAATCAGATGACGATAGTCTGCACCTTTACTCATTGGCACAGCAACATCAGGGGCTCTATTCAGCCCATCACCTGCTGGCTCTTCGGAACCTGCTTCGAATTCTTCCTCGTAACGATCCCAATTCGTGGGGAGTGCAGAGGCACCATGAGTAGGATTTGTTTTCTCTTTAACTTGCTTGCCCAATGGCTTATTTGCAGGTCCGGCGTCGCTTGCCTTCCCGCCATCTACCGCTGGAGCATTTGCTTTCTGATTTGGATGATGCTTTTTACTATGGCGCTGAGCGTGAGCCCTATTTGATTTCGCTAAAGCCTTGACGTCCATTGCCAAAACGAAAACCGATTTACATTTGCTAGAGCATTGCTGCTAGGCACTCAATTCGCCATTTCTACGAACAAAAATTAAGATGAAAATGAAAAATTAGGGTAGCAAATGAAACAATCTCAGAACTACTAAAAAAAAAAAAAAAAAAAAAAAAAAAAAAAAAACATTTCAATACGGAGAAACAACGTAAAGTGAGAGACGAGGTGAAGGTTTCGATTTGAGGTTAATTTGACTTGGAAAAACTCTTCAAATTCTTCTCTCCAGCAATTTCTCAGCAGCCAAACGGAGTTCAAGGGATAAGATTGTAACAAATTCAAGGATAATTGAAGAAAAAGAAAAGGAGTTCGGGAGGCAACGACGAGAGTAATGGTGAACAGAAGGAGAGAGACGATCAGAAGTTCTTGAGCAGCTCAGGTATTCGTTAAGCAGACGGTCATCCTCTGCCCTAATTTTTAATTACATGGTGCCGTTTCAAGTGACACTCTTTTTTTATTTTTTATTTGGTGTTGTTTTTGAGAGAACACACTAGGGGTGGCATTTTAAACTACACAAACAGGTCCATATAGGGGTGGCATTTTAAACTACACAAACAGGTCCATATAGGGGTGGCATTTTAGACCGAAAAATTGCAAAAATTAACCGACATTATACCGTATTGGAACTGTAATAGTTAAAAACAGACCGAAAATTGCAGTTTAAGAAACCGAACCGCAATTGCGGTATGAGATTTTGGCAACTCATGGTTACCGCAAACCGCAAATATATATATTTTTTTAAATTGCATTTTAGTAATTAGATGTTGTGTTTTAATTTGGTTGAGTTTAATCTATTATTAATATGCTTTTATGTTGTTGTTTTTGTGTTATGTTGTGTTATAGATAGAGTCTAGCCACTCTAACACACCTAATGCCTTTAATCCCCCCAACACAAACTGATACACCCGAAACACAACCTCTATTCCAACTCATGAAGAAAGACTTCTTCTTATAATAAAATCTACTCACCAGCATTTACACTTGAGTTCTCCTTTTGGTTTGTAACTTTAATTAACTTTGAATTAGATTTTTCTTTAGGTTGTGAATGCTTGAGAAGTTGAGGTTGAGGTTGTGAATTTATTTCTTTAGATTGTGAATTTATATTTTTTGGGTAAAGTATACTTGAACTCAAAAAGCTTCAAAAGAAGCATCAAACCTAGGCTTAAAAGTGTGGAATATTGAATTTTTATGACACAAGAAGACTATACTTAAAGATATAAAATTGTCTCATTTAGGCCCAAAATATTCAAATCGGTTTAAACCGTTAATTCATGGTAACCGATCGATTTTTGAGGTTTACCGCATTATGCGGTTTCAAAAATCACCTTATCGCAAATAGTCAGTCAGTTTGCAGTTTGGGAAAAAATTCACGGTTACCGAACCGCAACTACCCCTAGATCCACACTATAAAAATGGGCACTTGAAAAAATTTATCAAAAATACCATTATGTAGCCCTAAGCATATGTAGAGGTGGGCACAGTTCAATTAGGTCCAATTTACCTCTCGAATTGAAATTGAAACCAAAACTTACATATTGTGCCTACTCATTGTCTTTTTTCTCTGTTTTTTTTTGGGTGTCAAAGGCTTCTCATATTGTTTAACTTCACATTTGTCCTCATGTTCACCATTATTTTCTTTAAATTTTTTTATACTCATTTTACATATACTGCTTTTCTTCATTTCTTCACTGGTTTTTCTTAATTATATTATGGGTTATGTGTCATTTCTATCTCACAATTTTTTTAGGAATGTTTGTACTAATGTAACTCTTTGTCTAAGATTGGCCAATTGGAGTGTCATGTGTAACCTTCAATGTACAGGGAAATCTAATTAGTTTGGGGATCAAATGGAGGTTGAGACTAGCCAAAAAAAGTGCACTAAAAGGTAAATTGAAATAAATATGTGTGTCATGAACGAAATTATTGTATGTCGCGGAAGAAAAACTTACCTGTCACAAGTTCATATCTTCTCTTTATTTGAGAAGTAACATAACAAGATAAATGTATCCTAAAATAATACCGAATGAACAAAGACTAAAAATTACCAAAAATATAGTCAAAAGTGGATGAATCAGCAAATTACTCTATAGATAACAAATTGAACAATTGATACATGAAATTCGATTCATTTACTATAAATAAAACAAATGAGATTACACATCAATCATGATCAGCAGGCAGGGAATACCGGCACAATGGGCAAAACCTACTTTTCTGCAGCCACTCCACAATGCAACCCTCATGGTAAAAATGTGAACACGGCATTCGATTCGCCTCGGAACCAACTACAATATCCTCCATGCAAATCGAACACATTGTCGAGAGTTCGACTCTAGCCCTCTCCAACTTCTCAATGAACGCCCTACTCGCAGGCACAAATGCAGGCTGATCACTACCGTCATCCTCAACCTCCAAAACATCCGTCCCCCCCAAACTCCTCCTCCATGTAATTCTTCTCAGCAACATAAACATCGACGCGCACCGCGATACGCAGAACCTTGGGCACCCCACAATGCTCCCTTGCGGCCTTAAAAGCTTCGGGCAATATGATCGTGTCAATCATGTCTTGATGAGCGTGGGAGGGGACTTGAAGCCGAGAAAGGGTTTGGGATATGACGGCGGCCAAGTCAAATGGGTTGTTAGCTAGGGGTTCGACTGTGTCTTCATTCTCATCCACATTCCAATTATCGTCTTCCAAAAACAACGACATATCTTCATTGAAATCAATAGGCTGCTGCAGCAGGCACCGCCGAACCGTGGCCTTGACATCCATCGAGAACTTGGTGCACGGCAACGACTCGTTTTCGGGCTCGAAAGCTTGCTGCAGCCATGCCTTGCAATACGTCTCGCCCACCACTTTCCAACTCTCACTGGCCATGGAAGTTATATTGTATCTCGACTGCAAGAAATTGATACAAGAAAATGGAGAATGAGTTGAATAAGGCAACTGTCTGTGGAGATGGAGAGGGTTTATATAGGATGCGCTTGGTTTCCCAATCAACCTAGGATTCATGAATCCTAGAGATGTATCCTTTTCCTAATTGCTTTAGGAGAAAGATATTGGGGCGGGAGTTTTTATTTATTTTATTTTAATTTGGTTTTTGGAGTCTTCTGTCCAAATGTTCAAATCCTCTTTCCTGATATATATACCACTATTAATTTAAAACCTTGTATGGAGCCAATTGTTGGATTTCTTTCCATAACGATTGGATTTCTTTCCATTATCTGAAAACTTAATTAAAATATGTATTTCTCAAAGAAAAAAAAAGAAATTTGAGATTAAATTACCCAATTTTCGTTTTAAATACGACAACTTTATTTATTTATTTGAGTTTAATACTAGTTAAAAATTTAAATTTTATTAAAAAACAAATGCATGGGCAAAAAGGTAAATCTCATACATTGTGACATAATGTCAAATGTTTGTGACCTAAAGTAAAACAATTAATGGGTCAAACCCAAGTAGCCTAAGTGAAAAAAAAAATATCACTGGCTTGGTGAAACATTTAAAATTCCACAAATTGTCCTTAATTAACTTAAAATATATAAACAAAAAAATCAAGTTGCCATGTTAGTAGCATGTGCTAAGGAGCTAATTATTATTTAATGTGTAAAGGGTATCCTTTTTAAAGGTATTAGATGGATCGTGGGAGATGATACAACAGATTAATCGGATTTTTTCTTTTTCTTAATTTAACTGATTGATCATAAGAAAGTAAATATAAATGAAACTTCAGCTGATTGTATTTTATTTGGACATTAGAACCTGGACGAACTTTATTTGGTACTTGCAAATGATATTTAACAGTATATTAAAGCTACTAATATACCGTTAGGGTTAAGTCGTCAACATTTTACTTCACGATTTTCGTTAAACCTAATTTGGAAAAATTTCTTAGCAACTAAAATTACCTTCTAAAGTAAACCTTTCTTTTGGTTATTGTTATAACGAAGTGTTTACGCATTTAGTACTCTTTGTTGTGCACTAACAACGAAGTGCTTCTACACTTGGTAGTCTTCATTGTGCACTAATAATAACGTGCTTCTACACTTACTAATTTTTGTTGTGCAGTAACATTAAAGTATTTTTGCACGTTATAATTGTAAAAATAAGTACATAAAGTTGACCACAAAATAACTTTTTTTAACAAAGAAAATTGTGACAACATGATGTATTCGTCTACATTACGAACCATTTAATTATAAAAATTGGAGCTACGAGCCCCCAATGATTTGAAATTCACTCTTATAATTTTCCCCTTCAAATTATAAGCATAAAAACATAATTGCAAAATGTTATTTTTCAAGTTTTTAGGTCACATTATCACATACAAAATAAATAATTTTAGTTTTACTTGGTCTTTGGTAAAAATGCTCTCTACATCGTGAATTGTAGGTGTAGGACAAGCGATCGTATGGTGGGCCCATCAATGAAAACGTGTGGGGGAGGCGGTTACGCATCAAAAGCTATCCTATCATATCATAATCAGATGCATACGGAACGTGGGGCCTCATGGCCACAGCATCAACGGTTGAGATCCATAGCGTAGGATCCCTTCCTAAAGTCCACTACACCAACGGTAGAGATCTACCCGTTCTGAAAATGCAAAAGAGTTGGGAATTACAATACTAGGACTCGGAGGCGGTTCTGACGGCCTAAACAAAACAAAGAGAGAGAGAGAGAGATGGATAGGTAGGTGAGCAGCAGGCAGAGACTAGAAGAGGTTTTCTCCCCAGCTCACAGCTAAGCACTCGCTCACAGCGAAAACCAAACCCTCAAAATCACATTTTGCTCTCTCTCTCTCTCTCTCTCTCTCTCTCTCTCTCAATAATTTAATCGTTCACCTTTCCTTCAAAGTTCAAACGCCATTCCAATTCTGCGAATGCTCTAGGGTCTCTCTCTCACGTTCAGTCCCTGAAAGAAGCAGCCAAGGAAGACAATGGAGTCCACTGAGTCCTCCTACGTGTCGTCACCGGAGGCCCCGCGGAGGCGCTCATCTCCGCCGCCCAAATCACCAGCTTCAGGTCGCTCTCTCTCTCTCTCTCTCTCACACACACACACACACACACACACACACTCTCTCTCTCTCTCTCTCTCTGATCTGATCCGCTTTCTCTCTCTGCTGTCTTTCCATGTGTGTGTTTTCCTGTGATTATTGGCGATTGCTGTTGTTTCTGTAGTTTAATTGTTCGGTTTAATGGTACAATCATGGCAATGCCAGCTTCGTTGAAGTTATGTTTGCTCTCTGTGTACTGAAACCCTAACCCTAATCCTTACCAACAACATTCTGTTTGTTTGCTGAGAAAATTGGAGGAGATTCGAATTGAAAGAAGATACTGTTGTAAATTACGTTTCAGTTTATCAGATTTGGCTGAGCAAGTCTATTGTTGTATAGGTTTGTGCTCTAAACTGGTGTGATGGCCATGACAATTTCTTGTGATTGGTGCGATGGTCATAATATAGCATAATGAGTTCTATTGCGAGTGTCTTAAGAGTGAAACCTCAAATAGGATCTGATTTCCTATAATCTTAATTGCCTTAGGTTTTTATTTCCCCATCCTACTCAAACCAAATGGTGTCTTAGAAATTTTTGGATTTTCTCGGAGTTACTGTGGGATGAACATGGTAAGCTTGTATGTTGAATTGTGGTATAGTAGGAAACACCTGTACTCATGATTCAAATTGATAAGTGCGGATCCAGTTCGGCATGCAAAGTGGGCATGTGAAATTTATGAGGGATTTTTCTTCTTGGCCTTACTCTTTCTTTGGGTTTTAGGCCTTGTCTTATCATTGGCAAGGATGGAGGAAAAGAAACAGAAAAATTAAAGCATAGAACAGGAAAGGAAAGAAAGGAGTATGCATAAGACACTGTTCTTTCCATGGCATGTTTTTAAAATCTGTAACACCTTAATTAAACTTTTGTAGGCCAACTGGAAAAGGGAGACATGTTATGCATTTATTAGTCTAGCATGAACAGATAGGATATTTTCCTGGATTGTCTGATGCACAGTTGGTTGAAGTGGCTGGATTCAGATTTTTTGCATCACAAGTGCTGCATTATTGGACTTGGTTGGAACTTGGAAGATCATTACAAATGGGCTAGACTGTATCCTGTCTTATGAACGTTCCTAAAAACACAGATTTCATTAATGGTGCATTATGGCGGTGGTTGGGGATCACAAATGAATGGATTTGATAGCTTCTTAATAATTTTTGGTTTGCTTGGTTACCATTTCACATGCTTATATGTTATTTATAGAAAAATCCAATAAGTTCTGAATTTCAACTTTTTTGGTTGATTGATCAAATGCTTTTTTTATATTCTGTTTTTTTAGGAATATTAACAGGTAATGGATCCTTTGTAGATAATAGATAGGGAAACTTAATTTTATACATTTACTCACTAGATATTATGGAAGGAATTAAAGCAAATGTGAAGAGAGCTAAGTGAGTGGCAAACTCTTCACAGATGTTGTTTTTGTTTTACTTTTCCTTCATTTGTTTCTGTGTGAACTCTTGATATTTAACCTTTTCAAAGCATTTGTGCACTTGCAATATGTAGTATTACTTTTACAGTTGTATGTAATATTCTTTCCAAGTTAGTTTTGACCAATTATTTCCCAGACAGAAGTTAACTCATACGTGCAGCTTCTGAAATGTAATAAACCAGCCTTGTTATTCTTATGGACTAGTTTTCTTCTGTTTTGCTTCTTCCAGATACTATGGAGAAGCCCACATACGTTAGGTTTCTGGTATCAAATGCTGCAGCTGGTTCTGTAATTGGAAAGGGTGGTGCAACAATCACTGATTTTCAATCGCAATCTGGAGCACGAATTCAGTTGTCACGCAATCATGAATTTTTCCCAGGAACAACCGATAGGATTATTATGGTTTCTGGATCAATTAATGAAATACTGAAGGCTGTGGACCTTATTCTTGCTAAGTTACTGAGTGAGGTACCTGTTATGATATGGTTTCACATTATATGTTTCTTCAACAGTAGTAAACTATATATTTCTGGTGTTAACTGTGCTTTCCCTATGTTGGTAGCTTTATTCTGAAGAAACTGATGATGTTGAACCAAGAACAAAGCTGAGATTAGTTGTTCCAAATAGTTCTTGTGGTGGCATAATTGGGAAGGGAGGGTCTACTATAAAGTAAGAACTATTTCATAATTGTTGCCATGCTTACTGATGAAATAATACTTTTTCTCTTAAGGATAAGATTCTGAATTATTGTATTTGAAAAACTTGTTTAATTTGTTCTGTCTTATAGAATTTCTGATATTAGAGTTTCATTTCTATCCACATTAAATGTTTTTGGTATATAGTTTGAAAATTCTCTGTTGATTGATTAGATGATATTGGGATTTATTGGTGGCTGTCATGTAAGGTTTAGATGTATCAGAAACACTGGTGAGAGCAATGCTTTTCCTGTTGTTTCCTTAAATAGAAGTGACAAAATAAAGTGATACTCCCTGGTGTTTGTACTTCTCTCAAGCATTGAGTTCATGTATAAAATGCTTATATTTGCATCTTTACTTCACCAATGACATAGCTATGACACTTTTATAAGAGGTACAGATACTTGAAATGTGATTCAAAGTATATTGCATCTTTACTTCAATGGTTAGGAAACCCATCATTTATGTATAGTCGAAGTTCTCCAACTAATATAAATGTGTTATGGTGCTTCGAACATGTATCTAAGTAAGGAGAAAACTGAAGATATGAAGTTGGAGATATTGTTCTTGATGAAATTGGAATGAAGTTGTTCAAAGATGCTTGTAAAATGTCTAGATGAGGTTTTGGATAGAGTTTTATGCTGTTAGTAATCATGAGAGAATCATCAGTGTTTTTGCTAAACTAGTGGATTTACATGCTATAATTATTGAAGTGTGGTTGGTCAGCTCCATATTGTTGGGCTCCTGCTCAATAACATAACTCATTTGAGTGAACTGGACTGTGTTAAATTATCTAGGCCTTGCAAAATGAAGGGCTGTTATGGATTGTGATAGGGCTCTGAATGGCGCATGATGTTAGGTTGGCTGTTAATATCAAACAAAAGTTGTAGCTTACATAGAATTGTTGTGCCTGAGCCTGGTTCATATGTCCTATAGTTAGACGCCTATCACCTCTGTCCATTTGTGTTGCCGATTCACTTGCTTATCTTGTTCAGCTACTCAATTGTGAAGGAGATCATGACTTATGAAGAGAGTTTTCAGTATACAGTTGATGGAGATGCCCTATTGATTCTTTTTTAAGGAGGAAAAGAAGAGGGGGGGGTGGGGTTGGTGGCACATTCGTGCCTGTGGAGTAGTTCTTATTTAAAAGAGACTTTTTTTTTAATGAAAAGATACAATACATTCAGTTGGACAAGGAGTCCGCGTCAGCAATTATATTAAGTGGACATTTTGGCACTTAACTTCCCCTTCAAATTTGGTCATTTGTTTGTATTTTAAAATTGCTGGGCCTTTGCTTATATTTTTGCATGATTTGTTAAATTAAAGGACTTTTAATAGAACAACTCATACCAAGGGAAGCCATGCTTATTCCATGTTGCTTTGTAAGATAAAAAAAGGCTTAGTAAGATAAAAAATATTAGCAGTTTTTTGGTGCTTAGATGCTAAGGCAGAAGATTTACTAATTAGTATCTTTATGATTTTTGAAGGCGTTATTGGCACCTGTATAGAGGACATTTTATTTATTTATTTATTTTTTTGTGGTAAAAATTTGTAAACTGATATTTTCCAACCATGTTTGATGAAAATTTCACTATAATTTTATACTTCAGTGCCCTCATTTGTATGTGTCAGACCCCTCCTCTCCCCCCTCTTCCCTACAAATTGCTGACATTTTCCTTTGACCAGGTCATTTATTGAAGGGTCACAAGCTGGAATTAAAATATCCCCTCAAGACAATAATTATTTTGGGTTGAATGACCGGCTGGTGACAGTAACAGGAAATCTGGATGAACAGATGCGGGCAGTTGATTTAATTGTTTCTAAGCTCTCTGAAGACCCCCATTACACTCAGTCTATGAATGCCCCATTTTCTTATCCAGGTGTGCCCACTTATGATCATATTCTTAATTTATTGCTGTTAAAAAAAAAATCTTCATTTATGGAGCTGCTTGGGGTTTTTGCATGCTAATAGTGCAACTTCATGTGATTTTGGTCACCCTCTTTTGAAATGAATTAAGGAACATGATTATAGATGGTGTATTGGTTTTCACTATTAAACATTTTTTTTTGGTTTCATCTTGAAATATGATTCTTTAGATTGTTTCAAGTAAATAAAGATTTGTTTAAAAAAATATATATTATTTCTAATTATTTTACATTCCATTTACTTTCGTGTAAAATGCATAACATATTCGACTATGCTAGATCAGTATCCGAATTGGCGAGCACACTTCTGCTCGAGAGGAAAGAGGTTCCCAGTTTGGAACTCCTCTCCCCCACAAAAGAAAAAAGAATGTTATAACTATCAAAAGGTTCATAGAAATCTGATACTTACATGTTTCAGTGTAGTTAGCCTGAGGTAAATCACATTTGTTTTTCACTCGAGCACACCATATTTTTTTTCTGGATTAGGCGTCCTTGGTTATTGATTTTGTTAAATTATCCCTCAAAATATGTTGTGGTCTCCATTTTTTTCCCTTATTTAGGGGATACATGTGTTTTTATTTGAAAAAATCCAAGTTAACTTATTTATAATTGTTAAAGTTATCAACTTCAAAATATTATAGCTTGCATTGAAAATGTTCCTTCTCTTTGTGAATTTTGTATTTTAAATCATTCGTTGAGATCTCTCAAACAAGATACACAATGAAAATGAAATTATGTAAAACCAATTGAAGTAACTTTGATATATATGCATTGATCAAGAGATCCAATCGTTATCCTTCTATAATTCAATCATAGCACACACCAAAAATCTTCTCTATCTATGGTCTCATTTGTACAAGAGTCCAAGATGCTCTCATAGCTTTTCCCATGACTCCCAAAGCCTCTATGACAATGAATATATTACATATTTAATTTCATCACCCGAGAAACATTAGATGGTACACAACTTGGTTACAAGAATCGTGCAATGTATCATTGGTGCATCACACCAAAATAAGTAGGTTTAAGTGGTGTACCTATGGAACCAATTACATGTGTAATGTTCCCTATGCATCTCTGAAACAAATACATTAAATTTTTTGTATGAGTTTATATTGTCTCTGTGTCTTGTTTGATAGAGTTCGAGGAGTACTTGTCAGAAGTACGAATTTTAAGATAGACATGTATAATGAAAGAGGAGTGATTTTACTTTTTGAGAAAAATTATAACATCCCTTCAGTTGGTTTCCTGTGTGTGACATAGAATGACACTTTTGTAGTTTCTGTTTTTTCCTTGGTATATGCGTGCATCCATTTGACTCTTCTACTTAGGCAACACTCGAAAGGTCTGAAAGTCATTTGACAGGAGCTAATAAATTTGTAACCCTGTCACCGGGATCCAAATTTTCGTTTTAAGTTTTCTGCGCAATTGAGGGGCACGGCTTGACCTTGCACTTAGGACGAGCCCTTAGAAAGTAGGTGGATTTATGAGTGACCTATCCGAGTAGGGCCTTGTAGTGGACGTTTTGTGTGTATAACATTTTATGACAACATTTGAAGATCATAATTTTTTTTTACCGTGTTCGTAAATAGTGATTCTTGATGGCCATTTGTTTCCCTGCATGATTGCATGATTGCATGATTTCATATAATTGCCTAAATTGGATTGTACAAAACTGTTATGGTGAGATTTGATGCCTAGTAAGTTCTCTCCAACTGAACTTATAGGTGTTTTCTTCTCCGGTTTTCATGGTATTCCATATACATATGTGCTTCCTTCTGTTGCCACAGCAGCGTACAATGCAATGAGCTATGGACCACCAAATGGGACTGGAGGAAAGTTTCAGAATAACAAGGTTCATCCTTTTTCCACTAAGATATAATCTTATTTAAATTAAAAGACGTGCAGGGACTTATGATATAATTTTTCAAGAACAGATACGCTTATTAGGCTGCCATTTTCTTGACTTGTTAGTGTTGAGGAGGGATAATATTTGTGAATTCACATTGAAATATTACAAAAGTTAAAAACAAGACTGCGGACGTGCTTGAAAACATGACTTTGTCTAGTGGTTCTTCTGGAACTGATTTATACTATGCTCAGAATAGATAAAGTAAAATTGGAAGTTCTGTTGGTAGGCGCATCAAAATGCGTCATTGATTTGATCTGTTAGTCTGTTTGGAAGTAGAAAGTATTGCATTAGCCTCATTGCCATGGAGGTTAAAAAGTGCCACTGAATGACAATGTGTCCTGCATAATTTTGTCATTAAAAAATGTAATTGATCGCAAGTTTAAGTGCATAATTGTTTCATTTTGTCTATCTATCTGTCCGATCTTCAATAATAATAAAAAATACCATTTTCCTTTCTTGATCCATTATGAGTGGTTCTAGCCTTCTAGAAAGAGGATATTGGGTATGGTTTTAATTGTTTGTATGTTGTGCAAAATGGCTGCTCAACACCCCAACGTTTTACCATTGCATAGGGTTTGGTACTGTGAACTAATACTTTTTGTAATCCATCTTTTTTCTGATGCTCCATCCCCGTTTTCTAAATCAGTCCCTGTAAATCCATCAGGAACTGTGTTTTTTTTTGGGCATGTCTGAGTCAAAACAAGCTACCTTCATCCTTTGTGCTGTTGGTTTTCAAGTGACTAAAGACATTCTTTTGTTTTCTAGGAGGATCGAAGTAACTCAGTCACTATTGGCGTTGCAGATAGTCATATCGGGTTGGTTGTTGGCCGTGGTGGAAGGACCATAATGGAGATCAGTCAGGTTTATAATTAGCAACTTATATATTTTACCTTCATAACATCTGCAGAAGCTCTAATCAGAGAATTTGTTTTGCAGGCTAGTGGGGCCAGGATAAAGATATCTGATAGGGGTGACTTCATGTCTGGAACTACTGATAGGTATAAAGAACTGTTGAGATCATTTGTTTGCTGCTCACGCTATGATCTCCAATGTCTTTAACTTTCCTCCATCTGTCTAATTCTGCAGGAAGGTGACAATAACAGGGTCACAGAGGGCAATCCGTGCTGCCGAGTCTATGATACTGCAGAAGGTGTCCTATGCTTCCGAAAGGGCGATGGAATAGCTTTCTGACTATCTCAACTCATTCTCTTCGAGAATCTCTTGGTGGACCTGTCTGAATTTTTCTTAAACATTTCTGATATTTATGTCCACTTACGTTCTCACGGGATGATAATTTGGTTGAGAAAAATCCAAAACCTGTAGTAGGAAGCAAGAACGGGAAACAAACTTCTTTTTGTCAGAAGAGCAACTTACAGGGGCTATCTGAGACGACCTATAATATTTCAGGGAGGAAAATGTTGGAGAAAGTCATTATTTATTGACCAAATAGAAGGATTAGCAATTATTTCTTAATTTTATACAATTGTAACTTCTGAATTTGTAGGTGTTGTCTGAATATACCTTTGTTAGATATTGTCGTTCAAATCATCAAGTTCTTATAACGAAACATTTTTTCCTTGTTGGCTATTGAACAACCCGGATTTACGTACATTTAATGTGAGATACTCAATTCATTCCATAATTGCGAAGATTGTTGTGTCTTAATTCGGATTGAAATAGTTCTTGTGTTGCAACAAAAAAAAATTCCTTTATTTTGTTCTTAAGAAAAAGGGACTTCTGTTATATTGAAGTATTTTAACTTATGTAAGTTAATAAGCTGAGTTTTTATGCATAAAGTAGATGTATTAGTCGGATTTATACATTTTTATACATAAATACATTAGTGAGCACATGGGATTTTCATGCTGGGTTCAAACTAGGACCTTGGGTGTTGGGTTTGACCATTCTTGTTATGTTTTTCGGCTAGGAAAAGAGAAGGTTACAACAGAAAACATCCAGGGCACCATGCCCAAAGAGGTCGAAATAGAAGCTATTGAGATTAGAAAGTGGGAGGCAAGAGTCCCACAATGTAAAAGGAGAAAGTGAATGTCCTGAACTATTAGAAAGTGGGAGGCAAGAGTCCCACAATGTAAAAGGAGAGAGTGAATGTCCTGAACTAGCTAACGCATCAACCACAAAATTCCTCTCGAAACACATGTTGAAAACACTCGACCATTCAGGTGAACCGAATTGATGGTTGCATTTTGTTGCTAAACCCTAATCAAGGAGTAGGAATTGAGACAAGATCAATGCGTTGTGCGTCAGTTCCCAACCTTTTTGAATCCTAAATTACATTTGTTGATCACCATTTGGTTAACGAGTTGATTTGTGCATGGTTAAAAATGATTTCTATTCCACATGGCCAAAAATAAAGAAAATATTAAATTTGAGAAATTATATCTTGCTAGACTATCTAGCAACTTAAAATACTTATATTGTCAGATTATAAATTTATGCAACTTGTTTTCCTTGTTAGATTTCGTAGTAACATAAGATGATTCATTCATTATGTTGATTTGACATGAACATGTGGTTCGGATACGGAGCCTGGCAACATAAATATCAGTTTGGCAAGAGAAGATCATACTTACTTTCTCAAAACAAAAAATGGGGTTTTAAGGGTGTCTTGCATTTTTGGCATCTATGTTTCGAGTCACTGATATACAGCTTGTCTACATATTACCATACAATTATGTTTCTCAATAAAACCATTTGCAACACATTTACTTAGACATCATACCACGTCTCTAAGAAAGGAGAAAATCTTATACATCACGTAACACTGTTTTGTCATTCTTAATTAATCACGTGACGTCATGAGTGATAATTGATTCACATGACGACACGTAATAGTTAGAAATATTTAAAACAACGTTATTTTCGTGAGTCATGCAAGTTCTTCTCAAAAGAAAAGATTGATGGCTTATAGAGTAGAACATAAACTTTCTTTATTATTTGACACAAACAAAAAAAAACTTTCTTTATTAATAGTATAATCGGACTAACAATGTGATAATTATAAATGTTTAACAGGGAAAGGTGGCATGCACATATACTACGTCCACCACCACATTTATACCGATATATGGATGCATGGATAAAGTGATGGTGAAATCTAAGCATTTATTTCAGAGTTACAAATGGGCAACGATGAAAATTTACCTAACAGTCAAATAAGTTCATGTAATATTATATTCATGGTGAATCATCTTCCCCGACTCCACCACCGTATCCTGACCCATAACCTGACCCGTAGCCAGAGCCCCTACCACCGCCGTGGCCGCTTCCACCGCCTCCGCCACCGCCACCTCCTCCACCGCCGCCGCCACCGCCACCTCCCTTGCCGCCTCCGCTTCCATATCCACTTCCACTTCCATATCCGGAGCCATAACCTGACCCACTTCCTGAACCCGAGCCTCCACCGCCACCTCCACCACCACCTTTACCACCTCCGCCACCTCCACCACCTCCTTTCCCACCACCAGACCCATATCCCGAGCCACTGCCGGACCCATATCCCGACCCAGAACCACCATTTGCACCGGATCCACCACCACCGCCACCGCCTCCACCTTCACCCCCACCGCCTCCTCCTTCACTACCATACCCTGAGCCACTCCCAAAGCCATGCCCCGAACCATACCCGGACCCAGACCCGGAAGCTGAGCCACCCCCTCCTTCCCCTCCTCCTCCTCCTCCTCCTCCACCTCCACCACCACTACCCCTACCTGCTTTGATAGCCTTTGATGACCTAGCAGCAAAGGAAAGCTCCACGAGGAGCAAAACCAAGAACGCAGCACCAATCACCTTAGTGCTGGCCATACTCGAACTTCAAAAACTCAATGTGGGTTGTGTAGGTTGGTCAAGATTCTTGAGAATGTGAATATATTTAAGCGTACTGGTTGATGTTTGTGAGTGAATAAGTTTCCTCAAAAACCAATGCTAGCTGTGAGTGCATAAGGTCGAGGCAATGAGGTCCCTATATATAGGCATCCGAAAGCAAAGCCAAGGTACTTTTTCAAACTTTGATGACAACATGATATTCCAGTAGCTTCTTTTGCACTTACTAAAGTATCATCAATGGCGACGTGTCTGTGGTTTTCTTGATTGTTAGTGGCATTGGTGGTGGCGGTAGGTGTGGCGGTGGTGCTTTTGTGGGTGATCCCGTGTTCTTGTCTTCATGCAATTCCTTGCTGTTCAATGAAAGTTTTAGCTCCACTTTTGACTCCAAATGGTCCTATATAGGGATCTACTTAGGACGTGGGCCCACATGCCAATGCCATGCCCATAAGATGCATTCACACTTCAATAATCTGTGTTGCATATATGAAGGCCATACTTAGTGCATGAGTTTTTCCATTAACGATTCAATGAATTAGCTACTAGTAGTGGTGTTATTAATTATTTTTTGGTGATGTGTGTTACATGTGTCTTTCAGATCGTGGGTTCTCATTAGTATATTAGTCACATATCACAATTGTGGCCAAACTGGCATCTAGCTAGTTGGAATTCTTAGCCATCCTTGTGAAAATGGTTTGAAATATGGGTTATTGTGGGTATAACGAAGGGGAATTCAACTGTTACAAATTGAAGGTGATTCGCAGATTTTAATCAAGTTGTTACAAGGATCCCAACCTCCTCCTTGACATCTTTTGTCACTAATGCAAAACGCCAACCTGGTAGCTGATGATCTACTTGTATTTGGTTTACACACTTTCCTTTGCCTTTTTCTTTGAAGTTTATGTATGATTTGGAATTCTTAGAGGATCCTCCTTCTAATTTCTTTCTTGATACAAAAAAAATCAACCATAATTTGCAAGATTTTATAGTAATCATTGTCGTGATGGCATATTAGATCATATTAATATACCATGATTAACTCGGGGATTGATCACCATATACACAAAGCTAGCTCTAAACCCTAAACTCTAAAATCCAAACTCTAAACTTATTGGAATTTATCACTAAAAAACTAAATCTCAATCCTATATGACAAGCACTTGGCATTCGCAACTCATTGCTTGCCATCAAATAATCTCAAATAACAGCTGTAAATTTTGCTGACTCTCCTTTGTGATCATGAACATCATTTTCACATCATGTTCCCTTGCAAATTTTTAATAACCAACAAATAAAAGGAAGAAGAACCGATAGGCCTACGCGTATGAAAGGTTATCTCAAACTTTGACAATTGAATTGCGCTTTGCTATGGTTAGCCATTTCAACAGCAATTATGCTTTTGGAAGGTCCTGAAAATCTCAGGCCACAAAAACCCACTACACTCTCTCTCCTCACCAACCCAAATTCCTTCCTTAATCGATATCGCATGTGTTAGTGGGTCTTTCTTGAAATGTACGCTTTGAAGGACAAATGGACCTATATATGTTCTTCCCTATCTTACTTTGCGTGAGTGACCATTTAGGGCTAGCTTGCATGCACTTCACCCTCAATCATAGCAATGTATGTGTACAGTGTACCCATCATATCTTACCAAAACAGCATGAGCTCTAAATATATTCCTAAGAAAATACTCTCTCTTTCTTCTATAATTCAAAACTCCTATTTTTCTGCCAATCACAATTAATTTGATATGATAAATAAATTCTTTTGAAATATTTTTAATGGAAATCTTTTTGCATAATTGTGAATAGCACGAAAGCGTCTCATTCTACTTGGAGAAGGAGGCAAGCCATGTGTAATTAGGATAATGCTTCCCTTTTTGCCTGTAAAGAGGAACTTCTCCTTACCTACGAATGTGGCTAAACCACAAACTAACATTTGTCTTTTTAAAAAAAATTCTCAAATGTGCATTTTTTTATCACTTTAATCATTCTTAACAAGAGAGACACATATCAAATTGTAGCTGAGCCACATCAGTAGAGAAAGAGAAGTTCCTCCTTAGTGGACTGAGCATAGGTTATCGATTGAGCATAGGTTGTATAGGTTTATTCGCTTAGGTTTGAGCGTAAATTGTAGCTAAGCCACATCAATGCGCAAGAAGAGAAGCATTATTCGCTTATCGATTGAGCATAGGTTGTATAGGTTTGTATCCACATTTAAAGGAACATCACATGCTTAGTGGACTGATTTGAGGATGCAAAAGAGACAGTGGAAGACTTCGTACGCGGCGCTAGGCCTTAACTAGTGGTTTACGCGTAATCATGAAATCATGATTCACGTGCGGTATTGGGAGGTATTGATTGACATGTGTCATCATAATAATACGACATGTGTTATCATAATAATATGATTGGTTAGTTAGTCAGTTAGCATCGTTATTTAAGGATCAAACTCACAGTTTATCTATCGTACTCGTTCTATTGTACCAAGTGTTGTGTGAGCTAATTAAGGGATTTATATCCTAATCAGCATAGTTGACTAATTCTTGTACATTAAAAACATAATTACCTCTCTTGATAAACACACTTACGCAAATCTTATGTAACCTTTATGTCAGACCGGTTCATTGATTTTGGAGGCTTTGAACAAAAATGAAAAATGAGGCATTTTTTGTTTAACACTTACCTTATTTTAAACAAACATTATAATAAAAAAGTTTCAAACCTAAGTGGTAAATAAGTCTCATTTATATGAAAAATAAATTAAAAAACCCAAAATAGTTCAAATAAAGCCCAAAAAACATTAGTTCCACACATAGAAGGCCTTTTTGCTAGCATACTTATTAGACTAGAGGTGTGTAGGAGATACATATTTCCTTTGAGAGAGAAATATGCCTTGCATTGATCGAGCTACCTCAATACCCAAGAGATACTTGAGTCCACCTAGGTTCTTCATCTCAAATTCTATGGCCAAATAGTCTTGCAATTGAAATATTTCTTGTTCATCATTCCCCTTAATAATCAATATCATCAACATAGATTATTAAAGCTCTCACCCTCCCTTTTTGGTGTTTTAAGAACAAAGTAGGATATGAGTTACTTTGCTTGAAACCATAGTTTTTCATTGCCATGGTGAACCATCCAAACCATGCGTGAGGCGACTGTTTCAATTCGTACAACACCTTTCTTAACTTGCACACCATACTAGTCTGAGTAGAAGTAGTGCAGGCGGAATGTCCATGTATACCTCCTATGTGAGTTCTCCATGCAAAAAGAAATTTTTTTTTTTTTTTTTTTTTTTTTTTTTTTATTACACATAAATGTAGTGGCTGGTGAGCCCCTAAAAATTTCAAAATATTGTTACGCTCACTATATTAATTGCATGGTCCTATTTGAGGTAAGTGGAATTTTTTTTTCACAATTAAATACCATTATTATATTTGAGAATAAATTATTTTCAACAAATTTGAAGTTAGAATTTTGGTATTTTCGACAAGCTTGTGGTATTTTTCGGAAGTCAGAAGTATTTTTGGTGAATATTTGAAGTTGGAAAATATGAAAATCAAAATACTAACGCCATATGGCATCGTGTGATTGGACCACATGGCAACATGTGATTGGCTAGTCCATCAATGATTGAGTTCATATATATTTTTTGAGATACAACGAGGTTCTATTGTGTTAGGCTTATAGTTTTTAATATTGTTGTGCATATTTTGATGATAACAAATTATTACTTATTTATCTAATGTATTTTAAGTGTGATAAGTTGTAAGGAGCAGATATTCCCAAATGGATCAAAATAGTGTACACACTGGAAGATATTTGGAACATTGAAGCAAGAAGCCGATACTCAAGCAAATATTTTTTCAATACGCAAGAGTTAGGTTTTTCTTTTAAAACTCTTTGTGGATTGAACAATTAAGGCTTTTTACATAGATTGACCTTAGGTCCCTTTATGCATTCATATCATACATGAAAAATTGTTTTATGTAAAAATATTGGCTAAGTATGAAAAATGGTTTTTCAGAGTAATCATTTTCTCAAGATAATTTTTAGCAGCTTTTATTCCTTACTCTTCAAATAAGAAAACTTGATTTTATGGGATTTTTACATGAAATATATATTGACTTAATGAGCCATCATTTTTAGCCTAAATCGTATTTTGAACTAAAATCGATTTTTCATATTTTGATTTGGTGGGAATTTGATTTTCTAGTATTTTTATTTGAATCCAAATGGGGGTACTTCCTTAGTAATATAAAAATAAATGAAAGCAAAAGGACAACAACTATATTCCTAACAACTATTATTTTCCAACGACATTATTTTTCCAACATCTATATTTCTATGCTTATAAATATGTCTTCAGATTTTTGTAAAAAAAGGATAACTCATTATGTTCATCCAAGCTGACAAGCATTCATCATACTATGAATATCATTTTCCCTTGAGCCAATCCTGTTCAAATTCATACAAGAGTTCTAGCGTCCAAATTATTTCTGTATCACCTACTCAGAAAGGAGAGTTATGAGCTTCAATTGTATATCCTTCTCAAACATGAGAGATTTATTGTTCTGAGAGTTGTTTCATTCAAACTTGTAAAAGGGGCTGGTTTGACCCTGTGAGGTGAGAAAGAGATTGTAATAAGAGATTCTTTAATATTGAATGGGTCGAACTTAAAGGATAATAAAACCACATTGCTTAGGTAGTGGTGGTGAAATTATATTTGGAGACTCATTTTCCCTCAACAGTTATTAAGAACAAAATTCTTATCAATTATTGTATTGTAATTTCACCTCAATAAAAGTTCAATTTTGAATTCTACACTGTCTACATTCACATTAAATTCTTCACAGCTTACAGAGATCTGGAGGTACCTTTTGGCTTAGATATTTAGAGTTAAAAGCTTACACAGATACTGATTGAGGGGTGATCCTAAGAGCATCTCCAAGGGAAGAGGCAAATGAAATAGGCAAACTTGTATAATAACAACCTATATAGGTGGCATGTTGCCTATGCCTCGTGAAAAAAGTTGGTCATTACAAGAGACTAGGCAATGCAAGTCTACAAACTATTATTATATTATTTATTTTTATCTTTTATATTTACTATTATATTTTATAAAAAGTATGTGAAATAGTGTAGATGATATTTTAATAAAAAAAGTAAGTGGGGCCCAATATACCTCTTCATTTTGAAGTAGACAGTATTGCCTTATTGGGGAGAGTAGATATATTTTGCCTACTCATTTGTCTCTTCTCTTGGAGCATAAAAATGTTGATGTGACAACACAAATGAAAATAAGGTTTGCCTACTCTTTTGCCTCTTCCCTTGGAGATGCTCAAAGGGCAAGTCTACCGCACGGGGCATACCTGGATAGGAAGGGGCCATATTGTAGCTCCAGCGCGCCAAGTCCAGCCCGGGCAAGGGGTGGGTCCCGCGAGCCTAAGCAAGCCCACGGGCAAGAATCGCCTGGGCTATTGCCCGAAGGCTGCTGACACAATGCTAACGTCATAATGACGTCAGCAACCAAAAAAAAAAGAAAAAGAAAAAAAGAAAGCAAAAATTTTAGAATTTTTTATATATATAAATACCTAGCCATATTCTTTACTTCCCACACCAAAAACTCTGTACAAATTCATCTCCTCATATCTCATGTGAATAGTAATTGCCCTTGCCCTAGCCCATAGGGGTGGAAACAAAATTGCAAGGGCTGCCAGTATTCACATGAATAGTGATAGCCCTTGCCTTACTCTTACCTTGCCTTTGTCCATAGGGGTGAAAGTGTTCTAACGATATAAGATTCACCACGGTTTTGTAACCTTCCTGTGTACTTAGTCTCATTTCCTGGAGCTCTAAGAAGCATAACAGATCCTTGATATAAAAAAAAGAAAAAAAAGCATAATATAGTATCAGAGACATAAAAGCGTAAGGAGATTCAGCTGCTGCACATTCCCTTGCGGAAAAATTCCATAGAGAGGCCCCCGGCATGTGGTGGATGGCTGGACAAGTCATGCCAACCATCTGTTCGATGTAATGGTCCAAATAAAGGCTTAGCGGCAGCTTGCATGCATGTCTGTTCTTTTTTTATTATTTATTTATTCTTTAAAGTTATCAACCTTTCTCCCCAAGCATAATCAAAACAAGGGGAAAAAAAAAACAAAAACAAAAGAGGAGGCCAATAACCCCCCAAAGTCAAACATATTTCCCTCAAAGCAACTCAATTCCCCAACGCAAACCCTACCCACCCAAATAATTTTGCTGGCTTTATGATGTATTTAAAAGTTATTATAGCAAGTCATAATAATCTTAACTAGCAATACAAACAATTGCTAACATAAATTGATTATGAGCCTATCTTAAAGCATATTTTTTATATGCTAAGGTCCTTAATAAGACTATTTGCAAATAGTAAATAAGTGTTGATTTTATATGTTTTTTTATAGGTCAGTTTTGTCTTAAAAAAGATTTGTGATACTTTACGTGTCGACCATTGGAAGTAAAAATCCTGGATCCGCCTAGCTTCCTAAACCTCGGATGCCTAAAGCTCCCATTCCTTTCACTTCTCATCTTAGATGTACTCTTCTTCCTAAATGCATTCCTCAAATTCCCCATTTTCCTAATCCTAGATTTCCTAGCCATCACAACTCTACAAGTGGCATTAACAATAAGCAATGATGATTGGTAGTTGTTGCCAGTCCTAAGTGGCTATTATTTATTATAAATAACATTAGTATTGTTTAAATTCTAAAATCTTGTTTGGGCCTAAAATGGAAAAAAAACCCATTAAATTTTTTTTAAAAAAAAGTACAAATGGGCTTTGGGCCACTTAAATTCATAAATAGAAAGACTTAACAATGGAAGCTCAAGTCAAACCAGAAACAATCCCAGAGGTTTGACTTTCTAAAATAAGAAACCCTTGCCAATAATTCAGAAGGTGCTTATATCCGGGTAAAGGCATGACTACATACCCAAATCGAAACCCAAGTTGACTTCGACAACTGGGAAGGAGTCATGCAACAAAGAAAGGTTGAGCAACTGCATTTGAACTCTCAGTCTCTAACGGAGCCAACTTGTTGAAGAAAGCCATGCTTGGGCAGTTCACCGTCGATACAAGAATCAAAGCACTCAAGATTCGATAGTTTAACAAAGAAAGGATTGGTACCACATACTCAACCATTTCTTCACCAAGCGTGCGAATTCAAAATGACATTTAAATACAATATTTAAATTTTATTTTTGTAAAAACATTTTTTGTGTATCATCACTCTAATGAAGGTGGAGCCCACCAATACTATGGGTCCCATCTCTATTAGAGAGATGATACACAAGTTGGTCTCTCTAAAGATGGAGGGAAAACTCTCATGTAACGGGATAACACTTTTTGCAATTCCAAACCAGTAATGCAATGACACGTATGATAGCTTTTCAACGAGTCATTGTGTTATTGATTGGGGATAGCAAAATATTGCTATCCCCTGTTGCAGGTAAATTTTTTGCTAAAGGTGGTCTCCTTAGCATTTTTCAAAACAAAAAAAAAAAAAAAAAAAAAAAAATATAAGATACGACTACAATGTTGGTGGTAGTAATAGTGACAACGATGGTGATGCTTGTGGTGGCAGAGGAGCAAAACTACATAAGTATTTGTTCAAAATAAATACGTATTTTTAATGTATGCAACTTGAACCCATATATTTCCCTTATTAGCTTAAATAATAATAAAACTGAAATTAAAGTTGAAACTCTAGTTGAGTCCTACTCATCACCTAGCTGACAGAGTACTACATGTTAGCTCTGTGTTAGAACACATTGGATTCGAAATAGCATGAAGATTGTCTCTGGGCATCTCTTGTTGTGGATATAAAAGAAGCTTGGGAGGGAGCTGCAAGCATTCAACCTCTCCCTCAAGCATCTCTATAACTTTGTTCATCGAAGGACGATCACTTGGCTTCAATTGTATACACCACAAAGCAGTTATAATCATCTTTTTTATTATTTTCTTTTCCTCTTCTGTAGCATCATCCATCTCAAACTCTTTGCCCATGCAAAATTGGTCTGAGACCCAACGAGGAAAATAAATTTGGCTTGAATGCTCTATGGATGCGTTCAAATTCTTCCTTCTACTTGCCATTTCCATCAACAACATTCCAAAACTATAGACATCAGCTTTGTATGAGACACCTCCAATATTTTTGTAAAACAACTCAGGAGCCATGTATCCCATTGTTCCTCTTGCTGCCGTCAAAGAGACGATGGTATTACCCACCGGATATAGCTTTGCAAGCCCGAAGTCAGAAATCTTTGGGATGAAATTCTCATCCAGAAGAATATTGTGAGGCTTGATGTCAAAATGTAGAATTTGCATGTCACAACCTCGATGTAGATATTCAATCTCTTGAGCCACTCCAAGAGACATCTCATACATTTTCCTGCAACTTAAGGGGTTGCTTCCTTCTTTGCAATAAATATATTTATCAAGAGATCCATTTGGCATGAAGTTATAAATTAAGGCACGCTTTGATCCCTCAACACAATAACCAACAAGTTGAACCATATTAAAATGGTGAATCCTCCCAATAGTAGCTACCTCACTTATGAAATCTTGTCCATTAGCTTTAGGATTCTCCAAGATTTTAACTGCTACAAATCGACCACTGCGTAACTTTCCTTTAAATACAGAGCCATAACCTCCTTCACCCAACTTCTCATTGAATCTACTGGTCATCTTTTTAATATCGGAGTAAGAGTACCTTATAGGACTGAGGTTGTTATCACTTTGCAGGAAATCTTCTATGCTGCTATACATTGACAAATGCATTCTTCGCCGTTTGTAGATTAGAAGAGCAGCCAGAAATGGAACCCCAAATATAGATCTTACTTGGAAAAATGCTCCTGCAAAGCAACATCACAAAAAGAATCACAAATGACATGCTTTATTGGATATAATATATGTGCATCATAACCTTCCTCTTTGCTTCCAATTTTTTTTTTCTACTGGCAAATAGGAAATACAATTCTGCACTAAAGGAATATGCAAACTCTTACCGAGTGTCAGCCAACCGTAAATACCTGCAAGAGATACAAAGAAAAAGTGACCAAAATTAAAGGCTTGACTAAGACTAATTAGCAGACTACATCATATGAGGAAGGTGAAGAAGAGAGAATGGAATTTAAATTAGCCATACAAAATACAAGTAATAAAGCTATTTAAAATTTTACAATTTTTATTTTCAAATAATATTTGACATATTTTCTCCACATGTCTTTCTCATTTTCAGCCCTGTATCGCCTTATTTCAAGTAAAACAAAAGAAAACAAATGATTGAAGATGAGAAATAAAGCTTAACAAAAAGTCATAGATGATAGATTTAAACAAGTGACATTTGGAGAAGTTCAGAAAGTTTGAGTAAGAAATTGTAGACTTGGAATATAGCAAGTAATTCACCAAAGCCATACCCCAGTGAAAGTTGCTGGTCCAGGGAGAGTAGTGAAGCTCAAAGCCATACCCCAGTGCGTTGTGTATGTCATGATAAGAAAAGTTTCTGTCCTTTCCGTACAAGAACGACTTACTCATCAAAGTCGTCCACTCTATTCTGCACCCGTCCTCCATATCTGATGCCGTTATATTCCCATGCTTGACATAATTATATGTTCTCATCACAGACGAGTTCACTGCTTTTGCACACTTGAAGAAAGTTATAGGTATTGTACTTGATGCTAATCGAAGATGAGAAGTTAAGTTATATATGGAAAGCGAATAACGGGGGATGGAGGAGAAATCATGGTTGCGAATGCCAGGATCTACAACTCGGATTGTGAAGTTGTCGTTGTTGATTGCCTGCACAGAGTAGTTTCCCCTATGTACACTCAATACTGTGAGGTTGTTGTGACAAAAGAGGTCGTAATGCCAGTTCTCGCAGTTGCTTTGAATTGGATCGTTAGCTAGTCGAAATGGGCTGGTTATGTTGTGGATGTTACCGCAGGCAGACGGGATGCACTTACGATGGCTGTCCATAATTGATGTAGGTGTATGCCCTAAAGAATAAAGAATAATGGCTAACTCGGCATTTAAACCAAGCAATAATACACTTGCTATAACGAGAACACATAATCTGCAATTGCTTGCCATGGAGAGATAAATTTTCAGACACACTTCTTCAATCCGCTAGCTAGCTTTGGTCAAGCAGCTGCTTCATATTTTTATTGCTTGTGAGTCAATTCAGAGTTGTTGCCATTTACATTTTGTGTGGTGCATATTGTCACGACTTAGAGGTCAAAGCCGCGTTTGACAGTGGCTTGATAGATATATATGCCAAATCCATGGACCTGCATTTTCATATTGCCAATGACTTTCTTCCAAGTAGGGACAACGGCTGTCGCTAAAGATTATTTATTTATTTAAACAAATTTGTAATTATTAGAGCAACTCCACCCATTTGCCCTTAGCCATGGCAAGGGGGGGAGCTAGGGCAGCCACTATTCACGTGAATAGTGGTTGCCCTTGCAAAATCCAAATTTTGTGTTTCCACCCGTTGCCCTTGCTAAGGGCAGTTACTATTCATTTTTTTGTTTTATTCACAATTTTTTTTACCTCAATAATTAATTTGGATAATATTTTCGGATAAGATTTTCGGGTTCCTACGTGTCAATACTATTCATATCTCATAATCGGATAAAATTTTCAATTTCAAATTTCAGATAAATTATAAAAAAAAAGGCTGGTATTTATAGAAAAAAATTCATTAATTTTTGGGTATTTTTTAAAAAATTTTCCGAATTTTTTCCAGTATTTTATTGCAAAAAAATTGGCTGCCGTTGGATTGAAGGAAAAAATCAGATCGGAGAGCCCAGACGACGCCACGTGGCAACAAGAAAAAAAATCAAATCAGCGAAGTACTGTAGCGATACTGTAGCGGGGGTACTGTAGCAGTACTGTAGCGTGTACTGTAGCGCTACAGTAACCCCCCTCGTTTTGGACCTCGGGTAAGACTTGCCTTCGGGCCAGCCCGAGGAGGTGGGTCCCACACCCCCCCCGGGCCTGGGCTGCTCCGCTGGAAAGCTTTTTTTTTTTTTTTTTCTTTCCCCCTTGGGCTGGGCTGCAGCGGTGGAACCGCTCTTATGGAGTATATACTTGTACATACAGTAGTATAGTATCCACTTCACGTACTTGATACTGAGTGATATGAAGTTTAGTTAATTGTACACTGTACAGAAAGAAAAATGGATCACCATATACTTGCACAAAGGAAGATGCCTTTTTGAATAATAGTAAGCAATCTACATGATGAGGAATTTAACCAAATTATGGGCTGATATTGTCTCTACTTTAGTTTAATATTTTGGGTGGGTTTAAGCTCAATGGACTTCTAAGTGTAAGGTTTTTAACTTAAAAAGTCTCGGTGCAATTAATAGTGACCACCTATATTTGAACTATATTATTATTGTATTCTTAAATGTGAAACTTACACATTATGACTTGTATATGATTTATATTGAACCACCTACAATTGTTCAGGCTTATAAATCCATATAATGAACCAACAACTAACTAATTTCCAGTTAGCGCCTAAAACCTTCCAAAAGAACAACAAACTCCTAAATAATTTGCAACACATCAGCAACTGATAACTAATTGCCACATCAGCAGATTCCTAACAAAAGTACTATAGAATATGTAAAGTCTCACGTGTTCTGATAACCTAATTTTATAATGAGATTTAAATTTTATTTCTTTAGAGAAATCAAATATACAATTGAGTGGTCGTGATAACAGGCACTACTGAAAAAATGGGTTAAAAGCACAATCGAAAGAGCACAAAAGAGAGGTTCATGTCATTTTGAATCACATTTGACACAGATATGTAGTATTTGTGTGATATACATGGAAGATACAATTGTTTTGTGTCCAATGCCAACATAAGAAAAAAATAATTGTGCCTAAGTAGTTTAAGCACAAATTTTGTGGCCAATTATCATATAGCATAGTGTTTGTCACTTCAATGTAAGAATAGTTGAAGCTTTTGTAACCACGAAAAAATATACTTTTGTGCCCTTTTGCTTACAAATTAGGGAGTTTCACTAAAACACCCAAAATGGGGGTTGAAATTATAAAAAAACCCAAGCACTATTTAAACATATAAACACACCCAAAACCCATCATTACACACACTCAAAACCCATTTATAAACACACCCAAAAAGTTGACTTTGGGGTTGATTTTGGGTGTGTTTCTATGTTTAAATAGTGCTTGGGTTTTTTTATAAATACATGTCTAGAATTGGGTTTATTTATAAATTTGTATACAAGTTACAGCAACACAATATTATTTGTCTTTTACTTACCAATAAAAAAACATATTTCTTGGTACTTACGCGCATATTATTTTGAATATTATGGCATAGTATTGGGCATGGATATGAAATTTTGTGGTTAAATCCGTACACATTTCAAAATATAGCACGCATACTGAAATTGTGTCCTTTTAGGTGACCTATTGAGCACGAATTCTTTAAATTGTGTCTAGAATAATTTCAAAAATCTTCATAAAAACTATAAATAAAATACTTTCAGAAAGGCGCCTATCTTCCGGTAGAAGCTCCTCTCCAAATATCTCATTGAAAAATGAATATATTAAAGATACTAAAGATAAATATCATTGTTTATTTTTTTGTTGGAACGCACGCCTCTTTTTTCTTTTTATTTTCTCCATATTTTTAAATTCTTTTATTTTTCCTTCTTCCTCTTTCTACACGGCTCCATCTCTCTCTTTTTTTCTTTCTAGCTTTTTGTTTATCTTCTTCTTGGCTCTGAGATGAGAATCTGGATTTACGTTAGTTAATTTTTTTCTTAGGGGATGAAATTTGTTGTTTATAGGTGAGTTTTAAGAATGCATTTTGATATCAATTGATGATTTTATGAATTGGTTTTGAGTTCGATTGGGATTTCCTGAAGTTGTGCTATTGAGGTTTTGAATTTTTGTTTAGAATCCAACATCTGCTGCTGCATTTCTCGGAGAATTTGATATTTCGATATCAATTAAATTTGCTTTTATTTGATTTCTTCACTGAATCTGAATCTGATTGTATGCAATTTTGAAATGGGAAGATAAAGAAGATGAGGGGAATTGGAAGAAGAAAGCATATCTGGACATTTGAAGATGCCATTGTCAGAAGGGAATTTGTTGCAAATTATGGGGGCTCTATTGTAAATCTGTAAAATACGTAGATACTCATAGTTGTACAAAGAATGATTTAACAAATTTATTTGGTTTTGGTATCTGAGTTTTTAAATTTGATATTTATGATAATAATATTATGATATTTTTTGGGAAAATAAAGAAAAAGAATTATAAAATGCGACACAAAGACACATAGAATTTAAAGTTTATAAAGGTACTCATAAAAATTTAGAGAAGGATTATATTTGTGAGCTTAATGATTTATGTTATTGATGTGAGACATAAAAATCTTGGCATTTGAAACATAAGATAAATGTTTAAATCATAATAAAACTGCATTAAAGTTCATCATCACCTAGCTGACAGAGTACATGTTAGTTATGTGCTCGAACACGTTGGATTTGAATTAGCATGAAGATTGTCTCTGGGCATTTCTTGTGGACATAAAAAAAGCTTGGGAGGGGGTTGTAGGCATTCAATCTATCCCTCAATCTCCTTATTCACCTGATTTTTTAGGTTTGTTCTTGCAATCATATGATGGTTAATTCCAAATGCAACACATAATTTCTAAATTATAATCAATGGCGGAGCTAGGAATTCTATTAAGGAAAGTCAACTTTAAATAGCTTTATAATTACATTAAATTTAGTTTTTATAATAAAATATATTTAAGAATTCATTATAATGATTAAATTTCAATATCACAAATTTAATATCTTAGTAAGTATAACCCAAATTCTAGCAACCTAAAAATAATGAGAGAATATCAAAAATTGATTTTAGATAAAATGAGAAAATCAAATAAAATTCATGGCACATGCATATAATAACATATGAAGACATGCAAACAAATATAGATCATATTCATGTTTATTGTAGATAATTTACATTTGCGAGAAGGGTCAACAGTAAATATAGCTATAAAACAACTTGGATAATATAGATAAATATAAAGTTTTGAAAACGTTGAGAAGGGTCAAGTAACCATTGTGGGCCTTGATTGGCTCCGCCACTGATTCTAATATGAGAGAGAGGTGTGGTGGAGAAGCAGAGACGCATAGCACGCTTTTTGCCTTGCCAAAGAGTAAATAATTTTTTTATTTTTATTTTTTTGGACCGGAGAGTCAAGAAGAAGTTGGGAAGAAGTGAATTTAGAGTCAAATGAAAGAAGAGTGATTTGGGAATAGCAAGGAAAGCACATTGCACGCACACACAACTTATGAGTATTTTTTTTTTTCTAATTTGTTCACACTTGGAACAAAAATCTGCACGTTAGAAGCAAAAAATAATGTTTTGAAATAAAAATTTGCTTAAAACAAAAAGTAGCAGAAAATATATAATATAATATTGGGCTTCTAAAAACATTTGGTGGCCTTGTGCGGTCACATTGCCCGCACATGCCATGGACCGACTACTAGTTGTATAGTCTAATTCAACGAAAAAAAGATAGACAAACAAGGCACATGCCATCGATATATGCCAAATCCCTTGGACGCGCTTTTGCATATTGCCAATGAATTTCTTTCAGGTGATCATTGACGCGAAGGCCAATTCCATGCTCTGAATTGGAAGTGCGGGACAATGGCATGCTGAAGATTCTTTGTTGAATATTGGTCAAAATTATTGTTTAGTCAAGTGTGTGAGAGCCACATTATTATTGTTTGCTAGCTTTCTACCTTGTGGCAATTTCGTGGGCTTTGCGGGGAAATGATGGGACATGCCATCTTTGTCAAAAAGCAGGTGACAAAGAGGGAAGCGGTGCCTCAAATCATGTAGGAAAAGCTTTGAATATTTGGTGGCCTGCTACCAGCCTAAGAGCATCTCCAGCGCAGCCCGGGCTAGGGGGGAAAGGCTGCCCGACGCAGCCCGAGTTCACTCCAGCGCAGGGCCCGTAGCCCAGTTTGGTGGCGGGTCCCACGAGCCCGAGGAAGCCCAAGGGCAAGTCTTGCCCGGGCTAAAGCCCGAGTTGGATGACGTCAGCGCTGGCGTCAGCCACTGACAGCTCCAACGGGCTGGTGCCACGTGGCGCGACGGGGATTCTCCGATGGATTTTTTCCAGAAATCCGACGGTCCTCGTTTTTTTGGCTAAAAAAATTGCAAAAAAAATCGAAAAAAATCTGAATTTTTTTTTAAAAAATACCCAAAAATTCTGTATTTTTTCTCTATAAATACCTAACCATTTTATTTACTTTCCACACTAAAATCTTCATACAATTTCTTCTCCATCCCATATTTTTTACTCTTTACTCACATTATTCACTTTCCACACCAATTCTTCATACAAACTTTTCTCCTTCCAATTTTTTTGTTCATCTCCACTCACATTTTTCACTTCCACACCAATTCTCCATACAAACTCTTCTCCTTCCAATATTTTTTACTCTCTTTCTACTACTTTCCATTTGTATAAAAAAAAACAAATGGCATCTTCTATTGAAGTCGGAGGCTCGTGGTCAACGAATGAAGATATTGCGTTGTGTCAATCTTGGGTGAACATTAGTCATGACCCTATCACGGGTAATGAAATGAAGTTTCATCACATGTGGAGCAAAATTCATGGAGAATTTTGTCAAAGATCGGGTTCTATTCGGACCGAAATGGCGTTGTCTAGTAGATGGAAACTTCTTAATAAAGAGTTAGGGAAATGGAGGAATGCCTTGACAAAAGCAAAGGCGAACATTCAAAGCGGTCAAAATTTGACCGATGAGGTAAAATATTTATAATTGCCATTTTAATCAATTCAATGTCACTTTTTTTTTATTGCATATTCTATTTGTTTTTCTTGCATAATTTTTTTTTCTTGGTGCACCTTTAATTTGTCTATATTTTCTTGCATAATCAATTTTATTTTTGCATTTCAAAATAGTTTATATTTTCTTGCATAATAATTTTTGTTTCTTGCACTTCCAATTATTTATTTTTAATAGATGGTACAAGCACAAATGTGGTTCGGTGCCATGGGGCAAGGCAAAAAAAGTTTCGTGCATTTCCAATGTTGGGAAATTGTGAAGGATTGTTCGAGGTTCAAAATTATTCCCACCGGTCCGCCGGTTGTGATGAATGAGACGCCACTCCACGATTCAACATCAACCGATTCTCCATTGGACTCCCCAATGGAAACGGAGTCACCATTTGTGCCACGTCCGCCAAGACCTATTGGGAGAAAGGCGGCAAAGGCCAAGAGAGGGGCCACTTCGAGCAATGATTGTGTACAATTATTGGAGCAAATAGCTAAGAGCGCCACACTAAGAATCGAGAGAGACTTGAAAAGAGATGAAATGGACAAGGCACGAGAGGAAGCATTTGCTCTCCAACAACAAATGGCACAAGAAAAAGACATAGAGGATAGAGAGATGAAAATCATGGCTATGGATACGAGCCATATGTCTCCCGAAACAAAGGCTTATTGGAAGCTACGACGAAGAGATGTGATGAGGAAAAAACTTTTCAATGACGACGGACCTAGCAATACGGATTGGTTAAATGATGAAAACCATTAGGTTGTTGTATGTTGTATTGTTTATTGTTGTATTATCCTTTAAGTTGTTGTATTGTTGTATTATCCTTTACTTTGTTGTATTGTTCCCTTATCCTTTAATTTGTTGTATTGTTCCCTTATCCTTTAATTTGTTGAATTGTTCCCTTTTTATTCAATCAAAAAAGCCTTAAATTAAATGACTATTTATTAAAAACATTTGAGCATCAAAACAAATATTAATTTAAAAAAACCTTCATTGATTGCAAACAACACACAAAACAAACCATACATAAAAGCATAATAATAAAAAGCATAATTCCAAAAAAAAACCACACACAAAATAAAGCATAATTAAAAACAAAGCATAATTCCAAACAAAACCACACACAAAACAAAGCATAATTAAAAACAAAGCATAATTCCAAACAAAGCACTAATCTTGACTTCATCCATTGTGATTGCCTTTGATCTCCCACAAGTGCTCGATCAAGTCACGTTGACGTATCTCGTGAACATATGAAGATTGCATTTCTTGATACCGATCAATCATGGGGTTGTTGAATTGACCATCCCGAAGTATGGGTTCGGGCTCCAGTGGTAGTCCATTTGGTCCAATCGGCCTTTCATATATTCTTGTCAACGATGTGTTCATTGGATCGGGTTCAAACACCTCTTGAGCATCATAGTCATACTCATCCTCCACAATCATGTTGTGAAGGATGATGCAAGTCATCATAATACTCCGCAGCACCTCCTCATCTAGCATCCGAGCAGCACCTCTAATAATTGCCCAACGAGCTTGCAAGATACCGAAACACCTCTCCACGTCTTTCCTGTAACCTTCTTGAAAGGAAGCAAAGTTTCTTTCCTTCTCGGATTGGGGATTCGGAATTGTTTTCACGAATGTCGTCCACCTAGGATAAATTCCGTCGGAAAGGTAGTACGCACCAGAGTAAACGGTATTGTTGATTTGGTACGTCACCTGGGGGGAATGACCTCGCAATACCTCATCGAACACTGGGGATTGACCAAGGACATTGAGGTCATTCTGAGAACCGGCAACCCCGAAGAAGGCATGCCAAACCCAACAATCGAATGAAGCTACGGCCTCCAAAATTATACTTTTTTGGCCCTTCCGATTCCCGTACTCCCCTTGCCACGCAGTAGGGCAGTTCTTCCACTGCCAGTGCATACAATCGATGCTTCCAATCATTCCTGGGAAACCTCGGGCCTCGCCTTTTTGTAGAAGCCGTTGCAGGTCTCTTGGCGTTGGTTTGCGAAGGTACTCCCTCGTGTACAAATTTTCCACTGCATCACAAAATCTCACCAAGCACTCTAGGACAGTAGATTTTCCCATCCTTGCAATCTCATCCACCTGCTCTGCAGATGCCCCATAAGCAAGCATCCGCAAAGCAGCTGTCAGTTTTTGCTCCGGGATAAGACCTAAAGCTCCAACAGCATCATGCTTTTGAATGAAGTATGTGTCGTAATTACAAATATCATGCATGATTTTTTGGAACAAATGTGGTTGCATTCTATATCTTTCTCGAAACTTAGAAGCAGGATATAACGGATTTGGGATAAAATAATCCTCCATGAGATTCTTACCCCGAGACTCCCTACGTCTGTCCACATTCGGGGCACGAGGACGACGGTTTTGCCTTGATTGATCCATCATACACACCGCTGCTGCAAGCAGTAGTTCCTCTTCTTCATCGGCTTCCCGATCTTCTTCAGCACGTCTACGCCTTGTTTCTTCCCTTTCTTTCCGTTGCCTCTCCAACACCCTCAACAAGTTTGACATTGAGAGTAGAATGTGTTTTCTACAATCTGAGAAATGAAGGAATAGATAAGAGATGGTGTGAGAGGTTTGAAAATCAGGTCTAGTTTATAGACGGATTTAGAAGATAGAGATGACACGTGGCACAATTTGAGAGGATGAAAATCTTATCAAAAATCTGAGATTAAATTTTTTTTAAAATATCTGAAAATGTTATCTGACATTTGACACGTGGCACAATTGTAGAGGGTGAAAATCTAATCTGAAATTTGAGATTAAATTTTTTTAAAAATATCTGAAAATGTTATCTGACATTTGACACGTGGCACAATTATAGAGAGTGAAAATCTTATCTGAAATCTGAGATTAAATTTTTTTAAAATATCTGAAAATGTTATCTAACATTTGACACGTGGCACAATTTTAAAAGGAATTTTCTTTGAATAATTTTTATTAAAATCTAAAATACTGAAAATTAACTACGAAACTTTAAATGCCGTTTTGGAAGGCCAAACGACCTCAAAATGCCAAAATCCATCATACATCACAGCAAAGCTGTGAGTTTGACTCGTGGCGTCGTTCCCTTTCCGAAATGGTATTTTGCGTCCTAATCGGAGCTCGGACGACAAATCTGCAAATTCCCACTACGTCCTTTTTCTAGCTCAAGCGATAAAATCTGACATTTGTTCTACATCAGACGTGGCACAATTTTAGAGGGTGAAAATCTTATCCGAAAATTTAATTACAAAAGATTATCAAAATTAATGGTTTAAACTATAAAAAAATAGAAAATAAAGTACAATGAATAGTAATTGCCTTAGACTTGCCCTAGACTTTGCCCTTGTGGGTGGAACCACAAATGCAAAGGCTGACACTATTCACGTGAATAGTGGCAGCCCTTGCCTTAGACTTAGCCCTTGTGGGTGGAGATGCTCTAAACCCTTGAAAAAATGAGCCGGACTGGGCTGGGCTTACTGGTTCAACTTAGCTAATATCTTTCTTCCCTGTTTTTCTATGTTCGTAGTTCTCTGGAAGTGGACACCTGTGAATTTAAAACAATAAAATGTCAAGCCTCTATTCTACACGCCCTTTTTTTATAGCCTCCTCCAAGTTCTTTGTAAATGATTTTGTATCTTTTATAGTAAAAGATGGACAAAGATTAATCTGCCATTGCCAAAACAGAGCACATGCTTATTGCTGTGAAATATCTTAGTCATTATTCGCTTGAAAGAATCGCTACAGAGAACCATCATCAAATACAATTAGTGCACGGAATAATAGTAGTGTCCCTATACATGGATGATGAGGTCACTGCCTTTGCACACTTGAAGAAAGTTATAGGTGTAGTACTTAAAGGGGAGGGAGAATACAATTCGAAAACGAAGTGAAGTTGTAATGGGACAACGAATAGCGGGGGACGGAGGAGAAATTATTGCTGCGAATGCCAGGATCTACAACTCGGATGGTGAAGTTTTCATAATGGATTGTCTGCACGTAGTACTTCCCCGAATACAAGCGCAATACAGTGAGGTTGTTCACGCAAGAGACGTTGTTATACCATGGCTGGTTTGCTCCGTTTCTTTTTATGTGGACCATTGGTTAGCCGAAGAGGATATTGTGGATGCCACCGGAGGAAGACGAGATGCACTTTCCATTGCCGTTGTTGTGCATAACTGTAGTAGATTCGTAGATTAATTGAGAAACAAGCAAATTGCTATTACGAGAGATTTTAAGACACTCCTGCAATTCACTCGCTCTGATGAAGCAACTGCAAGCATTTGTATTGCTGCCTTTGCATTTTGTGTGGTGCTTTATTGTCACTACTTATTGGTATCGAGCATTTGCTGATCATTTTGTTAATGACTTTCTTCCATGTGATCATTGGTGCAAAGGCCAATTCCATGCTCAGAGAATTGAAGTGGGGGACAACTCTCATATAACGGGATAACACTTTTTGTTATTCCCAACTAATAATGCAATAGCATGTATAATAACTTTTCACATGTCATTGTGTTATTGGTTCGGGATAACAAAATAGTATTATACCCGTTACATGTAAATTTTACTAAAACTGGCCTACTTAGCATTTTCCAAAAATAAATAAATATATGAGATATGACTCAGTGGCGGTGGTAGTGATTATGACAACGAGGGAGATGCTTGTGGTGGCAGAGGAGCAAAACCACATAAGTATTTGTTGAAAATGATGATAAAACTGAAATTAGCTTAAACCCATATATTTCCCTTATTACCTTAAATAATAATAAAACTGAAATTAAAGTTGAAACTCTAGTTGAGTCCTACTCGTATCTGACAGAGTACTACATGATAGCTCTGTGTTAGAACACATTGGATTCGAATTACCGTGAAGATTGTCTCTGGGCATCTCTTGTTGTGGATATAAAAGAAGCTTGGGAGGGAGCTGCAAGCATTCAACCTCTCCCTCAAGCATCTCTATAACTTTGTTCATCGAAGGACGATCGCTTGGCTTCAATTGTATACACCATAAAGCAGCTATAATCATCTTTTTTATCATTTTCTTTTCCTCTTCTGTAGCATCATCCATCTCAAACTCTTTGCCCATGCAAAATTGGTTTGAGACCCAAAGAGGAAAATAAATTTGGCTTGAATGCTCTATGGTTGCGTTCAAATTTTTCCTTCTACTTGCCATTTCCATCAACAACATTCCAAAACTATAGACATCAGCTTTGTATGAGACACCTCCAATATTTTTGTAAAACAACTCAGGAGCCATGTATCCCATTGTTCCTCTTGCTGCCGTCAAAGAGACGATGGTATTACCCACCGGATATAGCTTTGCAAGCCCGAAGTCAGAAATCTTTGGGATGAAATTCTCATCCAGAAGAATATTGTGAGGCTTGATGTCAAAATGTAGAATTTGCATGTCACAACCTCGATGTAGATATTCAATCTCTTGAGCCACTCCAAGAGACATCTCATACATTTTCCTGCAACTTAAGGGGTTGCTTCCTTCTTTGCAATAAATATATTTATCAAGAGATCCATTTGGCATGAAGTTATAAATTAAGGCACGCTTTGATCCCTCAACACAATAACCAACAAGTTGAACCATATTAAAATGGTGAATCCTCCCAATAGTAGCTACCTCACTTATGAAATCTTGTCCATTAGCTTTAGGATTCTCCAAGATTTTAACTGCTACAAATCGACCACTGCGTAACTTTCCTTTAAATACAGAGCCATAACCTCCTTCACCCAACTTCTCATTGAATCTACTGGTCATCTTTTTAATATCTGAGTAAGAGTACCTTATAGGACTGAGGTTGTTATCACTTTGCAGGAAATCTTCTATGCTGCTATACATTGACAAATGCATTCTTCGCCGTTTGTAGATTAGAAGAGCAGCCAGAAATGGAACCCCAAATATAGATCTTACTTGGAAAAATGCTCCTGCAAAGCAACATCACAAAAAGAATCACAAATGACATGCTTTATTGGATATAATATATGTGCATCATAACCTTCCTCTTTGCTTCCAATTTTTTTTTCTACTGGCAAATAGGAAATACAATTCTGCACTAAAGGAATATGCAAACTCTTACCGAGTATCAGCCAACCGTAAATACCTGCAAGAGATACAAAGAAAAAGTGACCAAAATTAAAGGCTTGACAATAAGTTTGAAATTTCGAAACACAGAGGGAGATATATATATATATATATATATATATATATATATATTTTATTTATTTATTTATTTATACTCTGCCCTGCTTAGTGGTTGACTAAGACTAACTAGCAAACTACATCATATGAGGAAGGTGAAGAAGAGAGAAGGGAATTTAAATTAGGCAGACAAAATACAAGTAATAAAACTACTTAAAAATTTTAGAATTTTTATTTTCAAAGAATATTTGAAAATTTTCTCCGTATGTCTTTCTCATTTTCAGCCCTGTATCGACTTATTTCAAATAAAACTAAACAAAACAAATGATTGAAAATGAGTAATAAAGCGTAACAAAAAGTCATAGTTGATAGATTTAAACAAGTGACATTTGGAGAAATTCAGAAAGTTATTGAGTAAGAAATTGTAGACTTGAAATATAGCAAGTAATTCACAAACCTAATTTGCATCTGGGGAGAAAGCGGAATTGAAGCTCAAAGCCATACCCCAGTGCCCTGTGTATGTCATGATAAGATAAGTTTCTGTCCTTTCCGTACAAGAACGACTTACTCATCAAAGTCATCCACTCTATTCTGCACCCATCCTCCATATCTGATGCCGTTATATTTCCTTGCTCGACATAGTTATACGTTCTCATCACAGACGAGTTCACTATTTTTTCACACTTGAAGAAAGTTACAGGTGTTGCACTTGATGCTAATTCAAGGTTGAGGAAAGTTTTTTCACACCTGAAGTAAGAGATGTTGTAAATGGAAAACGAATAACGGGGGATGGAGGAGAAATCATTGTTGCGAATGCCAGGATCTACAACTCGGATTGTGAAGTTGTCGTAGTTGATTGCCTGCACATAGTAGTTTCCCCCATTTGCTGTCAATACTGTGAGGTTGTTTTCACAATAGAGGTTGTAGTGGTGGTAATCCGAGTTCGTGCAGGGGCTTGGATTTGGATCTCTGGCTAGTTGAAAAGGGCTGGTTATGTTTTGGATGTTACCGCAGGTAGACGGAATGCACTTACCATAGCTATCCGTCATTAATGTACTATTGGCTAAATTAGCTAAAAGAATATAGGCAAACAAGGCACTAAGACCAAGCAATAATACACTTACTACAACGAGAACACAAAATCTGCAAGTGCTTGCCATGGAGAGAGAAATTTTTAGACACACTTCTTCAATCCGCTAGCTAGCTTTGATCAAGCAGCTGCTGCATTTCTATTGTCACGACGTAGAGGTCAAAGCCGCGTCTGACGGGAGCTTAATAGATACATGAGTTTCTTCCAAGTGATCATTGACGCGAAGGCCAATTGCATGCTCTGAATTGAAGATTCTTTATAAATAAAAAAAGGTAATTATTGTTGAATATTGGCCCAAATTATTGTTTAGTTAAGTGTGCGGGAGCCACTTTATTATTGTTTGCTAGAGGGCTTTGCGAGGAAATGATGGCGCAGGAGGAGAGAAATGGTGGCCTTTTCTGGTCTAATGACTGCAAACACCTGGTGGGTATCCGTGGCCAAAATTATGTGTTCTTGGAGCCTTGAGGTTGTCTCATTCCGTTTTTGTCTCACTCTGATCCGCATGGGGTTATTTTTCTTTACAACTTCTCTGGTACTTGGCGGTCAATGGTCAAAGCCGTGTTTGACAAGCCCGCATCATAGTCTCATAAAATTAAAATATGATGCGATATGATCAGATAGATAAAATCTTCGTTTTGCATGCTGCTAACGACATATGTATTATATAAAGAATTTTTAGCCTTTTTAACTATTAGGAAATTAGAACTTGCTCCATTGAATTATTTCCTCAGCCGATTTAGTTTCTTTACTCGTTTAAAATAGTCAATATAGAACTTGCCGTTAGATTTCTTGAGATTTCATCTATATTTCTGTCTAAATAGTGGATAGAGGGCCATGTGATTTGTTTGTTGAGGGAATTATAGTCCTTCCATTTGTATTTGCATTTATTGTTTAAAATAACCAATAGGCTTATTATCACAAAACGTCCCTAAGGTTTACGAAACTATCAGATTGCATCCTTAATATATTTTTGTGTCACTCGTGGTCCTCAAGGTTAGTATGAGTGATTACAAATGGTCCTTATCGTTAAGTTCCATCAAAAACTTAATGTGGCATATATATGGAGCCCACATCTACAATAATAGTGTCACACGTATTTAAAATATAATATGTATTTTTAAATAATTTAAAATTCATAAAATTTTAAAAAGAAAACCAAAATTTTAAATATAAAAATTAAAAAATTTGGCATGGACCATTTGTGATAGGTGGGTGAACCTTAGGGATGTTTTGTGATATATATATAGTTTTTTTTTCTGATAGTTTCATAAACCTTAGGGACGTTTTGTGATAATAAGCCTACACAATAAAACAAATTCTTCAATCAAAAAAATTCTTCAATAAAACAAATTCCACTTATTGTTTCCATTTTCACACCCAAACCCGTACTCCTCCTCCGCCGGCGAAAACCCCACAACCAAAAGACCTCCATTGCTCTCTCTGCTCAAGCTCTGTGTCACCAAAAAAATGAACAACGAGAGGAGATAAGGAAACAAAGAGGAAGAATCAAAAAAGAAGAAAAAAAAGGGAGGGGGGGTGGGTAAGTTTGAAATGCGTCATAGTTCAATGGGTAAAATGACACTTTACCCTTATATAAAAGCAAAATTAGATATTAAACATAAGTATCTTTACTAATTAGTACTTGAGACAGAGAGTATTTTTATTTGGGTTTTAATACTTAGGAATGAATTGTTATTTTGGATTAGGTCAAAGAGGACGGCCAATTTTGTTGGTCCAGCTTAAAATAATAACTGAAAAGACAATGCCACCATTCTTCTTAAAAAGCCTGGCCCAACTTTAAAACTTACAAAATGACTTTTTTACCCCTATATGTTTAAAGTACGCTCGATTTGAAACTGGAGCTTTGGTTTGCTTTCGTTTTTGTATGCTTTAACAATTTGGAGCTCTGGTTCATTTAGCTATGATTGGAGCTCTGATCTTCTGGCATGTTTTTGTTTGATTTTCTTTGTTTCTCTCTTTTATTCTGATTATGTTTTGTGTTTTTACATTAATTTGTATATATTCTTTGTAATTTTGCTTTTGCATGCAGAATCAAGGTCAATTTTGGCATGTGATTTTTGTGCTCCAGTTCGATCTTATTTCTCCTATTTCGAGCTTAGTTTTGTTCGTTCTTACGTAATTTTGTGGCGCAATCTTCTTCGTATTGTGCGGTTTCATCTTCGGACTTGAAATTGTATTTTTCTGTTGAATAATAAAGTCCCTCAATAGAAAGGGATTGATATATATATATATATATATATTCTCTTATGTGGATGTCTAGATGTTATTATTGTGCGGATACTATGTATTTTCTACCACCCTTCTATGATTTTCTCCATGTTCACAATAGTATCCACACAATAATAATGTGCAGACATTCGGATAAGAGAAATAAATAAATAAATAAATAAGTAAATGTGTATATATATATATATATATGTAAATAGCAGTTAGATTGATAATACATGTCACAAGATAAGCTAATTTTTTAATATATACTCATAAAGCTCAAAAGCTAAAAAGCCAAGCATGTAGAGTAATACCCACGACCATGGGGCCGGGAAGAAAAGTCATGGTTTTGGCGGCGAAGCTATTTGGTTGGATTGACACCGCGTCATCGCGATGGCTAGGGTCCGTCGCAGATTGTGTTGTTGCGACGTCCTTGCTTCTCGTGCGCTTGCTTCTAGCCATGGTTGTTTGGAAGGCTTTGATTGAGTGTAACATATTCATTTGATTCGAGAGCAACGTGTTGAGTATAACTCGATGCTCTCAATGAAAGCACCAAAATGTTTGTGCAAATATTCACACGAGGGAATATTCGCAGATTGATTGTTCACCTTTCGAACTCCTTTCTTCTTCACCGTTCGATCTCCTTTCTTCTTCACACGGGGAAAATCTAGGTCAATGGACCATACTTGGGGTGTGTTGACTAAAGGCCCTTTGATTCATAAGTTAGTTAATAGGAACATAGGAAGATACGATAAAAAATGGAAAGGATGGAGGTCTTCTCTCATTGGGAGAGTTGGGTGGCAGGAGCTGTGTGTGTTTTGGGCGGAGCCGTGTGAAGGAGATAGAGAGAAAGTTGCGTGAGGGGAGCGAGAGAGAGAGAGAGAGAGAGAGAGAGAGAAAGAGAGAGAGTTCTCTAGGGTTTTCGAAATTTGGGTTTACAATTACCTTATGTGTGTTGTGTAGTCATGTATTTATAGTGCACATGCCTTCTAGGGTTTGAAGAATAATCCTTATTTAATCAAGATTATTCTTACCCAAAAATATGAGATTGGAATTAATCAAGGAGATTTGGTGGAACTCTCTTCCTTAATTTAGGGAGATATTCCGATCTTAAATCAAATATTATCTCCCTAATTAAATAGGACTTAATTAGGATGATTATTTGACATAGGGAATTTCCCTTTTCCACATGTCATCCACTCATTGGTCCCCGAAATATTTCTTCCCACAGGGTTGACATTGCAGGTTGGTGGATCTGATCGGATCTAGATCTCATGTTTGAATTTTATTTTTGAAGAATTTTGTGGTGTTTTGAAGTTATAAAAGGGTAGAAACGTAATTAAAATATAAATTAAATGATTAATTACACTTTAGTACCTAGAGGTTTAGTGTCAGTATCGAAATGAGCCCTAAGGTTTTATTTTAATCAATTTCGTACCCAACATTTCGAAATATTACCAATTTACACCAGCCGTTATATTGACCGTCAAAGTCAAACGTTAATTGCTGACGTGGTAGTCGTGGGACCCACCTCATAACCAAACAGTAGTTAGAAAGAGACGAAATGAAGGGCAATTTCGGAAAAAAATAATAATAAAAAACTCTTTAAAAATATTATTAAATTAGATTTTTAAAAACAAAAGAAAAAATCCCTAATTTCTCTCTCTCTCGCTCTCTCTCTCTCCTCCTATCTCCCTCCCTCCCTCTCTCTGTCCAGAACTTGAAAACCCAACTCACATCTTCGACCCATCTCCGACCACCTCCCCACCCAACCACCATTGAAGCCATACAAACCCCACCTTTCCAGAACCAGACCATCTCCACCAACCAAAACCTCCTCTTGGCCATGACCAATGACAACATCTCCTGATTCATCGACATGGAAAATCCCAACACTCCTCTCTCGGCCCTCAATCTCTCCCACGGCTCCATCGTCTACCTCGCCTACGACGGTGAGTGCATCGTCGCCGACCCTACCTTCCACCCAGCAGGCTCTTTTGGTCGCAAGATGACCATGGACGGAAAGTTGGAGTATAAGTACAGCACAAGCTAAAGGAGAAGAAAAATATTAAAGCAATAATTGAGAATGGAGAAAAAACTTCCCAGCTCCCGGTAGCATCTGTACGGTGGGCGACTGTAGCTCAAGGTCTCAACTTCTCAGCTGTAGATCTAACAGAAAGCTGGTGTCGAGTTGAGTGTGATGGGCATAGGTAGAAAGAGGTCAGTGAAAGACCCAGAAGCGGGTTTTGGAGAAAATGATGGGGGTGGTGATAGAGGTAGAAAGAAATGCCAAATGGGTTCTGAGAATCGGACTGGGAGTGATGAGAAATGGGGTCCAATGGGTCTGGGGAATGAGAAAGTTTATGTCTTTAGTGAGTTGGATTACTTGCTTGATCTATCTTATTGATTCTTCTAATTACTAACTTGTAAAGATGGTTGATTATTTGAATTAGTTTTGTTGGACTTCCATCATTCTTTGAAGTGAGTTTTATTAGTAATGGCCAACCCAACTCTCTGCCCCCCAATTTTTCGAGCCTTAGTGCTCATTGCCGGCAAGCTAGTGGCCCTCTTGATAGGACTTGGAGTGAAAGTGGGTAGAGGCGGCAGAGGCGGTGGAAGGTTGAGTTTTCGAGCTCTTGGGTCTGTTGGAGGATTTCGAGCTCTTGGGTCTGTTGGGTTTTCAAGTTCTGGGCAGAGAGAGATAGGGAGGGAGATAGGAGGAGAGAGAGAGCGAGAGAGAGAAAGTAGGGATTTTTATTTTTATTTTTATTTTTTTAAAATCTAATTTAATAATATTTTTAAAGAGTTTATTTTTTTTTCCAAAATTTCCCTTCATTTCGTCTCTTTCTAACTACTGTTTGGTTATGAAGTGGGTCCCACGACTGCCACGTCAGCAATTAACGTCTGACTTTGACGGTCAATGTAACGGCTGGTGTAAATTGGTAATATTTCAAAATGTTTGGTACGAAATTGATTAAAATGAAACCTTAGGGCCCATTTCGATACTGACACTAAACCTCCAAATACTAAAGTGTAGTTAATCCTAAATTAAACAAGCCTTGAAGCCCTTGTGAAGGCCCATTGACCTCAAGCTAACAAAAATTCAAAAACATATGACTAAGCCCAAAACAGAACTAATCCATTAACTATATCCTTATTATTTTCCTTTTTATTTCATTGTTACCAAATTTTCCTAATGTTCATTGTTACCAAATTTTCCTAATGTTCTGACACTTACAACCATGAATAATTTTACGGAGAGAGAGAGAGAGAGAGAGAGTGAGGCAAGTCACAACACTTGATGCGCACTACCTCACAAAGGCAAGTCACGAAAGGAAAAGGCAACACTTGTTCAGTGTTTTCTTGAAACAGAACAAGACTAGAATACTTAAAAAAGAAAAAGAACCAGGACGACCACAAGCACAACCTTCTGCCCGCTCAAACGGAAAAGAAGAATAATTTTCAAATTGTTTAAACTAATTTAACATACAAAGAGTACGGAGGATATTTAAAAAGAATAATTCTTCCTTTTCACTTCTCCACTAGTATTAAAAACTAGGGCGAATATTAGCTGGATACTCTATGAGGTACAGCATTCGAAACTCAAACTTGTGAAAAACACCCTCTGAGGAGAGCTTTATCCGCAAACAGGTCCCGGCTCAGAGTGGTTGCACGCTTTTGCCACCATTTTTATTACCAAAAAAAAAACTTGTATATTTTTTTAAAAAATAAAAATTTGTTTCCTTGGCTCGAGCTTTTAGAGCATCTTGATTATCATATACAGAACATCATTGAACACTACAAGTCTACAACCTAACTTTAAACTGCAACTTCTAGTAGAAGAACCCATTAAAGCAGCTGAGAAGAAAGAGGGAGGTTAGTTAGCTCAAGATGGCCAAAGTAGAGGAGGAAGTCATTGAAGCTCACGTCAAACAACTCCTTTCTCGTATGACTTTGAAAGAGAAGGTCGGCCAGATGACCCAAATCGAGCGCCAGGTCGCCACCTCAGCTGCCATTAAAGACTTCTCCATCGGTACTCTCTCTCTAACTGGTATAGACTTTTTTTTTGTCCCATGTAATTGATGGTAGACTTCATGGAGTATATTTATTATTATGGCAGGGAGCATATTCAGTGCCCCGGGCAGCTTGCCGGTTGAGAAGGCTTCTCCGTCGGACTGGGCGGATATGGTAGATGGGTTTCAGAGGTCAGCGCTGGAGTCGAGGCTTGGCATCCCCCTCATATATGGGACTGATGCGGTTCATGGGAATGGTAATGTGTTTGGTGCCACCATATTCCCTCACAATGTTGGTCTTGGCGCCACTAGGTTAGTGTGTTTCATTTTTCAAGACTGCTTATTCATTAATGATACGTTTCTTGATTGGTTTTAAATTTTTGATGTTTTTGTTTGATCACTAAGAGAACAGTGGAAAAACTATAATTAGATTAAATTTGTAGCACTGACCATTTGGTCTAATGATATAAGGTAATCTCAACTTTGTGTTGGAGGAGTTTCTAAGTTTAAATCTGATGAAACACAGTTGTTTGAAACTTGGAATCCTGATTTGTGACGACTCAGAATGACAGTAAAGAAGAAAAACATAAGAACGAAACAAAAAGAAAAGTCTTGGTAGTCTTCCATTTCCACTAACTTTTGAACTGTGTGCGTTTGTGTGTGATAGGGATGCAGATTTGGCTCGAAGGATTGGTGTGGCAACTGCTCTTGAAACCAGGGCCTGTGGCATTCACTATAATTTTGCTCCTTGTGTGGCTGTAAGTCATTATGGATTCGGTACTCGTTATTTGATTCAAGTTCAGACTGCAGTTTATCAGATTGCAAAATTTATGGCGTATCTACTAAAACTTCAAAACTCCAAAATTTGTTTCTTATGTGGAAAAAAAATAAATAAATAAATTATACAACCTTTTGGGTCTTTCTTGTTCTTTTTACACTCTTTTAAGCCATGAATTTTGGTAAATTTGTAGCATATAAAACTGTAGGTATAAATGTAAGATAATAAATTGAGGCATGAATTGAATGGGTTTGTGAAGAAATTCACTTGAATGGATTCTGAGTTTGACAGGTGTGCAAAGATCCCAGATGGGGAAGATGCTACGAGAGTTACAGTGAAGACACAGAAATTGTAAGCAAGATGACTTCTATTGTTTCAGGCTTGCAGGGGCAGCCACCCCAGGGATACCCAAAGGGCTACCCTTTTGTAGCAGGAAGGTAGAAAGGAGAGTTATTAGTCAATAATTTTCCATGCATACTTCTTTCATGAAACATATTGCATCTTATCTGAATTTGATAACATGTCTTTAATCATCTTTGTTTCAAATAAAATCAAATTATTATTTTCAAAATTGTATACTAATTGAGGAAAAATCGAGTTCTTGGAGGTTCACAACTTATGCTTACCATGTTCTTGTATTCAAATATTTTAGTCCTATTGAAAGTAATCTCAGATATTTGAACTTTTTCTTACTTTTTTATATTTCAGAAACAACATTATTGCATCTGCCAAGCATTTTGTTGGAGAAGGGGGTACAGAGAAAGGTGTCAATGAGGGCAATAATATATCCTCATATGACGACTTAGAGAGGATTCATATGCGCCCTTATCTAGACTGTATTTCTCAAGGAGTTTCCACTATTATGGTGTCCTATAACAGCTGGAATGGACAGAGACTACATGGACACAGTTTTCTCCTCACAGAAATCTTGAAAGAGAAGCTAGGTTTTAGAGTAAGGAACCCACATATATAGACTGCACTATTTCCTACTGGAAAAGAGGCCCGTACCGATTCCTATTAGTCTCTTCTCAACTAATTATAATCAGTAATTTCAGCATAAAGATAATATTGCATATTGTGATGGACTATATGTTAGAATTTTGATATCCTGAATGCTTCCTAGTCATCAGTAAGATGCAACTTTGCAAACATTTGAATGAACTTCAAGTTACCTTCCATATATTTTCTTGGTTTATTCAAAGTGCAGAGTTTCTCTAACATTAAATGTTGTATGTCTAGATAAGCATCATTTTGTACTCTGCTGCAGGGATTTGTGATTTCTGACTGGGATGGAATTGACCAACTTTGTGAACCTGAAGGTTCAAACTATCGTTTATGTATTTCGTTAGCCGTTAATGCAGGAATAGACATGGTACATATGAACTCCAAGTTTATAAGCCTAACAATGATTTGCTTTCCTTGATCCTACATTTGTCTAACTGAGAAGGTATGCAGGTCATGGTTCCTTTCAGATATGAACAATTCATTGAGGAATTAATATATCTTGTGGAATCTGGGGAGATACCAATGTCCAGGATAGATGACGCTGTTGAGAGAATACTAAGAGTGAAGTTTGTTGCTGGTCTTTTTGAACATCCCTTCACTGAAACATCTTTGCAGGACATAGTTGGTTGCAAGGTAATTTTCAGAGCAGCATGTCTCATTTTCGCGTCATTGAAACCGCTACATGTTTTGCATGTTATCATTTGAAAATGGCCCATTGATCATACATTCTGTTTTGAGCATCTTGTACTTATGAAACAGTTTCTATTTCCATGATTCTCGTGCAGATGCACAGAGATTTAGCACGTGAAGCAGTTCGGAGGTCATTGGTTCTTTTGAAAAATGGAAAGGATCCAATGGAACCTTTTCTTCCCTTAGAAAGAAACGCTAAAAGAATACTCGTTGCTGGAACTCATGCCGATGATCTTGGAAATCAGTGTGGAGGGTGGACAGCTACAAAATATGGTAGCAGTGGAAGGATAACAATTGGTATGGAATTATGTTGCTATTTTTCCACTATTTTTATAACTGAAAGCCTAATTGTTGATTATCATAATCAATGTGACATATTTGTGTGTGTGTGTGTATATATATATATATCTTAATAAGATTAGAATTTCATTTGCATGCATCATGTTTTCTCAAACAATTTCATTTTTCAAGTTCTGAACCAGAATTTTGCAAACTTTATTTTTGAAAACCATTATAAACAGGTTATAGAAGTTTTTTTTTCCTTTTCTTCATAGCTAAATTTTGTTGAAAACAAGAAATTGATAGATGGTAAATTTGCATGCTAGTATCTTTTCAATGCCTTAATTGCACATGTGCAACTCACTAATTAGATCATTTACATTTTTAGGGACAACCATCTTGGAAGCTATTAAGAAGGCAGTTGGAGATGATACAGAAATCATTTATGAGAAGTATCCCTCGACAGAGACCTTAGCACGGCAAGATATCACTTTCGCAATTGTAGCTGTTGGTGAAGCTCCATATGCAGAAGGCAAGGGTGACAATTCAAAGCTTGTGATCCCGTTGAATGGAGCTGATATCATAAGCTCAGTTGCTGACAAAATCCCCTCATTGGTAATTCTGATTTCTGGAAGACCCTTAGTTTTAGAGCCCTGGCTATTGGAAAAGATAGATGCTCTTGTTGCTGCCTGGTTACCTGGTACTGAAGGAGATGGAATTGCAGATGTTATCTTTGGAGATCACGATTTCGAGGGCCAGCTCCCAGTGACATGGTTCAAAAGGGTTGAACAGCTGCCTATGAATGCTGGAGACAATTCATTGGACCCTTTATATCCTCTTGGCTTCGGGCTGGCATACAATAAGGAGAGATGTTAACAATAAATAATTTGTTACTAGGTTGTTCCCAAGTCTATGTTTATTGAACTTGTGTAAGCAGAGCAGACCAGATATTCATGAATGAATCCCCCCTTGATGCCAAATATGGAGTTATGGGTGGCTAGAATAAGGAAGAAAAAATCTACGTCTGTTGTTGGGTGTAGAGATGGTTCATAAGTGGGCTTATTTCTACATAGAGGGGTGTGCTGATATTTGATTTACCTAGGTTGGGCTTGTACAATTGAGCCTATTCAGAACTAGGTTGGAGCCCACTCCAGGCCAAATGCAGATTCGCCCTTGATATTGGATTCATGACGTATAAATCATGTCACCTACTTATATTATAATACGTGGATTAGTAACATGTTGGAATAGTGTAATGATCTCAGTAAACAACATTTTTATAGAAAAAAATGATCAGGTCCACAACTATTGCAGAATTAACTTCAACTACTAAGCTTGTACATAGGTTTATCAAGGTATTTATGGATTATTTTTCTGTTTTCGGAAGTTCTTTCTGTATTTGCCATGAACATTTAACCTTGGTGCTTAAGAGACATGTAGAGATTAATTTGACATTGAGCTAGGAGAAGAACCACTTCATGGTAAGTCAAGGTATTGTTTTGGGACATATTATTTCTAGGTATTGAAGTTGACAAGGAAAAAATTAATTTAATTGAAAAATTGTTGCCCCTACTTCTGTAAAGGGAGTGCGAAGCTCCTTGGGTCATGCAAGATTTTATCGAAGATTTATTAAAGATTTTTTTCAAAATTACTTGCCCCTTGTGCGATTTATTGGCCAAAGATGCTGTTTTTAATTTTGGATAAAAATTGCCTTAATGCCTCCAATACTTTGAAAGAGAAATTAACTATGGCACCTATTATTATGCCTCCTAACTGGTCTTTATTACCCTTTGAAATAATGTGTGATGCTTCTGATTATGCCATAGGTGTTGTTCTAGGACAAAGGGTAAATAAAGTGCCTTGTGTTATTCAGTATGTGAATTGCACCGTTAATGATGCTCAAATTAATTATTTTACCATTGAAAAACAATTACTTCTTGTTGTTTTTGCATTGGAGAAATTACGCTCTTATTATTATTATTATTATTTTGGTCGAAACACACTTTCATTAACGAAAGGGAACGGATGGGCACATCCCAAATACAACCAAGATACAGCACCAAATAAACCAGAAACCAGGCTAACAACTGTAAAACCCTAGGGAGAATTACAAGGAGCCACGCATGCCGACTACACCAGCCTAACCCAAAAAATAAGCCACCAACCACTAGGACAAAGCAAACTAGGATGCCGCCCTAGAAGACGAGCGTCAGTTCCTAACTGGGCTAAAAAACCTTAGATTTGTGGAGGAGAGGGAAGGCCACCATCACTTTGTAGAACGAACACCAGGGAGGATGGGGTCTGTTGAGCTAGACCTCATCGCACATCCTCCTCTTTTCTTCAAGAGCTGCAGCATCCACTTCTAGGAGCAAGAACCGAATAGTCTGCTTTTTTTCCTTTATTGCTGCAAGGATTGGGTAGATTGTCCATCTACCATTTTGAATATTCCCCTTTATGCTTTGAATCAACTCCTTTGAATCAGACACACTCTAGTGGATGCTACCCAAATCCGAGGCGACCACCAGGCCATTTAAGGCTGCATGGGCTTCAGCTTCAATGGGAGAAAAGGCTAGTCTAACCATTCTAGCTCCCCTTACAAATCTACCATTTTTATCCCGAATGACAGCTCCTAAACTAGCAATCATTACTACAAAAAGTGACAAAGACGACCAGAAAAAAACGACGGTCTAAGTGAAAACCGTTGTTGTTTTTTAAAAGACGACGCTTTTATAAAACCGCCGTGTAATAACACCTTAGACAACTAAAAATGGAGATTCAAATGGATGTTCCTAAAACACGACGTACCTAATTAAAAAACCGACGTCTTATTGAAATATGATTTCCGAGTAGTAATATCAAAGCCAACAAATAACGGCGGAAGTTATGAACCGACCGATGTAGAAAGTAAAGACGACGATTTCAAAAAAGCCGCCGTTTTTACCCAGAAATTAAAACGACCAAGTTTTCATATAAGGCGCCGTATAATTACAAATAAATCCACGGCGGTAAAATACAAAATACCGCCGTATTAAATTAATGTACAACTACGGCAAAGATAAATATAACGACGTCTTTCTCGTATTTTCTACGACGGTATCTTTAAATCTCACCACGACGTATTATAAAATTTAACGTCGTATTTATTCACTTTATACGTCATACATTATATTTAAACCGTCGTCTGAATATGAATTTTTTTTAACAATTTATTTCTTGGATTTTGTTATCCTACGTCGGTAGATCTACTTAATGATAAGAATTGAAATAACCACGACGGTTTATATAGAAAACCGCCGACATAATCAGATTTTTCTGAGATCACAAGGGTTAGGAAATCTTACAAGATGGAACTCTGTTCCTCATCATAATACCAGAAAGACAATATTTTAGAGGTTAATGATGTATGTGTATTTGTGTCTTTGAGATACACAAACGCACATACACATTAACATCCAAAAAATTGCCTATGAAATTTGACGACGGCAGCCTCAGATTTGCAATCAGAGAGACAATTGTTTGAAAGTTGATGATATGTGTGCGTTTGTGTATCTACACAAACGCACACACACATCAACATCCAAACAATTGCCTCCTAAAACTTCACGACGGCAGCCACAGATTTGCAATCAGAGAGACAATTTTTTGAAAATTGGTGATGTGTGTATGTTTGTGAATTAGATACACAAACATACACACACACCAACATTCAAACAATTGCCTCCTAAGAGATGAGGTGAGACAGAGAAAGGGGCAAGAAGAAGTTGAAACCCTAATCGAATACTAAAACTGAAAGAACCCGTGAAAAAAAACCCTGTTTATAATTAAAAAACCAAATCCACGTCGGTTATATTACACCTAACGACGTTTAACAAAAATAATCCACCTCAGGGAACAAATACATTACATCGTCTTAGTCTTACTTAAGACGACAAAAAAAGACGACGGTATAACAAAAAACAGTCGTTGTTTTTATATTCATATTTGATTTAAATCAGTCACCCAAAAAAAAACTTTACAAATTCTAGAACATTAATTTGCTCGGGAAAAAAAACTCTATTTATAACGCACTGTTTTTAAAAATAAACTGAAAGAACAAGGGAAAAAAAATTATATTTATAATTATAAAAATAAAATCCACGTCAGTTATATTACACATAACGACGTTTTAAAAACGAATCCACGTCGCGAAAAAAATATTGCGTCGTCTTAGTTTAAAAAAAGACGACGGTATAACAAAAACAGTCGTTATTTTTATATTCGTATTTTATTTAAATCAGTCACCCAAACAAGAAACTTTACAAATTCTAGAACATTAATTTCCTCGGGAAAAAAAACTCTATTTATAACGCACTGTTTTTGAAAAATAAACTGAAAGAACAAGGGAAAAAAAATTCTATTTATAATTATAAAAATAAAATCCACGTCGGTTATATTACACATAACGACGTTTTAAAAACGAATCCACGTCGCGAAAAAAATATTGCGTCGTCTTAGTTTAAAAAAAGACGACGGTAGAACAGAAAACCGTCGTTGTTTCAATTTCTTTAACCGTTCTCTTTCTGCAGGACTTGGATAGTTCAAAGCATTGACAGCTGAAGCCATCTGATTCGATTACTCAGGCTTTAGAGGCCATTTGAAGCCATTTCTATTCTTTATCGCATTCTTGAAAACCCATCTTCTTCTTCAGAAGCTCTACGGATAAAGGAACAGGTTATCACAAATCTGACGGATCTTCTTAGCCAAGAAAATCGAGCAGAGGAGCACATCTGATATTCAGGTTTCCCTGAGAAGCGAACTTTCCTTCGATAGCGAGTGGAGGCCAGGCTTGCATCTCTTTTGATGGAAAGCAAGGAGTATTCAGAAGCACTAAGTCTCCTATCAGGCTTGACAAGCTTCCTCTTGTGGACATAGATTTGTTGGAGAGTAAGCTCCATTTCTTTTTGAGAAAGACATCCAAATTATTGTCTTTGAGATGTGAGAGAGAGTGTCTATGAGAGAGGAAGAACTTGGAAACCTAAATGAAAACTGAAACTGAAAGAAAGCGACAAATTTATACAATAAATTTTTAAAACCCACGGCGGTCCTTACACACAAACCGCCGTTTATTTATAAATTCAACGTCGGTATATTACAAAAAAACGACGTATATTATAAAAATCAACGTCGGTAAATTAAAAAAAAACGTCGTGTTAAATACTTCTACCATGACGCGAGATATTGATTTATCGACTTTTATTTAGAAGTTTACTACGACAGTACCTACAACACTACTGTCGTATTTATTTACCACGTCCTAAGTTCAAATTATCGTCGTAGTTTATTTATTTATACGTCGTCGTTCTATGTAAACCGCCGTCTTATTATTATGAAACGGTTTGTATATATATACAACTTTTCGTCTACCTGACTTACACATGCACTGTTTCCAAACCCGAGAAAAAATTTCAATCTCCCAGAGAAAACTTTTCGTCTTTTTTCCTTGTCAGAGCACTGTCAGAGTATCTCATCGTCTTCCTCTCGTCTTCGTCGTCGTCTCTGAACTTAAACACCAAACTCCGAGAGAAAGCTTTCATTGCACGCAAAAGGTAAGCTTTCATTTCTCACTATTTTTGTTGCTATTTTGCATGCTCATACGGTTTTTGTTTTGAAAATCTTTTTACCTTTTTTCTGGCCAAAATCACTTTTATTCTTTCCAAGTTTGATAAAATACACATACAAAGAGGGAAAGTTTCCAACTTTGAACACAACTACTTCAACTAAATAAGACGACAGTAGCTTCTTATTTACGTGGTTAAATATGTAGACCACGACGGTTCGTCAGTCGTCCTAGCGTGTCTTAAAATTGATCTAAATTGTTTTTAAAATGACGGTCGATTTTTTATTTGCTTGTTTAATTGCAGGTTTGATTTCTCTGAACCATGGTTTTCGTTTTTCCTAATTTGATAAAATACAAAGACAAAGAAAGTAGGGTTTGGTATCTTATATAGACGACGGTATCTTATTATTGACGCCGTGTGAATGTTAATACCACGACGTTATACTAAGATACCGTCGTCTATATAAGATGCCAAACCTTTCTTTCCTTTTCTTTGTATTTGATCAAATTAGGAAAAACAAAAACCATGTTTCAGAGAAATTAAACCTGCAATCAAATTTGAAGGCTACTTCCGATACGGTAGGGTTCTGCATTTTGTATGCCTGGTGATCATGTGGATGGGATGGATGTTTTGAAGGTAAGGGAGGTTGTAAAGGAGGCGATTGGAAGGACCAGGAGAAGAGAAGGGCCAACATTGGTGGAATGTGAAACATACAGGTTCAGAGGACATTCATTGGCCGATCCCGATGAGCTTCGTGACCCTGGTGAGTATTTGAATTATGTCTTTCCTCTTTTAGATGTATCATTGTTTTAGACTTTTTACTCAATTCTAGGAGAGATGTTAATGCTTCTGCTCCTACGCTTTTTCGAGTTAAAATTTGTCTATGCTTCTGTCTCCAGCTCCTTTTGGTTCTGTTTCTGCCAACAGTTTCTTCTGTGATATACCTATTGAGTTTTAATGTCATGATTTTTTTAATGTTTTGTTGGATTATGGACTTGAGCCACTATATGAAGTATGAATTGGATAGTTTCTTCTGTGTTAGTTTTTTATCTTTTCATTTCTGATATGCTGAATATTAACCAATATGATTGGTTCCATTTTGGCAGATGAGAAGGCACACTATGCTGCCAGAGACCCCATCACAGCCTTAAAAAAAATACGTACTTGAGAACAATTTGGCCACTGAACAAGAGTTGAAGGCCATACATAAGAAGATCGATGAGTTGGTTGAGGATGCCGTTGAGTTCGCAGATGAGAGGCCGCTTCCACCTCGCAGCCAGCTGCTCGAGAATGTGTTTGCTGATCCAAAAGGTTTTGGAATCAGGCCTGATGGCAGCTACAGATGTGCAGATCCTGAGTTCACTCAGGGCACTGCTCATGTCTAATCTATGCTGGATCTCTAGCAATCAACGTGTGCTAGCTCTCTGTTCCTAGATATATGCATGGTGTTAAATTTTAGTTACTGCTAGCATTTACTTTGTCACTGAACAAGGTGGTATCAGCTTCATCTACTGTAAGCAGGAATATGTTTGTCTGTTGTTTCAGTTTTGGTCATTTTACCGCTCATTTGTAAAAAAATTCCTTGTTTATGTCAAAAATTAAATATAAAAAGAGTTTGTGTCAAAATTAAACGTGATTAACGAAATTGACATTCGGCTTAATCTGGCGATATAGTCCTATATCATAATATATATCAATTCTAAGAATGAGAGTAACTTTACAAATTTCAAACTTCGAAAATTAACAAGGCCGGCAATGGAAGCACGAATGGTACTCTTCTACACTATTAAGTTCCAAAATTATGTACATGTTCAGGGTAAAATAGTACCCAAAAATCTGGTACAAAAATTATAAGACATGGTAAAAATAAGAATGAAGATATGATAATTAAGAAGAAGAAGCAACAAAAGAATGTGACGGGCAAGTGTCAATTCAGACAGGGATTACAACTTAAGAGCAGAAATTGCTTCCGGTTTAAAATCAACTCTCAGACCCAAAACTCGCCTGACCTCGGCTGGCGTCAGTCTCCAGGTCATAGGTCCTGAGTTCTCACCCCAGAAATCTAAAATCTCCGAGACCTTTTCTAAGTTGAGGATTGTTGCCATTTGAGTGAGACGAGCAAACTTGTCTCTAACAGTCCTTTGAGTCATACTAGAGAAGTGGCTTACCAATGCCCTAGCATCTCTGTCCAGCTGAAGGCCTCCAAGTTGACTGAATCTCTTCTGGATCATAGTTGCTTCAAGCCTCTTCACAATGAAATCAAGTACCAAATGTACAAATGAGTCATAATTGTTGGCAGTCATTAGTGGCTGGAGCCACGCTACATTCGTCTCAACAGCATGAAGCAGCCTTTGGACCCATGGGTCATTAACCTCATTGTCAGCATATTGAGCCTCTGTCAGCTCATAGCTGATGGTCCCCACATAATCTAGCACCGGACGGAGGCGGGGTGCCACTGTTGCCACAAGTTGTTCCAAGCCAGCATTCAAAGCTTGCTTGAATGTGTTGCTCATATCCCCTAATTCAGACAGACAGGACTTAACTTTTTCTCTATCAACTGGTGCAGGAAATACCTGATAAACATGATATCATTTTTGTTAATACCTGATATTGGAATTACATTTTATAAAGAAGCAAATAATATGTAGGGAAAAAAACATTACAATCCAACAAAAAGGATGATCACATCAGATGATAACATCTAGCATGAACCCAAGAGACCAAGATGGATATAAAAGAAGCCCAAACATTAATAGCCAGCGCATTTGCTAGTGTATACAACATCATATTAAAGCAACTAACAAGGCAGATGTGACCTCCAAGATGGATAAACGTTTGCTAGAGTTTACAGCCAAGAAGGTACCACAAGCATGATATATTGAAACTAAAACTTTTTAGTATGTAGTCGAAGCCATTTTATGAAACGTTGCTCTTAATGACTATTTCCATATCTACTGAATTTAATAACCAATAGGCAACAAGTAACAAATGGGGCTTGGATTGGAGAAATGTTAATCTGCCTCACTGAGTTACAATGCTCTCTTGACTCTTCATTTCTATGCACATGAATTTGGGTAAAAATAACAAAAAGAAAAAGAAAAATAACAAGGATTAAGAAAGTAAAGGCAACAGATCATGCACAATAAATAAAATACAACAGCAGCATGATCCATCAACCTAGTGGACAACAGATAAGAAACCTTAACTATAAAGTTTCACCCCATAAATAAGCCTGCAATGGCAGCAACCAAAATGAAATTTAGCAAAGCAATCTTTAAAAAAATATTAGTTAGAGTACTAAGCAGCACTGTCAGGTGTTCATCAATATACAAACCACACACTTTCTCTTCAAAATTATGTCTGCACCACATCAAGCTCCACATCCTATTAGTATTAGGGAAAAATGTTCTGTTCTCACTGTAAAGTGTTATAGTCAGTAGGTTCTAATTATGTTAGCAAAGATTGACAAAGCCATTGGAAAACGAATCTCACACTACAGGAAATCCGATCACTAGAGGGGGACAAATTCAAGTTAAATGGAGGATTGTGTTAAACTAATTACGCAAGACGGCTTTGGGGCTTCGACCTATTACAAAGCAAGTTAAAATGTAAGCCAAAGACTTGCCTAAACAGTGTAGCTGTTATTCATGTCACAAATCTTGAAAAGTAAAGCACAGAGTAAACTAAAGCATTTCAATTACCTCTAAGCATTGCTCCTCAATCTCGTGCTTCAATTTGAGGACATATTCACTACTGACATCCATATTATTCAAAACAGTGGCAATCTCCGTCCCAGTCTTATGCACACCAACACCACCCAAAAACAGCTTTGCACCAAGATTGGGCTCTCTCATCTTCTGTTGCAAAGCCTCGTGGTACTCATTGCTCAACAAGCTACTCGCGACACTCAACACAGCAATCACAGAGCTGATATTCGAAGTGGATATCGCCCTTCTTAAGCAACTCTGCAAAACATAGAAAACATCATCGACCATCGAAGTCGTGAGACTGTCAAGCACATGCTCATCAATTCTTATAGCCTTCCTCACATTCTCTACCATAAAGAAACCCTCTAATATGACATAAAACCCAGTAATTTCCTGAACCACCTTGCTAAAACTTCCACTCCTAAAAGCCTTAGTGGCTCTTGGTCCTAAATCCGGGTCAACATTCGTCAATCCCTTGACCTTAGACACCATGAACTCAGTATAATCCTCACCCAATTGCATCAAAGACAGTATCTCTTCCAAGAAGAGCTCAACCTCTCTAGGATCAGGCCCCTCAGACCCAACACCACCAACATCAAGCAAATTCTTGTTCTGGGAATTAATCTCCGAGCTCAACTTGGGCAATCTCCTATACTCCATGTACTTCTTCAAAATCAAACTACCCCTCGTATCACACTCCTCCTGAAGCTCACAAATGGCGTAAACAACCCCATCTTCCCCACAAAGGCCTCTCAGAATCTCATCGTTATCTTCAACAGCCAAAACAATGTCCTTGAACAAATTGGTCAAACACCCAACAAAATTGACCGCCTGGGTCGGATTGTTCTGCTCCATAAGCTCCACCAAGTGCTCAAACTCGAGCCTGGATCTCATCCCAATTACCTTCCTCAAATAACCCACGTAAACCTGCAAGCCCTCCGTCTCCAAACCCAGCGGAGTGTAAAGCCTGATAAATCTCAACACGGTAGGATGCTCCCTCTGGTCCACGGCCTCAGAGAGCTTCCTCCTGACGATCGACTCGAGCTGCCGCTTCGACTCCATGAGCTGCTCTCGCTGCTCGGAGCCGCCCGAGTTCTTGTACTCGGAGTCAATCTGAATGAAACGCTGCACGTACTTGGCGGCAGACTCGTAGTCCTGGGCGTCGAGGGCTTGCTTGACGCCGTCGATGCAGTTGCCGCGCTCGACAATGGCGTCGAGGCGGAGGAGAGTGGACTTGACGCGCGACTGGGCGAGGTCGAGCTCGCGGACCTTGGCGCTGACTTGGTCGGCGAGGTCGCACGTGGAGGTGACGTTGGCGAGCACGTGATCGGAGTCGGCCTTGACGATGTGAAGGACCTGCGAGGAGCTGTGGAGGCTGAGGAGCTGCTTGTCGAGGTCGGTGCGCTGGGAGAGGAGGCTGTCAAGGTCCAGATCTAGGGATCGCTGGTAGGCTATGCACTCGTGGAGGAGGCGCGTCATCGCTCCCACGTCTGTCAGGGCTCGCACGTGCGAGAGCGCCTCTTGGGTCCCGAATTTTATCGACGGTTGATCCGCCGGCTCCATTGCTTCTCTCTCTCTCTCTCTCAGATGGTTCAGTAATTTCTTTGGACTGTTGGAGATGCAGAAGAAGAAGGAGAAAGCAAAAAATTTCCGAACGCAATAACTAAATGCCGAATTATAAACAACGATGGGACCCGCAAACATAAAACCCACCTCACTGTGAGGAGAGAGAGGTACATTATACATAGGACCTGCTCCACGGAATAGCTGCTCCATCAGATGTAGTTTTTAACTTCTTAATTATTTAATTATGGTTTTTTTATTGTTTCCCGTTGAATTTCTTAATTATAGCCTCTTGCAGAGGCACGTGATTCCACGCCTGCAAGATTTTTTTTTTTTTTTTTTTTTAAAGTTTAATTTTATAATTAAAAAAAATAATGGGTAGTTGTATTTTATAAAAATAAGATTCATTTTTTTTTTAATTTTAATTTTTTTAATATGAAAAAATGTGAATTTATCATATTATCCTCATTTAATTAATAATTTCAATTCTTAATGTTTGCATTAACCAAAAACATTTTCTGATATTTTGAATGTTTCACCATTCTCTGCCTTTTGCTTTATATATATATATATATATGTAGTTTGTATGTAGATTTGCATTAATCTAGGAGGTATTTTTCTTAATTAATTATCTTGATTGTTTTAGTTTGTTATACCATGTATTTTTCTTACTCTTAAGTATTATTATGGTAATCCTTAACGTTATATTTTATTGTTTGGTGATATTTGAATTGATTATGCCTCTATTTTCTAGAGTTTTGTATCTTGATCTTCAACGGTACAATTTCAAATCATTTCAAGTTTCATTTTTGAGACAACCAAACATGGTGACTGCTTCAAGTCCTTTTCTAGTTTTGGCAAAACTTGTGGTTTTTGAGTTTTTTGTTTCTTCTCTGCTACTCCTATATTGATGAGTTTGTAAGTTCAAATCTAATGAATGACAGTTGTTGAATAAATAAATAAATGACAAATATGTGGTTTGAAAGTTGGAATCCTTATTTGCCACTACTCAAACATGACATGTATATATGTTTATTACTAAAATGACAAGAACAATGGATCACGGTTTCACCTTTTTTGTGAAAACAAAAGTATGTTCTCCTAATGCTGGTCCACAATTGTGCTACCAGGTTATCAATCTCTTTGTCTATTTGTTGTTTAATTTTTTATTGTGATGTGATGATTGATAGAATGAGAGTGAAGAAGAAAAACAGTATGAAAGAAACAAAAAGAGATAAAGTCTTGGTAGTCTTCCATTTCCATTAACTTTTGAACTCTGTGTGTGTGTGTGTTTGTGTGATAGAGATGCAGATTTCGCTCAATTCTCGAAGGATTGGTGTGACAACTGCTCTTGAAGCCATGGCATGTGGCATCCATTATACTTCCCTCAATTTTACTCAATTAAGCATATATGAATTGAAGGGTTATCTACTGTAGACGTTCCTGAACTTGGCCCCCAGTTGCAATTGGGTCCGTGAACTTTTTTTTGAGGCAATTACATCCGTTAACTCAATAAATAGTTCCAATTAGGTCCTACCATCCAAGTTTGCCAATTTTTCCATCAAAATGAGGGGTAAAGCATCCTTTTGAGCTACAGAGGTAATTGTTTTAAGGGTTTTTAACTATAGACGTTCCTGAAATTTGCTCCCATTGCAGTTGGTCCGTGAACTTCTTTTTGAGGCAATTACATCCTTTAATTAGACAAGTAGTTCCAATTAAGTCCTGCCGTAACAGAGTAAAAGAACTAAAAACTTAGAAACCACAAAAGACAAGTTTGAGGCAAAAGTCGAAGACCGTCGGCTCGCAAAGAACTTCTCAATCCTCTCCATGCCGACGGCGGTGGTTTTGAAGGTGTTGTTGGATTTGGCCACGTCAACCAACACCGTGGTGTAGCTAGCTGCTGCAGTGGTGTTCATTCTAGCTTCAAGGGCGTCGTCGTCGTTACGGCGGCAGTGAAGGAGGAAAGCTTAAGGGGATGGGGTTGCAGGTGGGTTCTGGCTTCTGCGGGTTGGGAGATGGGGGGGTGGGTTGCAGGTTGGGCTGGGATTTGGGTTTTAAGGGGGTGGGCTAAGGAGGAGAGGGAATGAGTTGCAGGAGATAGGGAGAGAGAGAGAGAGGGAGAGCTGTGAGAGAGAGAGAGAGAGAGAGAGAGAGAGAGGGACGGATTCTAGTACAGTAGGACTCAATTGGAATTACTTGTTGAAGAAAAAAAAAAGACAACAAAAAAAAAAAAAAAAAAAGAAAAAAAAAAAAAAAGGACCCAATTGCACACTGGGGGCAAAGTTCAGAGACGTCTACAGTTAAAAACCATTAAAACAATTACCTATGCATCTCAAAAGGACGCTTTTATCCCTCATTTTGAAGGGCAAATTGACAAACTTGGATGGTAGGACCCAATTGGGACAATTTGTGAAGTTAAATGATGTAATTGCCTAAAAAAAAAGTTCATGGACTCAATTGCAATTGGGGGCAAAGTTCAGGGACATCTACAGTTAAAAACCCTAAAAATGATTGAGTTTGAAAGGTATGCAAAGATCCTAGATAAGGAAGATGTGCGACGAGAGTTACAATGAAGACACTGAAATTGTAAGCAAGATGACTTCTACTATTTCAGGCTTGCAGGGCAAGGAAGCCACCCCAAGGACACCCAAAGGGTTACCCTTTCGTAGTGGGAAAGTAGAGAGGAGATAGTATATGGCTTTAATCATCTTTGTTTCAACTTCCTTAATAACTCATTATGTGCCTACCATGTTTTTGTATTCAAATACTAAAGTCTCATATTGAAAGTAATCTTAGAATTTTTTTTTTCTTACCTTTAAAAAAAAAAATTTCAAAAAACGACATACTTGCATCTGCCAAGCATTTTGTTGGATAGAGAAATGTGTAAATGAGGGCAATAATTTATCATCTTAGGCCTTCTCCAACCCAAATGGGGCTAAACCCAAATTTTTCCCTTCCAAAAAGTAACTATTTGGGTTTTGTCTGAACTCAAACCGTTTTTTAGACTCAAATTTTAAGTCTGCAACTTTATTAAATTGTTTAAGAATGGTTTAAGTCATGAAAAATTTGTCTTCATATAATCTTTTCAAATAACTTCATAATTTAATTTTTTTGAACAATTTGACCTAAAAATTGAAATTCTACAAATATAATTTTTATTCTAAAAGAAAACATGAAAAGTGTGAGAATGAAGAAGATGATGTGCTCGAAATGAGCAAAATCACATTATATGGATGCTTGGACTCGAACTCAGGACCTTTCTTAGAGGGAGCATTTGCTCCAAATCACTATACTAGTGGGTCCCTTGCAAAAAAAAATACAGGGATTTTTTTTAAGACATGATATATACGTTATATATTGGGAGACGCCAAATAAAAATGGGATATAGGCAAACACCAATTTTGGGGATAGTAGATCCGACTCTGGTTATGAGATGTTCATCAGTATTGCTTCTAAAAGATGATGAGACAAATATCAAACTAATTTCAAGGCTTCTTCTTTTTTGGGTCAAAAAGAATGAACCGAAATGCATTGATAATAGGAGGGAATCAAAAGAAGAGACTCCCAAAGTACCAAACTGGCCAGCACATGATCGCAAAGCACATACAGCAAAACAAAGGAAACAATATTACAACACCTACCATAGCACAAAGACGTGTCCAGATAACCAGTTGTTGGGTGAGAGACAACAAGACAACCTCAAGCTCATAAGAGTCAGAGCCATCCAAACCAGCACACAACATTAGGCACTTGTTGGCGGGCAAGGGAGACCATCGTTGTAGAGAACAAGCACAAGTGAGGTGGGGTGTATGGATGTCCAGAATTCTAAGCTCAACCTCAATAGTGCGACATCTGCCAAATGATCTGCAGCTTTGTTTTCAGACCTGCGCATCCAAGTCCAGTGTAGTGTTTGAAGTTGTGATTATAATCGCAAATTCTAGTGAGAATGGGGTACAGACACCATTGTCTCATTCAGATATTGTCATTGATGTTGTCCACAAGTTCCTTTGAGTCCAATTCGAAATAAACACAAGACCCAGCTCCATTGCAAAGAGACAACCCCTCAAGAGCCGCATTAGCTTCGACCATGATTGCTGACCCAACCGAGAAAGAAATTACCTTGGTGCCCACAAACATTCCATGCACATTACAAATAATAATACCTGCACCATCTCGATGAGAAGAAGAGTGCTAAGCTGCATCAATCTTTAAGTTTGGAGTGATTGGAGTAGACTATAAGCGCATAGGAATGGGTTCATCATGTCTGGTAATTCTATCCCTTGTCACGTCCAAAATCATATTAAGCTCTGTGAGTTGAGAGGTGATGGATTGAATGGTGAGGATTGGATTAAGAGGCACATCATCAAACATGGCTATGTTCCTTGCTTTCCAAATAGCCCACGCGGTGATAGCAATTTGGTGTAAATGTACTTTTGATTCTCTTTAGAGTTGATGCCTTTTGTAGTGCACTCCAAAAGCCATTGATCCAATGAGGTAACACTTTGCCTTTCAATTCTGTAATTAAGAGGACCTCCAGACCATATTAGACTCAACCAAGGACAAAGCAAAATAAGGTGCTCAACAGACTCCTCATGCTCCTTGCATAATGGGCAAATGAGGTTTTGTCTAATCTTGCGATTGAAGAGAGCTAGTGCAGTTGCCATAGTTCTGTGAACTGCCCTCTAGAGGAAGTGTTTCATTTGAGGGGGATTACTGCCTTCCATAGCAAATTCCAAACTTTTGGGCTGACCTCAAGAGAGTAAGATGGGCGATGCTTCATATTGGAAAGATGTTGGGCATGAATATAATGGTATCCTAATCTGACAAAGTACAACCCATTCTTTTCACCTAGCCAGATCAACCGGTCCTCAGTTCTTATATTTCCAATTAGGATGCATTGAATCATCGTAGCCTCTTCATTCGTTATAAAGCCTCTGATTGGTTCTAGATTCTAAGTCCTAGAGTCCCAGTCAATGATGGTTTCCACTTTCATGTTGGCATCATTGATTTGGAGTTGAGGTTACAGCTGCCCACAAAGAATGGTTGTGACCCATCTATCAATCCATAGCCGAGCACGAGAACTATTCATAATCTGTCATCTAGCTCCTTGTAAAATAATTCTGATTCCTTCGATGAAGCTTGCCCAAGCCCAGGAGGGGTCTTCCTTCTTTTTGGCTACAAGGAAGTTGTCAATGAGGAATTAACAAGCTTTAATCAATTTGCCCAAAGGGAACTAGGTTCAGTAATAAGTCTCCAGCATTGGCGGGTGAGAAGGGCCAAATTGAATTCATGGGAGTCACGAAAACCCATGCCCCCTACTTTGCTTTGGTAAGCTTAGAATTGCCCAACTAGCCCAATGCACTCTTCTTTCATTCTCCTTTTGACCCCACCAAAACCGTGTGACCTCCATTTTCAGCTTTTGGCAAAAAGTTTTTGGAAATTTGAAGATTCCCATAGGGTATGTCAATACCACTTGGGCCATGACCATTATAAGAATCTCTCTGCTTGCTTGAGACAAAAGGTGTTGTTTCCAACTGCCAACTTTCCTGAGCAAACTTTCCTTTAAAAAGTCAAAGCCTCAAGCTTGGACCTTGCCCAAAAAGTTGGAAGACCTAAGTATTTTCCAGGATCAACAACAAGGGTCATACCAAGACAATTGCTTAGCTCTGCTTGCATAGACATTGGAGTATTCAGGCTGAAGAAGACGCATGACTTATCAAAGTTGATGCGTTGGCCAGAAGCACGACAATAACCATTTAGGAGTTGTTTCACATTTCAACAATTCACAAGATTGGCCTTCAAGAAGAGAAGGGCATCATCTTCAAAGAACAATGGGAGATGTAGGACCATTTCTCCCAAATTTTAGCCCCTGTAATAAATTAGAATGACATGTTTTTCTAATTGGGATAGTGCCTCATTGACAAAGAGAAATAAATATGGGAATAAGGAATCTACCTGTTGAATGCTTTTCCAGGTTTGCCATTAATGGTGACAGAAAACTTCACAGTTCGAATGAGACTCATAATTAGTTTGACCCAAAGAGGATCAACCCATCTTAAGCATAATTGCCTCAAGAAAGCTCCACTCCACTCTGTCGTAGGCCTTGTTCATATCAAGCTTGATTCCAAAATCATATTGCTTTGTGGTCTTCCTCAGTTTTAGAAGGTGGAAGATTTCATGAACAATAAGGATGTTGTCTTGAATTTGCTAGTTGGGAACGAAAGCACTCTATGTCTGGGATATAAGCTGCGGAAGGTAGTGTTTCAAGTGGTTCACCATGACTTTTGATAGAATTTTGAGAGAGAAGTTGCATAGACTGATGGGATAGTACTCGAAAACATTCTTCGGGTTTGGGACTTTGGAATAAGCACAATATTGGTACTATTTAGGGACCTGGGCTAGTTCTCCCAGCAAAGAATTCCTCTACAGTGCCCTGGACATCTTAGTGGACAATCTCCTAGTAATTTTGATAAAAGATCCCCTGATAGCCGTCTGGCCCGGGTGCCTTGAGAGAATCCATTTGCAATGCCGCCTCATTCACCTCTTGAACAATTATGTCCTGCAACAGTGCATAGTTGGTTTAATTTGAAACGACATGATCCACACAACATAAGATATCATCTTCATTATGCGCAGCCTCGGTGGAAAAGAGAGTCTTGAAGTGGTCCTAAAAAACACGTCGAGTCTCATAATCTCCAGAGTACCATTGACCGTTGTTATCTTTGATCCTTACAATTATGTTCTGTCTTCTTCGAGCAATTGTGGAGTGGTGAAAAAGGCAGTATTGGCATCTCCCTCCTTTAACCACTTGATTCGAGACCGCTGGTGCCAATATTTTTCCTCTCGGGCCCAATTCTCATTGATCTTAGCTATAATCCTTTTGATATCATCATGATTATTCTCCCAACAGGCCTATTTTTCTGCAACATACAATTCTTGGAGTTTTGTTTTCTTATTATTTGCAAACTTATCCTTACTCCACCGTTGCAAGAGCTTAGAGCATGTCTCAAGCTTACGTCTCCATTTCTCAATCGACGGATCTTGAACCTAAGAAGCCCAACCTCTCTCAACAATTTGTCTTACTTCCTCATCTTCTGCCCAGTATGATTCAAATTTGAAAAGTTTCTTCCCTCTTTGGAAAGACTGGTTAGTTTCCAAAATGATAGGATTGTGATTAGATCTAATGAGAGGGTGGTGCATGATCATTGAGTTTGGCCAGAGTTCCTACCAATTCAAGTTCGCAAGCCCCCTATCAAGTCCAAGAGTTCAACCTTTTTATAAAATCCTGGAGAAATCTTGGTATATAAAGGGAGGGGTTGATTCCTCCATTTTTCTCAAAAGACCACATGATCTCATTAAAGTCTCATCCGCAGAACCAAGGAAGGTTCGTATGAGGGAAGTTAGACTTCATGTTGCCCTAAAAGTCCTCTTTCTTTTCTCTGCATGGGGTGTCATAGACCTAGGTAGCTATACATTGGATACCAATTTTCCCGTTCGTCATTCTCGTATTAGTTTTTCGAGAAAGCAATTATTTCTAAGTCATAACAGTTGTTCCACTATAGACTGAGCCCCCTAGTTGCTCGAATTGGTGGGACATAGAACCCATGTTGACAACCATAGCTTCTTCGTACTGTTGTTACTCACCTTGGTCACCATTAAGAGCACAGCAATAGGCCGATATTTATGGATGAGCCCCCGGAGAGCTCGTACTGTCAAGGTCGACTTTATGCCTTGACAGTTCCATAATAAGTATATCACTGATGTAATGCGGCTGTTGTAGGCTACCCCTTTGCTTGAGTTATACGGACCTCAGTGAGATTTGCTTCAACAAAGACATCCCTTTTCGTGTTCTCTGCTCGTCTAGTGGTACTGCTCTCTCCATTATTTTGCTTCCTTGCCTTGTAATAATTTCTCTTGTATTTTTCGCTGCTTTGGGTAGTTGCCTTCTCCGTTGCAGTTTTCCGGATTAATCCTGGGTTATTTGCTTTATTGTGGCTTTTGTGCTTCTTTCTTGGTGAGCCCAAATTGCAAGCTTGTTCCCCACTGAGATTCCTTTTCAGGCCCACATTATGGAACATGGTTTCCACTTGCGAAACAAATCTGTCTTATAAACTAGACTCCTTTTTGTCTAGAAAAATAAATAGTAGAAATTAATTAAAATACTTCCAAAATATGTCTTATTTTTATCAATACAAACTATTTTAATAATTCCCCTTAAAGTATATACATATGTATATACATATATAAAAGTATGTGAATTATTAACTAGACTCCTTTTTGTTGAATTAATAAAAGGAAATCTTTATACAAATGATTTTTTTATATCACAAATAGTCTTTGAACTTTTTAAAAGCCCTCATTGACTTTAAAATTTCATGTCATCACGTGACTAGGGATGGCAACGGTTTGGGTAGGGGCCGGGTATGACAATATCATCTCCGTCCCCACTCTCCATCCCCGCCCCCATTCCCGAACCCATCCCCGGTTAATAGGTTTCGGGGAATCCCCATCCTCATTCCCGTCGGGGGACTATTCCCCATACCCGCCCCAAATCCCCAATTTTTTTACATAAAAAATATTTATAATACATTTTAATATTACGTTTCATATTAAATTATCATACAACGCATCCAAATTAATTATAAAGTTTAACTTAACTATTCAAAATCACATCAATATGAAATTTCAAAGAAGATTAGGAAAAATTAGGAGAGGGATGTTAACTTAGGATTAAACAAAAATATTATAATTATATATTTATTTATTTAAATATAAATATATATATGTTCGGGTCGGGTTTGGGGAAAGGGACGCCAATACCATCCCCTCCCCATACCCGTAGGGGATTTTTCAAGTTCGGGGATCCCCGTATCCAATACCCGTTTGGCTTCGAAATCTCCCCCCGTTAGGGTCGTGGACTCGACGGGGACCCACCCCCGCAGGGATTTTTGCCATCTCTACACGTGACCAACTTTAAAAGGGCATTTTCATTACAATTTAGGATTTTAGTCATAAAACTAACATTTTTGCTCCAAAATATCATATTTTCTCCATTTAGGTTATACGTGAGATTTACTTTTTGTTATGGGTAGATAGGTTGTGTTTTGATGAAAGTACTATTTTAAAGTTGATCATCTGATCAATTTTAACGAATATTTTGACAAAATGCGACGAGATGGACTATATTGATGTGTTGAGCAAAACATTAAGGACCAAATTGATTGATTATAAAGTTGAAGGATTCAAATGAAAACTTTAGAAAAGGTCAAGGACTATTCATGATTAAAAAAAAACCTTAAAAAGAATGTTAAAAGTCATTTTTGGTCCATGTAATTGACATTTTTTTCTCTTTTCGTCCATGTAGTTTCAATTTGGTCAATTGTGTCCTTTTAGTTTCATAATTGTAGCAATTCCAAGGACAAGTCACGAATTTTGTCAATTTCTTTCACAGTAGCAGGGTTATTTTCGTCTATTTATTCCATTTCTAGTTCTATAATAATAATAATAATTACCTAAAAAGAAATATGATTATCCTTGAAATTAATCTCAATTTTCTTATTCCAATTTCATAACCAAATAGCCAACATCAGACAAATAAACCTGCATTCATCATCACAGCCTTGACATTGTGAAAATCAATACGGAAATTCCCTTGACACTGTGAAAATCAATAATTACGGAAATATCTTTGACATTGTGAAAGAAATTGACAGAATTCGTTACTTGTTCTTGAATTGCTATTATTATGAAACTACAAGCCACAATTGATCAAATTGAAACTACAGGGATGAAAAGTGAAGAAAATGTAACTTTTGGCCTAAAAAGAAATATGCGTCAAGTCCAAACGTCGGCTTTAATCTTCTACTGTTTCCATTGTCTGTACGGAGACACTCACAGGGCAATTGCTCGCCTGTTGATGCAGAGATCATAACGTTAGTGTTGGATCCTTCAAACTGAATGAGCGAATCTTGACCGTCCGATCTAGTTCACATTGCCCTTCAGATCCAACTCTCTGGCCGCCCATCTCGACCCTGATCTCCCCTCAGCGATTGTATTCACTAACAATTTCAGGTGCATAAACCTCTCTCCTCATTTTTTCCATATCAAATCTGAACTCGTTTCATGGATGAATTTTTTATTTAGTTACTGGTTTAATTGTCTGCTTGTTGATTTATGGATGAATGTTGACAGTTTTGTTTGGTTTCTGAGATTTTTTATGTAGAAATTTGGAAGTTTAAGCTTTATTTCACGTGAATTATGATGGGTTGGTTTTGGTTTTGGAAGATTGAAAAGTGAAATGAGTTTTTATTTTTGTTCGTACTTGATTTTCTTCTTTAATTGTTGCTCTGTGCTGGAAAATAGTGAATTTTACTTGAACACTGTATAATTTGCAAGTTGCTGAACACATATATGTAGAATTCTAATAATAAATACACAACAAAACATATATGTAGACGCTTGTCAAATGATGTCTGTCAATCAAACAAGGTTTACAAAGATTTTATTCGATGAGTTCTGCCAAAGTGGATGAAATGTATGTTGTGAGATAGGGAGTTGTGTAATTACATGCAAAGAACTAATAGCATGTTGAATTGGTATTTGGATAAATCATCCTGATCAATAAGAACCGTTTTGGGTCATTTTAATTTATATGAAATAACATAAATTCTTTAGTTTCTGTGGCATGCTTGATGGTTACTGTATATTTCATAATTTCATATAAACAGAGCTTAATTGCTGTTCCTGTTAGTCCCTTCGAAAACCATTATCATTAGGCTAATTGTGCAATTGAACTAAACTGAGAAAACAAAAAGGAAAGGAGGAAGATTTTTCCCAACTTAGCATTTTTCTCATAAGAGTACTATCAATCATCTCAGATCATGAATCATTTTGCCATGATGGTCTCATTTTTTTTCACATTCCTTTTCTTTCTTGGGAGTCTTCAATTTTAAAGGCATCATCCTCCATATTGATTGCAGTAACAGTCTTTTTGTTTTTGTTTTAATTTTTATAATGAGAAACAAAATTTGATTAATGTTAGCAATCAGATATTACAGAGGACGAGGTGGTCACTGAAGCCAAATATAAATGCAGGTAATAGTACAAATTTTCAATATGATGACAAAAAACTGCCTCCTGCAAAGTAGAAGCCTCCAATTTGCAAAGTTAACAACAACAAAAAAAAAAAAAAAAAAAAAAAAAAAAAAACAGCAAACAGTAAACAAGAACAGTTGTGTTGATCATGATCAAACCACTATAATTTCCTTTCTGTCACTTTGTTCGCTTGTTATACTCTGTGTTACACTAGAGAATGTTTAATGCATCTAGTACTAGTATTTCACTTTTCAAATTGCTCTGCTATGTCAATAGCTACATTTTAGGTGATTCCTTCCTATAGGCTACAATTTCAAGTGGGCCTGTATCATAGTGCTTCTGAAATGAAACTAGTGGTGATGCTTTTTGTTCCTATCCTCTCAAATAGGAATATGTTTCTTTTGAAAAGAATTTTTTTTATGGAAGTTCCATCTGTGAACTTATTTTAGTAGTCCTGCACTCTCTTGTTGATCTGTATCTTAAGCAAGCCAAAACAATTGGTTCACCTGCAGACGGCTTCTATGGGAACAGAGGAGATTAAGAAAGATGTCAATGCCAGCAATTGGCAAACAGATTTGGCCTATGACCAGTGGAAAGCACTCCCTGTTTCTGGTCCACGACCACCGGCTCGCTATAAGGTACACCTATATTACAACTTTAAAGAAACTCTAAGATTAAATCAAAGGGAAATATCTTCTGAAGTCCACTTTCTTTCTCCCCCTTGATTCGTAAGATTAAAAGCTTTTGTTTTGATGGCAAGTGGACAATCAAACTTTTTGTGTATCTTTAATGAAATGTACTCTCATTATCTATCACAAAGATATTTTTTTATTTGTTTTGAAAAAAAAAAAGGAGAAATCGTTGACTAAATACTTACCATGCTGTTTTTCTTTCCACTGTAGCATGCTGCTGTAGTAGTCGATGAAAAATTATACATTATTGGTGGGAGTCGTAATGGTAGGCACCTATCCGATGTTCAGGTATTGTACATGCTCAACTACTTTTTGACTTTGAGGTCCTTCTTTTGCTGTAATGTAGTATTGGACTCTTCTTGCAGGTCTTTGACTTTAGAAATTTGTTATGGTCTAATATAAAACTGAAACCCAATTCCGATAAATTTGAAGACGGTGGCTTGCAGGAAGTTCTTCCAGCCATCTCTGCTCATAATATGGTAAAAATTCATGTGCACAATTATCTTTTGCGTTTGTGTGTATTTATTTGTTTATATTTGCCCTATACTCCTTTTGTTTGGTTTTCAGTAGGCAGTTGAACAATTTTGTTTCTGTCTTAATAGGTTAAGTGGGGAAACAAAATTCTTCTTCTTGGTGGAAATTCGAAGAAATTGTCTGACAAAATAATAGGTTTGTTACTTCAACAGCCATATTGTTAGTTCTTGGATAGTGTAGATCTCTCCTGAGACATTTGATAGTGCACTTTAATTTCCATATTGTTAAATCCTTATGCAATGTTAATGGACTTGTAGTGTGGGTCATTGATCTGGAAACGCACCTCTGTGGCATCTTGGAGACCTCAGGAAAAAGTTCCGGTATGATGATCAAATCCATGTTTTTCCTTGTGCTTTTTGCTTTCAACTGTTTCATTATTTATTATTTATTTTTGTTTCAAAGTTGGGTGAATTATACTTTGGCCTCCTGTGCTATCACTTTGCCATTTATTTTTTGACAAGTTGCATAAAATAAACTTTCCCTAGGCAAGTGCATTTCACATGGATGTTATATCCATTTCAACTGTAACACCCGAGTAATTTTGTGATGGCAAAGTGATATTTGCCCACATGGTGCAAAGTGAAAATAGACCATATAATGGGATCTCAATATGTGATATTCCTTCTCTAATTTGTTTGCTCTAATATATTTGATTTTGTTCTGTGGTAAATGAAACTGTTTGGTATGCATGCCAATTATATTTCAGGTAGCTCGTGGGGGGCATTCCACAACACTGGTTGGTTCTAGACTGATAATGTTCGGTGGAGAAGACAGGAGTAGAAGATTGTGGAATGATGTTAATATTCTGGATCTAGAGACAATGACCTGGGATGTGGTGGAAGCAATGTAAGTATCTTTATACTTTTATTTGAAACTACTTCTATGCCGTGCTTTTCAAAGAGTTATGCATTACTTTCTTGTGTTATGATAGGCAGACACCTCCAGCTCCCAGATTCGATCACACAGCTGCAGTACACGCAGAACACTACCTTCTAATTTTTGGTGGTTGTTCTCATGATAGTTTCTTCAATGATCTTCATGTACTTGACTTGCAAACAGTAAGTTGTTTACCGATCACGTTAAAACTAGTCTACAAACTGTGCTCTGTACAATACCTGCGCATGTTAAAATGTTTTAATTTGTTATTTTTCTGTTGACAAGTGGATTTCTGGGCTAGAAGCATATTGGAGGTCATTGTTCAAATTCAATGTAGAACGTTGTTAGTTGGTAATTATTATGTTGTCTGGCAAGACAACTATTACCTACCAACCCTTCTGAGACCATATTGAAAATTATTTTCACTTTAGATTTATACCAAAATTGATATTTATTGTAAGAGCTATTTCTCTATGTATGAATTCAAGCTTCTCAAATTTTTTGCTTCTATCCGGCCCTTTAATTAAATGAAAGAAGATTCATGTTTTTTTTTTGCTCTATCTGTATACTCTCTTGAGATCAGAAGAGTCAAACATCATACGAATCAGTAGTGGGCTGCATGCATCAAATAGAAGTTCTTGTCGGGTTTTTGGACAATAAGAGAATTAGGTTATGATGAAGAGCAAAGTATTTAATTGCTGAGTCTGTCCATTTGCCTTCTACCATATCCCACACATCCTGGGATGTTAGAGTTTTTGTTGAACTTATTATTTATAGTTTGAGAGGAGCATAGTTTTGAAGGTTTTCATTCATATCTTGAAAATGTAATTACTTCGTCCTATATCAACAATATGATTCTCAATGCTTTTTAAGCTGCACATATTAATTGTTGTATTATCAATCTTTTTGTTTCTTCCCCACAATTTGCCATTATTTTTCAGATGGAGTGGTCCCAACCTCAAGTTCAGGGTGAACTAGTCACTCCTAGGGCTGGTCATGCTGGTATAACAATTGATGAAAACTGGTATATAGTCGGCGGCGGAGATAACAAAAATGGTATGCATAATTATATGCTTTACTGAAATCTATAATGAAACAACTTATTCACTTAATGTGTACTCTTGTGGCTTTTACTGATTTGTTGATACATTTCCTTTGCTAGCTTTTATGATACAAACTATTAAATGTTACAGGTTGCCCAGAAACTCTGGTATTAAATATGTCTAAGCTAGTGTGGTCAGTGCCAACCAGTGTGAAGCACAGGGATGCACTTGCAAGTGAGGTCTGTTCCTTTCTTTGATTATATATGTGTTTTTTCTACAAGTTTCAGTTTTAAAAGAAAGTTGGATGACTACATGGGTTGAGATACAGTTCCATAAAAATACTTCAGGAACATGGCAGTGATCATAGTTAGTAATATACGGGATGGAAAGGATACATATGCCATACATACCTGCATAATTGGCTAGATTTTATACCTTTTAAATTCTTCTCATTCAGCGGCTCATTCTTTCATTCCTCAAAAGGAAAAGAAAAAAGCTTTTAGCCCTTTTCACAAACTATGCTACTGATGACAATGCGAATATTCTTAAGCAATAATTCCATTAGGAAATATGGAGTGCTATAAAGAAATTAAATGCGTCCCGAAAAATTTCTGACACTGTAAAATATACATAAAGGTAAAGGAAACAGGAATAAGCATGTGAAGTAAGAGAGATAAAATGTTAAGAAAAATAAAGGAGAAATAGAATGTGATAGAATATTGATGAGATCTTAGTGTTTGGGGAAAACAAAGTTCCCCTCTTTTGAAAAAAGCCCCTTAAGAACATAGAATTTGGTTAAAGGTCCAATTCTTTATTTAATATTTCTTTCTGCTTGTGTTTTGCCTGTGCCTATTACTTAGTCATGTACGTCATTGAAAAAAGTCTATGTTCATTTTCGTATAGTCTGTATCTGTTAGGGTTGAGTGTCAATACTCTAATATGAGTAAACATGAAATTCTATTATATCGGTTTGCACTTAAGAATATGGTTTGGAAACAGGGACTCAGTGTCTGCTCAGTGACTATTGATGGAAAGAAGCATTTGGTTGCCTTTGGTGGCTATAATGGGAACTATAGCAATGAGGTATGTTAATGACAAATTTCATGTTCATTACTCACAAGTCTATATTTTATGAATACAAGTTATCAATTGCATTATATTTTGTATATTTAAAGTGCAGTAACGTTAGTTTTGTGACCAGTAACTTCCACATGACTCATAATTGAAGTTGTCTAATCTGAAGTGGATATGGTGTCTACTTGAGATACATGGGCCATGGCGATCAACATCTAGATGAAAGCAAAGTGAAAGGGTTCATGTACTCATGTGATACACTGATACTCGTCTTGAGGTAGCAATGGGAAAGTGGACATGATGATTTGTAGTACCACCCTAAAACAAGTCAGGATAAAAATAATTTGAGTCAGGCTTAAAGTTTTCTTGGAGCTTGTTTATGTAAAGGTTGCAACTCCATCCAAGTTTGTTTGAGAATGGCACCTTTTAGAAAAGAAAAATCTCCGGTAGTATAGTTCAACATGGTCAAATTTGTGCATTCGACTGGTTAAATAAATTGTCTTTATGTGCATTTATTTGCTAGTTGTCTGTGCTATCTCAAAAGGCTCTACTGTTGTTGTACCAGTTCTCTAAGGTTGTAGCTAGAGAAGAGAATAGGACAAAGATACACTTTCTGAAACAAAAGATCTCCCACAGTTGTGCAGTTACTGTGCATATGGTGATGCATAATGGTTACAGAAAAGAACATAATAAAAACTAAGAAAGAGAAAAATGATAGTTTATGATCACCAATCCTAGAACCAACTTTGTGGTGGGGTTTCTATCAAAGATTTATACCTCCCTCTAAAAGGGTAAGGTATGAGTGGAACCTACCCCCCAAAAAGAAGCTGCTATCCTGATGGGCATGCACTTGCCCTCTGTAGTGCCAAAAGGGTATTTATTACACTAAAGATTGAGCCCCAATCCTATTATCTGATCTTTGTCCTGTATTCTTTTGTAATTAGAAGGTTGAAAAATAGTCCTTTCTGGTGTCTTAGCAATGAAATGGAACATGGATGCATTTGACATAAATAAGAAAATTAGAACTGAGCGCACAATATTATATATATATATCATATATAAAGAGGTAATAAGAGATGCTAGACAAGGAAATTAGAACTCAGTGCATAATGTTTTATACTCTCTTTACGCTGGACAATTACCATTTAGAGTGATAGCCTGGTTATTTGTTAACTTCCTGCGTAGTACTCTAATACTAGATGCCGAATCTTACAGCCGAATCGATGCCTAATGTTCTCTCTTCTGAGTTTGCAGACAGCTGTTTTTCCATGAATTTTCATTGTAGTTTGTCAATGTAATTTGTTCTCTTATTTGGTTTCTTCCTCTTCTTTTCTTACAGGTTTTTGTAATGATGCCCAAACTGAGGGACTCATTACAACCAAAGATATTCCAGTCACCAGCAGCAGCTGCAGCAGCAGCTTCTGTCACTGCTGCATATGCCTTAACTAAAATAGACAAATTAGATTTCAAGACAGCAGAATTGAACTCCAAGGGGACTGAAAACCATCATTATGAACAAGATTTCACAATTGACCTAGAAACCCTTACAGAGGAGAAAAGCGTGCTGGAATTGTCGCTTTCAGAAGTCAAGACAGAAAATTCTAGGCTCGGGCAGGAGATTGAAGAAGTCAACAATACTCATGCTGAGTTGTCCAAGGTATGCTCCTTAGATGCACTAGTTAGCAAGGTGATTATCATGTTTTAGAGTTTTTCATCCTTTCAACTTTCCCATTCAGGAACTTCACTCAGTCCAAGGGCAACTAATAGCTGAGAGATCAAGATGCTTTAAATTGGAGGTTTCTCCTTCCATCATTTGTATTTTTTTTCTTATTTGGCTTGGGTCAATTATTGACGTGCCCTTCAACAGATGGAATTTGTTTACATGGTGGCTGATTCTTTTTCAATATTCTATTTGTAGGCTCAAATCAGTGAACTACAAAAGAAACTGGAATCAGTGCAGTCCATTGAGGATGAAGTACAGGCACTTCGGGGACAAAAATCTGCATTGGAACAAGATATGGAGCTTGCCTCATTGCTCAGAGACAAGGTTCTGGCGGGGTTTGGCGGTGGATTGCTGGGGGTGGCGGCAGCGATGCATAAAAGTTGTAAGGGCGGTGCATGAAGTCCTGAAAAAAACGGGGAAAAAATGGAAGTCGGTTCCAAAATATTGAATTGGGGAGGAGCACCTATAACTGTTATCTGTGACAGCTCTCTCAAGAAACTCGGGCAGATCTCAGCAGTGGCCTAGCGGAAGAATATGTAAAACTAATTGCATTTTGTCAGATGGAAAATCTCGAAGTGATGACCCTACAGTAAGATTTTCGTATTAAGATAGTAAAAGGATGAAAAATACAGTCTAAGATAGGAATATGTTTCTGTAAAAGCATTGTTGTTTGGATTCCATAATCAGTCATTTGATCATTTTTTATATCTTCAGATTTTTATTCTTGTCTGAAGTGATCGTGAGTAAGGATTTGTAAGATACAGTTGTTCGAAGTGTTTTTATTCTCACGGCCTGGGTAAAGGTTTGTGATATTTAATTCTTTTGGCCAATCCAACTCGTCATTACACTAATCTTTGATTAAAGTCAGTCAAGTTTTGTGTGTTACAAATTTACAAATACTGTCGCAAATTGAATTACTAGAAGGATTGAGATTTCAAATCTGAAATCTATTTTATTACAATGAGAGAATTGACTGGATTGGGATTGATTGTTCGCAACCATGATGATCAATTTTACTATGGGAAGGTTGTTCCTATGAAACTCAGCTTTGGTGGCTGAAGCTTGAGCAGCTTTGGTCGATCAATTTGCATTTGTGCAACTCATCTCTCTCTGGAATGAATCTGGACCCTAAACAACTCATTATTTGTTAGGCTTTCTCCCATTCCTTCTTTAGTACATCCGGTTAAATTCATGTAGAAGACAACCCAATATAATACTCCTTATTAATGAAAAAATAAAAAATATATATTGACAAGGGGGTAATGAAAAATTAACTAAAAGGTAAAATTGACAAAATTCAAATTACAATAATTAAAGGTTTGTTGCTCCTCTGGTTAACTCTTCGTCGTTGCAATTTCAAACATCGATGCATCAGTTTGCAGAGGTTCTCTTTACTCTGTAAATGCATAAGCCTTGGTTTCCCAAGCTCATATTGACGATCACTGATCAGCCCTCCGATAACCGGTCAGCCTTCTCTCTGTCTCTTGCTAGCTCACTCTCTATGAAATAAAAAGTTGCTTCGTTTCCTTTTCTCGAATTTTGTTTGATTCAAAGAGTTTGGTTCTTGTGGGCCTTGAGCTGAAGAAAGTTCAAAACTTTTCAAGTTTTGGAGCTCAACCCCCGAGAAATCAGACCCCATGAGGCTGATAGAAAGCTCCAAACTCAGCCTCTTCAGCTTCAAAGCTTGCTCATTAAGCTCACAAGTGACCCCGTTTGGCCCCTTCAATTCATTTGTGCAAAAGAGGTGGAGAAAGCCTATAATTTCCGCCCAAACACGCTTAGAAGATCGAACCAGGGACTCAAACCTAGACAAGCTCACAACCCACCTCAAGAAACTCGATATCATCTTAAAACTCCATGTCCTCATGTCCAGTCGGAAGCGCGGACCATTTGTGTCCTTACAGCTAATGTCCCGATGGAGGAACCTCGTGGGGCTTAATGTCGGCATTGGCGCCTTTGTTCACAAATACCCACATATTTTTGAGGTGTTTACACATCCGGCACGGCGCAATTTGTGTTGTAGGATAAGCAAGAAAATGATGGGTTTAATAGAGGAAGAAGCAGATGCTATGAAACAATTGGAGCTGGAAGTTGTCCATCGGGTAAAGAAGTTATTGATGATGTCTGTGAGTGGCACTCTTCATCTCCATGCTTTGAGGTTGGTTAGGAGAGAATTGGGGTTGCCTGTGGATTTCAGGGAATCCATTCTTGGTAAATATTCGAAGGATTTTAAGTTGGTTGATTTAGAGGTTGTAGAATTGATTAGTAGAGATGAAAATTTGGACGTGGCTGAAATTGAGAAATGGAGAGAGAAGGAATTTAGAGAGAAGTGGTTGAGTGAGTTCGAGACAAAGTATGCATTCCCTATCAATTTCCCAACGGGGTTTGAGATCCAGGCTGGGTTTAGAGATAAGTTGAAGAATTGGCAAAGACTTCCTTATGTGAAGCCTTATGACAGGAAAGAGTCTGTCCGCATCCGTACTTGTGGAGGGATTGAGAGGTATGAGAAACGGGCGGTTGGTATTCTTCATGAGTTCTTGAGTTTGACAGCAGAGAAGATGGTTGAGGTTGAAAGGTTAGCTCATTTTTGGAGGGATTTCGCCATGGATGTTAATGTGCGTGAGCTTATCCTGAAGCACCCTGGAATTTTTTACATATCAACCAGACGTAATAGTTTAACTGTTTTCTTAGAGAGGCATATAGTAAAGGGTGCCTCATTCAGTCTAATCCGATATATGATGTTCGGAGGAAAATGTTGGACCTTGTTTTCCTAGGGAGTCGAAATACTAGAGAAATGCCAGCTCAAAAGGAAATCAAGGAGTTCAAAGTAGATGGGGATGGTATAATGGATGGAGACTGGGGTTATCCCAATGTTAGAGAACTTGGAGAATGGAAGTTGAAATTGGTAATTCAAGGTTTCAGGAATACAGTCAGATTTAGGGATGGAATTATGGATGGAGACTGGGTTATCCTTGTATGAAACATGTTTCATCTCTTAAATAACTTGAGTTGAGCCCTTCAGTCAAGAATGTGTGCCCTCACAGACCACAATGCGGTAATTTTAGTTCCCAATTAAGATATCCCTTTAATATCGTTAACATGTATGATTTTGTGGTTGGAAAAAGGATCTCTTATTTGATCTGTGAAATTTTACTCTGTAGTTTACGAGGCTGCATCATTGCAGCCTTCTGTTTGTTTTTATACAAAATCATTTGGTATTTGTTTGAAAATAGATCATGCTTGTCTATGTTTATAACCCGTGATTTACTCATTAACTATTGACCCAAGCATTCACAGGCTTAATTCTGTTCTAATAATAGCTAGCTGGTCAATGATATAACTTTTGTAGGATTATTTATGCCATATTAATTATCCATCTCATAATTCATCTTGTGCTGAAACCAAGATTATGTTAGAACATGAAAATCTCTGAGCTAATCTGAACTCTAAGAAAGTCTTGAAAACTTGCACTTGCCATATTACCTTTTAGTTGTTTCATGGGGTTTCATATCTCCTAGCTGATTTATGTTGTTGGTCCAAACTAAAGATGGAGAGTGAGAAAAAGAGGCTAGGAGTTCATTTAATGGCGGATTTGAGAGGGGTTATCAATTAATTTAGGAACCTTCTGTGGTGGTGCACTATTGCTTCTGCTTAATAGTGTCTTTAAAATACCTGTAGATCAGAACAAGGAAGAAACTTCTTCAATAAGATTTGTAGAAATAATAACATTTCCATGTAGGCACATGCAATCCCATGCTCCAACTATATTTTTTCATAAAGTTGCAGTCACCAATTATGACCTGATTCTCTTCTGTTCTTTGTTTGTAATTCTAATGGCAGAACTGGGGTAGTTTTTAGAAAACTTATTATACCTGGTTCCGAAAAATAAAATAAGGAAATTAAAGACTTTATGCTTTAGTAATCAACCAGTTCCCTGGTATCTCTCTTATTTGGTGGTTGTCAAAGTAAATTGGAATGTAGGGGCATGACATGGAGGAATCATTCTCCAGATGAGTTTAGTTGTTTTCGTTTCAACATTAAGCAATTAACACTGTCCATCTGGCTGAATCAGTTGGAAAGACAAATTCTCAGATATCGTTTTCAAGGGAACTCCTAGGTTGGAAAGAGATAATACGAGAGTTCCAAAATGTTCTGGTTGATGCTTTTATGTTGGTATTGCAGACTCTCTATGTAATTTATACGTCTTCATGTATAAATTTTATCATTATTCTAAGGGCCTCATATATGCCAAAAATGATTTATTTCCTTGTAATGTATATCCAAAATGGTATGTAAGGAGTATAGGAGATAACAGCAACTACTTCTTGTGTTCTAGGAATACGACTTGGACATTTCCCATTATCTTGTTGGGGGTGTGTTTCTGGTACTTGGTTTTTCCTTCTCTTTGTGACTTGACTTGTCTGAACCGGTTACTGACTGATCTGTTATCTGTTGTACAGGCATAACTCTATTTTGCTATGCTCTAAGAACAACATGACAAGGCTAGTTTCTGGAGGACTAGATATGAGTTACACAAGAAATCTGCTTGCCTTCAAATATCTGGGTCTATAACATTTTGGAGCTAAGCTCTATAGCTTTTTCCCAATTTAATATTCTTTGACAACCAAAAGCACCACAGATTCAGGGGCTCATTCCGGTCGTTAGTCTTCAGGACCTCTCATTGAATTGCTTCAACTCAAACATTTGATTAGTGAGCAATATGTGTTGGCGATATAATTAAGTGAGAGGAGAATTGGATTGGTTCTTAAAGTGGAGAACATGGATTGGTTCTTCAAATGTAAAAAACTCAATTGTATGATTCAAATGACAATCACATGCTTTGCAATCTAACTCTTTCCACCTTAATCTTTATTTTTATAACTGCATTATCCTCTATATATTTAAACAGGGTACTAATTATGTTCGCTCATGCATTAGCAGGCCATCGCACGTTTGACTTTCTAAAGGTCCTCCAGATTTCTAGCTTCTCCTGGAATTTTGTAAAAGGAGTTGGGCCTGCAGATGACCTTGGAATGGCAAAGGAAGAAAACATCACAATCTGGAGACTATTGCTCTTTGCTTTGTAAATTAACCAGTTCCTTCCTTAAGATTTACTTGCAGGTGACCTCGGAATGGCGGAGATAAACCCAACTCTTCTACTTTTTGTAGGGAGCCACCTGAAATTTCCGAATAGAAAAGTTAAAATAGTGTTTCTTAGACTGATGGCTACAGAAAAAGAGGCAAAATTACAAAGAGTGACCTGGCCGGCAACAAATTGAATGACTTGGTCTTCAGTGAGTCCATCTGGACTAGCTGCTCTCACCACATATGCCATTGGTATTTGTCCTGCTTCTTCGTCTTCAACCCTGCAGTTTGTTTTTGTATTATGGAAAGAAACAGATATAGATAGAAATAGAGAATGACAGGGAGAGAGCGCTAAGTGGCGCACGGTATAACCGCTGCATCAAGAATTTGAGGGTGACTCAAAAGTATTGCCTCCAATTCTGCCGGAGCAACCTGCACAATGATTCAAACTGTTTAATTTGGAGTGCTTAAATCAATTATGATTAGCTTGTGTCTATTTCTTGACATTTGTAAAACTATTCAATTTGTAGAAAAATGCTAGAGAGATCACACTTTGGTCATACTTGCTGACCACTTGATGAGGCAGTGAATTAACATCAATTGTCACACATGCGGTAGCTAATCCGGTCTAAAAATGTGATCGCTCTAACATTATTGTTCGGTTAATTATACAAACATCAGTCGTAATGTGAAATATTGGTTCAAATATCCATTCAAGTAAAGTATTGGTGATAAGATGAGTTTTACCTGATACCCATTATGCTTGATGAGCTCCTTGATCCGATCAACAATGTAAAGAAGCCCATCCTCATCAAAATAACAAAGATCCCCAGTTTTCAGCCACCCATCTGAATCAATTGTTGCAGCTGTTGCTTCCACATTCCCCAAATACTCTTTCATAATAGTAGGACTTTTCATCCACAGCTCCCCTTCCTTATATGGTGGCAAGGCCTCTCCAGTCTCAATATCAACTATCTTAGCACAAAAGCTTGGCAGCAACAACCCACAAGAGGCAGAGTGACCCCTAGCCTGTTCATCCGAAATGAAAAACGTTGCTGCACCACAGCTTTCTGTTAGGCCATAGCCTGGCCTCATCTGGACCCAAGGGAACCTCTCTCTGAACTCATCAACTACTTCTTTGCTCAATGGTGCAGCTCCTGAACTTACCCTCCTCAACGATGACAAGTCACACGCAGCTTTGCTTGCATGCTTTACTAGTCCAAGAATCACCGGCGGCACGGCAGGTATGTTACTCACCTTGTGAGTTTTTATAGCATCCAACATGGTGTTGAACTCATACTTTTGCATCAAAACAGTGGTGGTTCCTGAGCAAAACAATCCAAGACCAAAGAAAGCGAGCCCGTAGATGTGGAACATAGGAATGAAGCACAGAAACACATCATCTTGAGCTGATGTCCCGTCCACAGTCCATCTAAGCGTTGTCATAACGGCAATGAAATTTGCATGTGTTAGAACTACACCTTTGCTTGTCCCAGTAGTCCCTGAAGAGTACAAAATAGCAGCAGTGTCCGACTGAGTTGGGCGGGCTTGTATTAGCTCGGTTGGAATTGGATCACAGCCTTCAATCAATTCTTCAATGCACAGAGAGTTGTCTCCACTCAACAATGGCCTCGATGTTAAAATTGTAGGCACCCCAGTTGGGGCCAACTTGTGAAGCTCCTCAGGAGCTGAAATAGCAAGCTTGGCACCCGAGTCACGAACTTGCTTACCGATTTCTGACTTGGTATTGAGTGGATTGGCAGTGGTTAAAACTGCACCGATGGATAGCACTGCCAGGCATATTGTTGGGTACAGAAGTGAGTTTGGGGACAAGAGAAAAACCACATCCCCTTTTCTAACCCCAAGTCCCTGGTACAAGCCTGATGCAAGACACTGAATGAGTGATGAAGCTGTGCATAGGTGACACGCTGGTTGGTGGCTGAGTCAATGAGTGCAACTCGTGACTTGGCCTGGTGATGGGGTGGGAACTGCGACAGTACAAATGTGGCAGTGTCAAGGTCAGGCCTGGTGGGGATTTTGTGACGGTGTCCGAGTTTGGGCAGGGCATGATATATTCCGGTTTTGGCATCAAAACCATTCATACTTCCGTCGGAATAGAGCTGATCATCGCCGGAGAATTCTTCAGTAGACATTGTTGCAAATGTGGTACACTAAAGTTTGGTGTAACATGGAGCAAATAAATAGGACAGTACGTTGGCTTATATTATTGTTGTCTGAGTTTGACAAGGTCGAGGTTTAGCTTTGTTAAAAACGTCCATCAAAGTTTATAATTATAGTTAATTGCTTAAAACATATATATATATCATATATGTTAGTAGCCGGCGGACCAGTTCAACGAATATTCATTTATGTTTTATGATTATGCCTTAAGCGGTACGTAATATGGTTGATAATAACTTAATAAGACATGTACTAATGCCAATTAGCTAGACAGAAATTCCTGTCATATACCAGCCATACAGAAGAAACAAGAAGGAAAATATTATATCAAAATACTTGTCTCCTTCCTCTCGAAGTAGGAACTCTTTCCTGCTAATCATAGCTTTACATGCGTGCATACATTTTTCTTTTTGTGTTTTGATGAATTGCTTAGGTATCAAACTGTGATTTACAGAAATTATGATGTCTCTTTCGAGGGTAGGAGGCACGCAGTGTCAATAGTATATAGAGTGCATACTCTGAGGCATAAACAAGAGAAAAAAAAATCATGTATGGTTGAAATTAGATGGGATTTGATGAGCTCATTTGAGTTTTACATCATGTTTATTTGTTACTATAAATGTTATAGCATTTGATTAGAGCTTGAATTAGTAAACAAGTTCTCAGAAACTCAATGGTCCCAATTAGGCAGAAACAAAATATGTCAATTCATTTTGCAACTGGCATTGTGCACAGAAAGCCTTTTTCATCTGGAAAAGCTGTTGTAATTTATTCCCAAGTGCAAGTAGTCTCCAAGGTTGTCTGGTGATTTTCAACTTTCTTACATAATAAGGCCTCCCAGAAAGAGAATATGAACCTAACCACCCTTTTAAATTGAAAATCTTGATTAGCAGCATCATTAATGCGAATCATATTACATCTGATGCTGTTCTTGTTACTCAAGGCCTTAAAACAAGATTAAAAGTTTGGCATACTAGAGAAAAATGGAGGCTAAGTTGCAAGGGACGTGTAGCTCAAATAGGTAAGAGCATTTACGCCTTTACTTGAGGGCTAAGTTGCAAGGACTTGTAGCTCAAATAGGTAAGAGCATTTACGCATTTACTTGAGATTGTGTTTTTGATTCTCCTCTCAACCAATATTGCTTATATAAAAAACAAAAAAAATGAGGCTGAGTTTTCACAAAGGGACGCAAGTATTACAACTTTACAAGTGCTTTCGTGGTAGATTAAAGGCAAAAAGGTCATTTTTTGTCAATGCAGTTTTTCGGATTTTCTATTTTTGTCCCTGTGGTTTCAATTCTAATTTGACCTATGTAGTTTGATATCCATCGCAATTCAAGGACACGTCCAAATTTCCGTTCAATTTCATAATACACCTCCACATGAGGGATACTTGCTTATTCCATCACGAAATTGAACAGAAATTTATACGTGTCCTTAAATTACGATGGATATCAAACTACAGGAATCAAGTCAAAATTGAAACTATAAGAACCAAGGGGAAATCCGGCCGCAAACTACATGGACCATAAAGAAAAATTTTCCCTAGATTAAATAAGTGGTGAAGTGAGGCCTTGGGCCTTTATTTAATCTCCCACAGGGAACTCCAGCCCAAAGGAGCCCATCAAAGTAGATCCTAGAGAATTTTATCACCCAAATTAGAATGTTATTCTGGAGGAGATTGAGCTGAACCATCAATGTAAAATAGTTACAAGAATCTGTCTACATTTTCGCACCAACAATTCATTATTTTTATTCTACAAATTCAACACCTCCAATAATTTTTTTGTTGGAACTTGCTTTTTTCAACGTAAACAGACAAACACATTTGTCCTCTTTTGGTTTGGCTGGTTGAATTGAAACTTCAAAGAATACATAGTCTTGTCTTGGTGTGGTGTGGGATGTTGAAAACACAAGCACCAGAAAATAGTGGTGGGCACTAAAAGGAGATAGAGATAGAGATGCATATGTAGAAAGATGGGCCCTTTTAGGTTAAATTTGTGCACTTGGTTTATGCTCATGAAATTCTGCCCACAGATTCAAGGACTAGCTAGCTGTTTGACATTTTTTGCAACTAAAACAACTTGTAGGAACCACAGAACTAGACCATGTCAAAGTCTTGGACTTTGGCTGTTGGAATGCTACTGCAGAATCTATATATATTTATATTTTTTTTTCAGAGGAATATATTCATATAATATTTTGAGTCACTATTATTGAATTCGAATATTGGAACTTTTCTTATAATAAAATTTTGAACTACTATGAAGACCAGCATATAGTGTATGCCTAAATCTAATTGATGAGGAATTTCTATTCTCAACCAGATGAAGACCCTCCCCTCATTGCCAGCCTGACGTTTTACATACAGTACCTTAATAAAGGTTTGCATTGATGCTTTGATATTCCAATTAGTTGAGTCCTTATATGAGGAAATGGTTGAACGGTTAATAACACCAAAGTTCTAGATTTGTCGACGTTGGGTTTAGACGCAAGAACAGAGTAGTAGAAGAGATCATGACATGTTTTGCCTACATGCACAAGATCATGGCAACAACCATTAGTTTACACCAGTCCCACCCACTTTAGAAAATATTGCCTCCAACTTCACGAGCGCACGTAATGGAGATATGTTTTTCACATTCATCCAAGATCTTCGAATTTGATGCCTTTGAGGTTTGAACTGAGATAGAGGGTACAAGGGAAACTGTAATTTCAACATATCGGTTCTAAACTTGTGTACTCTTTACCAAAGCAGTGTGGAAGAATAGATCATGGCATGTTTTGCCTACATACACAAGATCATGGCAACAACCATTAGTTACGCTAGTCATACCTTCGAAAACACTGCCACCGACTTGGCGAGCGCATTTAATGGAGATATGTTTTTTTACATTCATCCAAGGTCTTCAATGAGCGCACTTAATGGAGATATGTTTTTTACATTTATCCAAAGTCTTCGAATTTGATACCTCTAAGGTTGGAATTCCGAAAATCATTCCATATGGACTCGCCAAAAGCAAAATGACCAATAATGGATACGTATTTAGTGCGCCCATAGTGCTTTGTAGTATCCAGTTAATTTCTATTTTCGCTAGGAAATAGAAATAACTCTTGGATGGAGTCGGGTTTTAAGTGTTCGTTTATTTATAAGGCTTCTTGCAAGGGTCTGAATGATGGAATATGAAAACGCCCAAGTACCTCATAAATACATACCCAATTTAATTCCTCGATAATAAAGATGAAAATTTCTTAAACTTGGTTAAGTTACAATACATTGTCATCCCATAATAATCGCTTATGATTGAACCTACTAATTGTACGACATCAATATAGTCCAATGGTTTATACACTAGGTAAAAACATCTGTTATTAACAACGTTTTTGTATAACAACAGGAGAGACACTACTTAATTACTACCGATAAGGTTCTGCCTATCTCTAAAGATAATAATATTGGCATAGCTTCTCTCTCCATTAAAGTTCCATAGAATGTGTACTTAACTTTATATATTGTTGATCCAAATGGTGATTCCATGACTTCTTCTTCTTGGTGTGTGAGATGGAGTTCGCACACTATGCCTAGTTGTCGTTGGCTCCTTGCTCGCTTCCCCATACCTAGTCCAAGTTGATGGAAGTCCAAAAATCCAATCAATAGTTGGGTTTAATCCTTGAATTATTGTTTGTTGATACAAGTCCTTTGACTAATTTGTCACGTAGATTACATTCCATTTTTGACATGTTGATTCAAACTTTTGTATTTAATTTTTTTTTCTTCTATTATATCCCTTTTGTCTAAAATGAGTAAGGTGAGAATTTATATGCCATTAATATTAGATTTGATCATGTACAATTAAACAAATAATTACATTTTGAATATATGCTGAAAACCATGTACAATTGACAATCTGTACATTGCCACATATAATTCTAAAGCCTCCTCATGCTGATGATTTTGAATGTGACCCAAGATCATGGCATTCCATATTACAAGATTCCTTTCCCTTTCGTTTTCTTCAAAAAGTTGTAGGTAATTATTTTTATTTTTGTTCACCCTATGTTAGAGGTATAGTATATGCTTTTGTAGATAAATTATCCTATGGTGTAGGTATATTGTCATATTGCCTATTGCATAGGTATATATGTGTTTTTTCATATTTTAGACAATGAATAATAGTATTTTATGTACATTTTTTTATAGGTAACATACAATTTTATTTGTCTATTTTTGTATCTGACTTATAGGTAGTCTTCTAATTTATGTTCCTAACTTAGGTATATTCTAATTTATGTTCATGACTTATAGGTAACACGATTTATCACTAAGTTTTTTTCGTTGCTAATAAGAACACTATTTACCTGTATGTTAGGTACAATGTGGGTGCTTGTCTAATTGATTAGTATAATATGTGGGCCTTTACTTTCATTGATTAATTTGTATTTTACCCATATATTAGGTAAATATTATCAATGAAAGAATTCCAAATTTAAATTCTGAAATTTAATTATAGGTAAATAATTCATTAAATTTAGATTTCAATGTTGACGCAATAAAAAAAAAGTAATAAAAGTTAAAGGATCTACATCTAAAACCAAAAACGCGTGGACTAAACCCAATAACAGCTAATCGTTTTGGACTTAGATCTAAGAACCCCTTATTATAATTGCCTGATATGACTAAGTTGGTTGCTCTTATAGAATTGTGTGTCATCTCGATAATTCTATCCTGCCTAACCAACTTAGAACTCATTATAAGATATAGGATAGGCTTACAACAAATTTTTGTTAAATTTTGTAGGAAGACATAACTTTCACTAAAAATTCAAACCATCTTGCTAAAGAAGACACCAAACATGGTGCAGCATAAATATTTTGATCACAAACTGAAGTTCTTTTCCTTGGTAATCAACCACATGGTAACAAAGCAAGAACTTTTGTTTGAAGAAGCTTACTATTATTATTCACCAAAAAAAGACCTAGAAAAAACGAAAAAGAAAACGTTTTCCTTCTCTTCTCACATGGCAATTTTCATATTCCACAGAGCCTAAATCGAAAAGAGAAAAGGGAAAGAGATTTTTGTGGATGAGGCAGAGTTGACAAGTGTCATTTGCATGGCCTTATACGAAAATTTCAAATCATCCTTTTCCAACACACACTGCCTCCTCCCTTTCTCATCATCTTCCACTCTCTCCCTATCTCCCTCTCTCCTTCTCCCTCCAAATCAGTCTCTCTCAAAACAGACCATCTCTTCACCTATCTTTGTACACAGTCTCTCTCTCTCTGAAGCTCTCTGTCTCTGTTACCATGGCAGTAGCAGAGCTATCAACACCTTTATACACAAGGACCCGCCTTGTTCACTCATCCCAGCTCTCATTCTCCTCGACCCATCTCCGCAGTTACAGGCGTGTCGCCTTTCGACCGCTCCCTCAGGCTAAAAATGCCAGAATATCTTGCTCTGTTGCACCCAAGTAGGCTTTTTTACATTATATATTCCACAGTTCTTTTCTTCTGCTAGTAGTAATTCTCATTCTTGATCTCAGTCAAGTTCAAGCTCCTGCTGCTCCGCCACAAACCGTGGAACCGAAGAACAAGGCTGAGTGCTTTGGCGTCTTCTGCCTCACCTATGATCTCAAAGCTGTAAGCTTTCTTCCTGTTATTATCTGGATTTATGCTGATTCAATGGATTTTCTTATAGATTTATTGTGGGGTTTTGACCATTTCTTAGTAGGCCTGGAGCTTCATTTTGTTATATAAGTGCCTGTTTTTCGTTTGTCAATTTGTGTAGTCGAATTGCCATGCATATTCAGACTCTCTTTACCAACTAGTAGAATAAAATTTGCTCTGCTTCCCTTAGTAGTGATTCTATGAGACCTATTTGTTTTATATTTGAATCAATTTTTACTTTTTAATCGTGAATCAGACAAAACAAACTTTTCATCTGCTAATTTTTCTTTCTGCTGAAACAAAAACCATGCAGTTCAAAGATATCTAAATTGGGGTTTTTAATTTAAAATATGCCTTTCTCATGGCTTTGAGGTTGTATTTGAAATTGATACGGTTGTGGATGTCCTCTTGAATCTTGTGATTGTATTATATCTAACCCTTGAAGGTTTTCCACACATAAGCCTTATAATGTGTCACGTATATGAGCTGTTCTCAGCTTTTGGATACCAATTTTAGCAGAATCATGATGCATGCCATCGCCGATGCTCTTCAGCAATTGATAAGTTTTGCATATGTTTGGATTGGTGCCTCTACTTAAGAACTTGATCTGATTTAGACTAATTGGTGTTCGGATTTTTTTTTCTTAGTTCATTCTGAATACTTTGCATTGGCAGTCATGCTCCTAGTTTTTGGTAGGTTAGAGAGAGAGAGAGAGAGAGAGAGGACATATCTGAATATTAACTTACAGTTTCTTTCCTATGCAAAGATGGGCTCTTGAGATCAATCTTGTATTTATCAATTTTGTCTATCTAATAACTGTGGTCCAATGCTCACAGGAAGAAGAAACAAAATCCTGGAAGAAATTAATTAATATTGCAGTATCAGGTGCAGCTGGGATGATATCTAATCATTTACTCTTTAAAGTAAGTATTTCTTGCACCCAAGCCTCTGGCTCTTTTTCTTAAATTGTGGCGATCTTGATGAGTGATTCTTTCTGAAACTTATCAGTTAAGCTTGCAATTTGGCCCTATTAATTTAACACAAACATTATCTTACTATTTCTGTCATTATGAGTTTTATTGCCATTGAAGCCTGCAACCATCCCTGCATGTTTATCTTAGTTTTAGACTACAATCTTTTTGATAACCTGTTTAGTCTAAGAAGCAGTCTAAACTATATTAGGGTTAAACTGGAAAATAGGGCATATAGCAAGTAGTATCTGAACTGACAAGAAATTGGATTTTACTTTTATTTACTACTGAGCATTTGGATGTATCTCCATTCAGTTCCCCACTAGCATGTGGTAATTCAAACCATTGTAGGATGGAGCCTTGACATATTGTAGCGTGAGCATAAAAACATCATGAAATGACATTTTATTTGTTCCCATCTGTTATTTTGATGGCTCTTTCTGGCCTTTTCTGCTGTAGGACTCCACACTAGAGATTCAAAGGTGATTTCCAAATGATAATCTTTAGTTTGTAGGAAATGGTTAAGGTCCAAGCTTTTGACTAATCTATTTTAAATTGTAAAATGAAAGTTCTGCCTCTTTTATTAAAGAGAAAAAGAATTTCGTCCGTCTATTTTCACAGTAAATTATATTCACTATTGAAATATAACTTCTTCTTTTTATTATTAGAATTTAACAGCGTTCAATATTTGCAACATGATTTTCTTCTTAACCAGCTTGCATCTGGTGAGGTTTTTGGGCCAGACCAACCTATTGCATTGAAGCTATTGGGATCTGAAAGGTCGTTACAAGCTCTTGAAGGTACGGTTCTGAAATAGACATTATTTGATTATAGATTCACATAAATGTGCACTGCAAAGTAGCATTTAGTTATTGTCTGCAGTGTGATCTAGAACCCTACCTGAAATTACACACATAATAGAATAAGTAAACATAGATATATTTGCAACCACTTATGATTGGTTTCCACCCTTACAGTTGTGAGGAAGCAAACAAACACATGCAGACAGGATGAGCTATGAGCTTATGTGTGCATATAATTGTAATCAAGTTATTGATACAATTCAAGTAAGCACAACATTGAATTAAAGTGTGTCAATGCGTCCTATCTCTGGACTGAGTTCAAGGTGTTTGACTACTGTGTCAGATACCTGGATACAGTGTGCCTGTGTTTCGGCAGTGAGAAAAATAAGTAACATGCATTTAATGATGTTAGAAAGGCAGTCAGCTAGAATTACAGTCAAAGATAAAATTATTGATCTATTGGAATAACTTGCACAAGTTTCGAATTCAGTAAGTTAACGTGTTCTGATTAGGTATCTTTCTTCAGCATCACTAAACTTGAACTCTCCTGAATTATGGTTGGTATGTATATGGCTGATTAAGAGGACAGTTTGTGTGTGCAGGAGTTGCAATGGAATTGGAAGATTCCCTATTTCCGTTGTTGAGGGAGGTCAGCATAGGCATTGATCCATATGAGGTGTTCCAAGATGCAGGATGGGCACTTTTAATAGGAGCAAAACCTCGAGGTCCTGGAATGGAAAGAGCTGGCTTGTTGGATCTAAATGGGCAGATTTTCGTCGAGCAGGTTCCATTAGATTTTCATATCTCACACGCACCTCTCTTGCGTAGACAGTAACACAAGTGGTTCTGTAGTTTCTGCTTATATATTTTTTATTTCTAAAAACAGGGAAAAGCTCTTAATGCCGTAGCATCACGTAATGTCAAAGTGATAGTAGTTGGCAACCCTTGTAACACAAAGTAAGTTATTATTTTCCTTCTCTTTTAACTTCTTTGGGGCAGAGGGATGCCCAGGTAGTGGAGAAATGTAATATGCCTGTCACTGCTAATTATATTTCTTCCTTATGCAGTGCACTCATTTGTTTAAAAAATGCTCCAAACATACCTGCAAAAAATTTTCATGCTTTGACACGGCTGGATGAAAACAGAGCCAAATGTCAGGTAAAAATATACCTCACAGACATTAAGTAACATAGGTGATACTCAATTTAGGATATCATGACCAGAAAGAATAATAACATATTTGGCTTATGATTTATTCAGCTAGCCCTCAAAGCAGGTGTCTTCTATGATAAAGTGTCAAACATGACCATCTGGGGAAATCACTCAACCACTCAGGTTATTTAAACACACTGTTATTAAAATGTGGATAATTTTCTCTACCTTCTCTATTTGAAGAAGAATTGTGTAATTCTTATCAGGTTCCAGACTTCTTAAATGCTAGAATTAATGGCTTGCCTGTCAAAGAGGTCATCAAGGATAAAAAATGGTTGGAGGAGGAGTTTACTGAAAGCATCCAGAAGGTAAGACTCTGGAACATATATTTCCATGATTCAACAATGTCTGTTATTAGACCGTATCTACCTCTCATCCTCAAAACCTGAAGACTTATTCAATTTGCAGAGAGGAGGTGTGCTCATAAAAAAATGGGGAAGATCTTCAGCCGCATCAACTGCCGTGTCAATTGCAGATGCTATAAAGTCTTTGATTACTCCTACCCCTGAGGGTGATTGGTTTTCATCCGGAGTAAGTTCATGCTTGTTTGATATGAATGCACATCATGTAAGCCTATAGATACTGTCTACCTTCTGTAAGAACCAGACCATTCTTGACCAACCATATGATCAGAACCTACTTCATAAGTGATGGTGGAGAGACAGAGTACTTTGATGCCCCCAACTCTATGAGAAGCAGAAGCAATTAAATTAAATGTCTTTTCCATTTCCTTACATTTTCGCTCTCTACTTTTTGGTTGCCAAAAAAAGTCTGCTTGTGTATATACTCCAATGAACTTAATTATTTTGGTTTTCTTCAATGTCACACAAGTTCATGGTTATTTTAATATCTAATTCGTCTGCCATTCTCTTGTAGGTTTACACCAACGGAAATCCCTATGGTATAGCAGAGGATATAGTATTCAGTATGCCATGCAGATCTAAAGTAAGTTTATGTAGGAGATTTTCCTTTCTACTGTTTATGATTATAATGTAGGCACTTCCAATAAGTTATTATAACTCTCCAGGGAGACGGTGATTATGAACTTGTGAAGGACATACAATTTGATGACTATCTTCTCAAGCGAATAAAGAAGGTATGCCCTCTTCTCATCCGTTCAAGGCTTCTTTGCACTATTGACTTAATAAAGTACTCTAAGCATGGAAATAAGAAATTTATGCTCTATAAATGCAGTGAGTGAACAAGCAGATATCATAGTAGATTTGATAACAATGACTAGGATAACTGATTTGACTAATTGATTAACATAAATTCTTCTTGGTCTCATTAGGAACGCAGTACATCTTAGTATTCAATCTAGACTAGAAATAATGTGCTGCAGAAACGAAAGTTGGTTCATATGAGAGAGAGAGAGAGAGAGAGAGAGAGAGAGAGTCTTCTTCAATTCATCCCCAGCTAGTATTTTCAGAGTTTGGACTAATTGTCTCGTTTGACACTATAATTTTTTCAGACTGAAGATGAGTTACTAGCTGAGAAAAGATGTGTCGGTCACCTTACTGGGCAGGTATGTTTTTAATTGTTAACACTTTTGATACCTTATGTATTGTTGATACCATCAGTCATCTTAGTTCCCATGTTTGCTGTTTTCCAGGGTATTCCTGTTTGTGATTTACCCGAGGATACGATGCTTCCTGGAGAGATGTAATCCTAAGCAGCTACCTCTACGTCTCGAGAACATTTAATTGAGCAGATGAGGCAAATTATACAAAAATTATTTATGTAGTGTAAGCATGAGAATAAATCAGAGGGGATAATTTAACTCATTAAATTTTGTGATTGTAATAAGTTTCTGTTGTGGAGCCTGGATCTTGAACATTGATGCCTACTTCTGCTTGTTGAGTTGTAGCCTAGATGTAATGCAAGTAGTTGCAAATAACCGTATATTCAGAAATGCCTATATCATTCATCATGCATTGTATAAGCTGATTACCCCAAGTGGCTATTAAGTGCCTACTATGGGCTTCTCTTACGGTAATAAACTGAGAATGTGCGCCTCCGATTGTTTGTAGGCACCCACAAGCACCATCAATCGGCAAAATTGATTTGGATTAGAGGTTTAACTACAGAGGGCTGAAAATATGTACGTCCACAAAAGCTCACAAACGTTTTTCTAAAAACGATTGACCAAATCTCAGCCGTTGGATGAATTGAATCCAATGGTGACATTTGCCTATGCCCTTAGTACATAGGAGGATTGAAGAAAAATGGGACATCAACAAACGCTCACAAACGTTTTTCTGAAAACCATTGACGGTGGTGCTTGTACATGTTCCGATGCTACGGGATCCGGCATGTCGAAAGCATGACAAATTTTAACTTTCCTAAGCATTTGAGCTCCTGCAGAGTATGGCATCTTGCAATGATGTAGAGAACCATTGACGTGGTAATGAGTAACGCATTTGCTCCCTTCTCTGCAAAGGTAAAACCATTAAGTGTACCGCACTTGCTTTCCAAGAGTTGGTCTACATCATGGTTCACAAAAATAAGCAAAATAGTTGTAAAAACACACCCTACATTATAGTTTTTCTAGGCTTCAATTACAATGAAATAGTATATAAAACAAAAAGTTACAATGAAGCATTACATAAAACAAAACTTCAGTCTTGCATTCGTTCAGTATATAACTAATCAAAATAGAACACAGTCGTGATACCATCTTATGCAAATGGTTTGTATAAATAACTAGGTTTGGAAGTTAGTATACGGTATACAAATTAAACTAAAATATCGAATCTGCAAGAACATGCTTTCCCCTAGTGAGGCTCAGGGGAAATTCACTACCGGATAGTCCCACCTGTTCCATCGAAAACTCACCCTTACTGAAGAAGCATCACCTGGTATAGACATAGCTACCAATTTTGAAACTCATTGAGAGAAATAGGACCCAGAAGAACATAAACAAAAACCAGCCCCGCATCACAACACATCCTGTCTTTCCAGAGAGTGAGCCATCCATTGGCACCAGATTGCCAGAATTGCCGTCATTCTGCGACAGCTGAACAGAAAAGACAAGGTTGACAACCCCGTCCTTGCCAAAAGACCAGTCCATCCTGTTGTCACTTGAAGTTATGTCTCTAATTCTGATCATGCCAGCAGTAACATTAACTGAACTGGAAGATGCTGAACCAGAATTTAGCCGAAGAATTGCATCTTTAGCAGGGAACTCTGAAGCAAATGCAGGTGGAGCAGGTATGTTGCCCAACATCATGTGACTGGCCTTTTTGATGAAGGGATAGTTAACGTCTGGACCACAATAAAGGCACACAAGAATGAGCCCAGAAAGTGAGGAAAAGAAGACCATTGACAGAATATAGAAAGTTCTTAAAATATCATGTACCAAACATAAGTTTTCAGTACTCTTTAATATACATATATAAGTTACTAAACGAGCTAATGATGCTAGCCTGCTAGTTCAAATTAAGATGTTATACCTGATTCAAGCTTGAACTCTGGCTTTTGCTCCGATGAAGATGCATCATTGGTATCCTCTGCTTGTGCAAGATGTTCAACTCCCATTGGTAGTTGTTCAGTTTCGCCATTCACAAGCTGCTATAGAACGGTTTGTTAATTGAAAGATGCTACTTAAAATTCAAAATAACAGGAGGAAGAAACTCTAAGTAAACTTCTACCTTCTGGTCAACTGGAGATTGGTCAGGAACAGAATTTTCAACCCCCATCATTCCACAGGAATCAAAATCAATATACTGAGAAATGTCATCATCAGCATCAAAGTATGTAAGGTACTCATCAAGCATGTCAAAGCCTGCAGTTGACTCAACTGGATTTGAAAGATCATTAGTTTCAAGGAATAGCCCATCACCAACTGGTGGATTTTCAGCAGTGTTAAAATAAGGTTCATTAAGTGGGTAATTGACATCAGCAGGATTCGTATCATTGCTTGGTTCAATGAAACATTCAACTTTGACTAGTTTTGCATCTGCCTCAGAGTGCTCTGGTACGTCAAAGAATTTCAAGTCATCATAATTTTCTGAAATTAAATATTCATCTTTCACTGTCTTTCCACCCATCTCATAATCCACTGGTAAGTCAAAGAACTTCTGGTCTTCATGGTATTCCGAAGTTTCCCCAGTGCCCATCACAGCCGTTGTACCATCATCAACAAACTCCCCAGAATGCTCAACATAGTTGCTCGTCTCCCCATAATAAAAGTTCAATGGAGGACATTCAGATGGAATGCCTGTGTCAAAATTCTGAAAAAAGAAACCATTTATAAAATGTACAGCATCTAAGCATAAAAACCTACATAACACAGGCAGTACAGAGGTTAATCATGAATACACTAAACAAGAAAACCTGGCAGAAAAAGCAGGCACCTGGCAAATTATATGTATTATGGAACTAATTCATATCCATACTCATAATTTAAGAGGAACTCTCAAAAGAGGGTAAAATTTCAATTGTGCCCTTTCCAAATTAAATAAGTTGGATAACACGTGCAAAAATTAAGGTTATTTAGTAATTCAATCACATTCTCACTCCAAACAAATGTAAGAATTCAAATAAGATATAAATTAACAGTGCAAGACATCCAAAAGTGCTGTATATAGTAAAGTAATGCCCAGTTTCAGCCTTAACTGGGAGCAATTTTCATAAGTCAAAGAAAGGATCACCAATAATCTGATTTTAAAAAACAAATAAAAAAAAGATGATCGCCAAAGCTTGAGCATATACAATCACGTGAAAAACACACTACAATGACTAATGAGATAGTTGTTCTGAATAAATTGCTCTCCATAACAAAAGAAGAGCAGCAGCAGCAACACGAAGTTCAAATTCTATTTAAGTAAATTAGTGGGCTGTTTTAGTTATTCCTCTGCACAAGTTCATTTGCCGACATTGGTTAACTCATACATGTATGTGCATACTATACTTCAGGAACTTTACACTCTTTTAACATATTTGTATTTTCACTACCTTCAAATTAGAATACAATGGAGACCTTTCTACATAGTTATGTAAAGCATAGTCGGATTCAAGTTACAATCATTTGACCTAACAACTAAAGCATAGCCCTCCATGAGAATTCATGCAGCGCTCTCTACCATATTTAAACTCCAATAGCTGGACACAATCAAGATATAACCTTGTCACTTACCATAACACATCAGGGGGTTTCCCACGTGTTCTGTTTATATTTTAGTTCAGTAATTCTAGCAAAATATATCTATCCCCATATGACACAATTCACCTACCAAACATGAAATGTAAAAGCTGAAGTGAATTAATAACCTGATCATTGTCAAACGCTTCAACATATGCCCCATTGCTGGCATCATTTGTCTCAACATATGGCCCTCCGCTGACTACCACTACATTATCAGCCGCCAGTTCACCAGGTACACAAGTCACATCATCATCGTCCCATTCCTCCTCAGCAATAGGAGCACCATACTGCTCCCCATTCTTCGGTCCCGTTCCACTCTTCTGGAATATCCTACAAAGCACATACGGATCTTTCTGGATCCAACCACCACCACAAACCCAAAAATCAATCCCAATTCAATAACATCAAAAAATGCAAACAACACATAGACGACAACAACAACAACAAATCCAAACCTGTTGAATTCCAGATTTCTCCAGCTCCTCATTTGAAAGGCGATACTCATGCATAACCCAATTAGTTCTGGCACCTTTCGGGGCCCTCCCGCTATGGAAAACAAGGGTTTTCTTCATCCCGACATTCCTGGAATTGTGTAGAACCGGGCGGTCCTTACCAGTAGTCTTCCAGTACCCTTTTTCAGTTGCCCGATTCGTCCTCGACGAATTTCCATACTTCTTATCCAAAAAACTGAAGAAGTACCACTCCAAATCCCCCGTCTTCAGCTTCGACTTGCCTATTAAGACCCAAAAAACAAAAACCCATAAAAATTAAATCAAAAATATAGACGCAGGACACCTACATATACACATATATGGGAAACTTAGAGAAAAAAAAAAGATTTTGACCAGGTAGGTCCCAGGGCTCTGTCTTGTAGATATCGATGACGGAGATGGGATCAAATCGGAAGTTTTTCCCAGACACCTTACGCTTCAGATAGTACCAGACCAGTTCTTCATCGGTCGGGTGGAATCGGAACCCGGGAGCGAGGGAGTTACGTCCCATGAATTAATCAAATACAGTAAAAATGAAAAATTGTGTCGAAGAGCTCAAGGAAAGTAGGGTTTACGAAAGAGAAAGGAATTTCAATAATTGGGAATTAGGGTTAGATTAGGGTTTGGATTGTATCGAAATCAGAGGGTTGGAAGTTGGGAACGACGGAGGAGAGTTGAAGAGTCCATTGGGTAGGTGCGCGAGACTGCGACCAAACTCGAGCTTTTGATAAATATAGTGATTCTTGCTTAAGAGAGAAGCAGTCTGCGAAGAATTGCCGGTGATTTTGTTTCGTCACAGGCAGTAATTTTATGCTTCTCACACCGACATCAATATTTGACTGATGTGGTGGTGCTGTTTAGGTTCCAAGTGGCATGGATGTTTGATTACAATACGGCTGATGTAATTGCATCCGTCAAGTTACCCACAATGACACTTGAAAAATGGACATGTAGGAAATATGAGATAATTATTAGTTTTTAATTACAAGTTAAAAAAAACAATTCTTTTTCTATAGGAAATACTCTTTTTTTAAAATAAAAAAAATAGAAAAGAGAGGGGGTTTTAAGTGTTTAGGGATTTCAAAACTAAAACGAGTTTTTTAGTAGATGTAAATCCACAATCATTTTTTCAAAATTGGATGTGTTGAAGAAAAAAAATTTAATTTGCATGAAAGAAATGGAAATGATAGTTTACACCCATACTCTTTTACTTGAAACATTTTATGTTCATTTGTTTTTATTTGGTGTTTCTTAGAGCACTTTCAGCGTGCAAGGCCAACCCGGGCGGGAGGGGGGCTGAGCTCAGTTTCGAGGTTCTAGTGGGCTTCAGCAGCCCGAGCAACAGGTGGAGGCCACCAACCCAGGCAAGCCCAAAGACAGAACGAGCTCTTGCCCAAAGGCATGTGACGTCAGCACTGACGCCAGCCTGGTGTCAGCCTTGATTTCCGCCAATGACTAGAAGCCATGTGGCTTGTCCTGGGCTGTTTGATCGTAATTTGTCCTCCAATCCAACGATTTCCATTTTTTTATAATAAAAAATTCAAACAAATTTTAAAATATACCCAAAAATTCTGAATTTTTTTTTCTATAAATATCTACCAATATTCTTCACTTTCCACACCAAATTTTCTTCACTTTTCCAAATTTCATTTGTGTAAAAATACAAATGGCATCTTCCCATCGAAGCTGGAGGGTCGTGGACAACCATAGAAGATGTTTTGTTGTGTGAGTAGGTCCAAGTTGGTCATTGCCCGATTATAGGCAATGAGATGAAGTTATCTCATATGTGGAGAAAAATTCATCCCGAATTTAGTGAAAGATTGAGTTTGACTCGTATGGAAAATGGTCTTGGCTAGTATGTGGAAAATTTTGAATAAAGAGTTGAGGAAATGGAGAGATGTGCTGGCAAAAGCGAGGGACAATGCTCGAAAAGACGAAAATCTTGGCAACGAGGTAAATTATTTGTAATTATTGTTTTATTAAATTTAATGTATTATTTTTTTGAAATTTTCTTGCATTTCCATTTTTTAAAAATTATATATTATGCAAGCACAAATGTGGTTTGGTGCCATTGGCCAAGACAAAAAATCTTTCAACAATCACCAATGTTTGGTGAAAAATTGTTCGAGATTCAAAAAAAATTTCCACGGGTCCGACCATTGTGTTGAATGCGACGCCATTCCATGATTCAACGGGATCAAATTCGCCATTGTATTCCTCGATGAATCAAGACTCACCAATCCAAAGGGAGTCCAGGCCTATTGGGAGAAAGGCGGCAAAGGCCTAGGAGAGAGTAATTCCACCAATGATATTGCAAAAAAAATTTGGGGCAAATTGCTCTGAACGGCACAATAAGAGTTGAGAGAGACATGAAAAGAGATGCGGATGAGAAGGCAAGAGATGAAACATTTGCAAGAGAAAGGGAGTATGCAAGCAAACAAGACATGGAGAAGAATGATCAGGAAAACATGGTCATGGATACGAGCCATATGTCCCTTAAAACAAAGTCATTTTGGAAGTTAGAACGAATGGATATTATGAGAAGAAGGCTTTTCCGTGACGATGGACCTAGTAACATAGATTGGTTAAATGATGAAAACCAGTAGGTTGTATTGCTTGTCTTTTATTTAATTAGTTGTATTGCTTGTCTTTTATTAAATAAAGAAAGCATTCAATAATATAGCTATTTATTTAACACATTGTGTACATCAAAACAAAGCATAATTCGATTCAAAATACAAAGAATGCATAATTCATTACAAAACACAACCAAAGCATAATTCAAAACAAAACATAAACAAATCATAATTCAAACAGAGCATACAACAACACAAAGCATAATTAAAAATTAAGCATTAAACTTGATTTCATTGACCGTCATTGCCTCTCAGAACCCATAAGTGCTCCATCAAGTCAACTTGACGTCGTTCATGAACATAAGAAGATTGCATTTCCGTATAACAGTCAATCATACGATTGTTGTAACGACCGTCCCTAATCAACAAATTTTGGATAAAGTAATCTTCCAAAAGATTCTTACCCCAAGAATGCCTACGTTTGTCCATGTTTGGGCCACGGCTGACTTGTGAACCACGATGATGGCCTTGGCTTGATAGATGGAGCATACCCACTACCATGGCAACTTGATCATCATCTTCTTCCTCCTCCCTTTCTTCTTCAGCTCGTTTGCGCCTTCTTTCTTCAATTTCTCGCTCTTGTCTCTCCAAGCACCTCCTCGTGTAAGACATTGAGAGTGGAATGTGTTTTCTACAATCTGAGAAATGAAAGAATATAGAAGATATGGTGTGAGAAGTCTGAGTTGAGTCTCTGGTTTTATAAAGGGATTTAGAAGATAGAGATGACACGTGGCGAAATTTTAGAGGGTAAAATTCTTATCTGATATCTTAGATTTGTATTTTATAATGAATATCGACACGTGGCAACCGAAAATCTTATCTAAAATTTGAGATGTGAATTTTATAATAATTATGGACATGTGGCAACCAAAAATATTATCCGAAATATGATATGTGAATTTATAATAAATATTGACACGTGGCAACTGAAAATCTTATCCAAATTAATCATTTAAGTTTTTTTTTTTAAAGCATTAAAGTGAATAGTATTTGTCATTTGTCATGGCAATGGGTGGAAACACAACAAGCTTTTTGCAAGGACATGCACTATTCATATGAATAGTAACAGCCATTTTCTCCCCTACCCTTTGCCATGGCAAATGAGTGGAAGTGCTCTTAAAGGGCATAAAAGAAATTGCACCACTAGCTTTAGATCTCCACACTCAAACTTCATCACAAATTCATCATAATTCTAAAAAATTCAGCAACAAAAATGCTACACTCTCTTTGCAATAAACACTTTTATTCTATGACATTAAATTCACAATTTGATCTCAAGAAAAATATTTTTTTAAGTTCCGCATTAGATAAGTGTTACTTCAAAATTTCATTATAGTTGAACTAAGTCAAAATTGAAACCATGATATGAGAATCAACACCATGAGCAAGCGGACACATCTGTTACCTCTTAACCACTCTATAATGACTATCAAATTCGTAGACATGACAATAAGACACACATAAGTGCCCCAGTGGCACCGCCCTTCACTTGCCCCAACAAACCTTGTACCCAGGGCCGATCCTAAATTTTTCAAGCCCCATGGTAAATGTAAAAAATTAGGCCCTTACATATATATATATATATATATATATTCACTTAAGTGCTAGACTCACTCTCATTTTTCAATCAAGATTTAACTTATTCGAATTAACTAAAAATTTAACATTCAAAACTAATACATTATATAAATTCAAACTTCAATATATAAAAATATAAAATAAGAGGCTACACTTGATACATTCAAATCTAATCCATAAACAAGATAAATATTTGTAAAAATTCAATCATTTCTTTTTCTTTTTATTTTTATTTTTTGATTTCCAGATTGTTGTTTTTTCAAAAATCATTGCTACTTGAAATCAGAAACAGTATAAGGAAATCCAATGAAATTTAATACTTCAAATAATAAACAAAGAAGGACATAACTTGGAATTTGAGGAATCCCCCTCCATAACAACAAACTTAATTAAAACCTTCAAATTTGCAATCAATTAGAGCTTAAAATAGTTGAAACACCCCATGTTACTTTTAAAAAAAAATATTATAATAATATATAATAAATATAATATACCTCTTTATAAAATATAAAATAAAATAAATTTGGGCCCCCTGGACAATGGGCCCAGGATAGTCGCACTGACTGCCCCTGTTCAAGCATTGCTTGTACCCAATTCGTTGACCTCTGAACTTTCCCTTCAAACAATCAAACTCACCTATGGATGTGGAGGTGGATAGTATTCTTTTCAACATCCTGGCTGTGATTCGAGAATTCTAGAGAGTAACCTTTGTATATGCACCTCGCAGTTATAACAAAGTTGCTCACGAGGTTGCATTTTTTGTGTGTAGGGTAGATGGTAATTTTTATTGGGACTTTGTACCTCCAGTATGGTTGTTTAATACCTTAGTTGGAGATGCTAATGTACGTGTTCGTCTTTAATAAAAGTTCCTTTTAGGCAAAAAAAAAAAAAAAAAAAAAAAAAAAAAAAAGCAAGCAAACAAACCCCCCCCCTAACCATGGGCCTAAAAGAGTGACTTCGTGGCCCAAGTTAGTGACCATTAGACCCACCTTGAAATAGTTATCAAATGGGCTCTAAATTTATTAATTTAATTATTCATCAAATTTGAAAAATAGGCAACATTTAGTCGAAGACATCAATTACGTTAACATTTTCATTGGTAATTTGTGCGCATGTGAGACTCATAATTTCTTTAATCCGGTGCCATAAAGATTAAAAATTCTAAATTTCTTTATGAAGCATTCTAAAACATTGTAAATAAATAAATAAATTTATATAAGAGAGATTGTGTGTTGGTGTTAGTACACTACAAAATACCAAAATTTGGGCATTACATTATCTCTTCCTATCCCCAATATAGGTATGCATTAGGGATGGTAACTAGGAGGGTTGAAACCTAGGATGCCATTACCATGGGATTTGGAGCCCGGGTTACTTTCTTATTAAATTATTTCTCCAATAAAATAATAAAATCTCATAATGTAGTGCATAAAGATGCTAACAAATACGATTTTATATACCAGGACATATAATTCTACAATCACACTACTAAGAGCTCGTTTGGGAGTGTTTTTGGAGCAGTGAGAAGCGCTTCTAAATGGGTGAAAGCGCTTCTGTCTTTTAAAAATGGTGTTTGACAAAAATTACAAAAGCGCTTTGGGTGAGTTCCAAAAGCACTTGGAGTGGTTTTGAAAGAAACACTTGAGAGATGCTTCTTCTTAAAAGCGATGCAGGACAAAAACACGGGAAGCACTTGGTTCTCTTCATGAAACTTTTAAAATACTGAAAATACCCATATTTAATTTTTTTAAATACCAAAATACCCTCTCTCTCTCTCTCTCTCTCTCTCTCTCTCTCTCTCTCTCTCTCTCTCTCTCTCTCTCTCTCTCTCTCTCCTATTAAAACCAAAACACTACCCTATCAAGGATTATTGTTCCATAAGAGTGAATCAAATTCTTCCAATAGTTGTTTCTCTATCACATTAGCAAGTCTCCTCTAAATTTGCTTTCTCCTTTTTCTACATCATTTTCCTTGTAAAAATTCTTCATATCCCTACTGTTATTTTGTAAAGATGGATAAAGAAGTAACAGCCCCAAATTAACCACATCGTCACCAAAATGGAGACTTTCTTCTTACTCACTAGACAGTGCCTTCTACCCAGAAAGGTATCCACTAACCATATCATTCAAACTTTTCAAACTCAATGAAATGCAACTCATCAGCATCATCTTCTATGATCTTTTCACCTAGCTTTTCCTAAAACACAATTTCCCTTCTGCTATCTTCTTATGTTTGGTTAATTCCTTTTTATTTTCAAAAAATGATTAAAAATTATACTTGGTGAAGTTCATACTTTTTTAGGTCTTGTTTTTATTTTGGGATCCTGTGAATTTTTATTTCCTATGTTTATTATAATATTTTGGAATTCTTTAAATTTTTTTAAAGTACTTTTAAAAACGTTTTTACCATGTCAGCCAAATACTCAACAAAGTATCAAAAACGTTTTTATGTAGTGTAAAAACACTTTTAAATGTGACATCTAAACGACAAACTGCTTCTTTGTAGAAGCACTTATGTCATAAGCACTACTGACATAAGCGCTCCCAAACGAATCTTAAGTAACTACAAGTAAAATTATAAACACAAATTAAAACTTAAAATTGTGAATTAGCTAGAAAAAAAAAATTATACTTTTTTTTTAATGAACATAAACCCGAAAGCGAGGCAAGGACGAGGATAGTATTCCCATCCCTAGGCAGTAAGGCATGCCCCCGCAGGTTTAGCAGGAAACGGGAACAAATTGCCATCCCTGGTGCGCAAGAAAAGGGTTTAGTTTCCACGCTGAGATACATTTCTTTGGTTTGGTATTAATGGTTATATTTGATGAGTAAAACATACAGAATTATAGAAAGTAGTCTTGAGACACATTGCTCACAAATTTTGCTATTAAGAAAGCCAACGTTCAAGATTCAAATCGGATTAGATGAGACTATGAACTGAATTAGTTTACCATAAATGAACTTTGGGATGTAGTTTCAAGACCGACAGATAATAATGTCATCGGTACCAGTGGCGGAGCCACTCCTAGACCTGGAGTGGCCCTGGCCCCCCCATATTTTTATCCCTTCTCTATTATATTATATATAATATGTAGAATTTGTAATAAATAATTTATTTATTAAGTTAAAATTTTCTCTAAAACAAATTAGATATGACTCAATTAGAAATATTTAGTTCTAAATATGCAATTATTGAATACTTAGGTGTGTTATATACTTGTATTTTTAACTTCGGCCCCCCCCAATTTTACAATTCTAGCTCCGCCCCTGATCGGTACTAAACGCGTATCAAAGAATAAATATGTTGATCAACGTTAAATTCAAAGAAACAAAGCAAGTTTGGTAGCTCAAGAATATACTCATATTGAAGGAGTACATAGATTCTAATGAAATAGCATATGATTTGAACTTCAAATTGATATGCGTGTCAAAACAACCTTTCTCAATGGTAAAGAAAATACATTATGCCTAATCTTGGCCAAAACGTACATTTTTTTTCTTCTTTGTTTTTGTTTTTACATGCTAAAGGGAAAACATATTTTCCCTTTGGTTTTCTGATTAGTAGTCTTGAGAAAGGTTGTGTGAAACTATTCCCATATTTGGTAAAACGAGTGATGGGAATATGAAACCTGCCACATGGATTTTTCAAACCCATGAATGAGGGAATCTCATACCCTTAGCCACCTTCGGAATTTTTCTATCATGATTTGGGAATGTATTTGATGCACAATTATTCGCATAGGCATGAATTTTTGGTTTAGAGTTTGAGGTTTTCTTTTCAAACCCATGGCAAAAAAATTCAATAGAATATTCAGCCCAAGGGGCGTGGCCAGATTCATTAAGATTTAAAGCCTCCTTCTGTTTGTCCAAGTTATACATATCAGATTTTCCCTCAGTAGGCATAGGGACGAGGTGAATTGGAGCCAGGCATGACGTTTCTATCTCTATAATATTCAAATTGAGAATTCCTCATTCCCACCTTCATTCGAGAACGAGTTCCCCCAACCCCATAACAAAAGTTAGAAATTGTTCAACTATGACAACATACACTCGTAATTTTTCTAATGTATTATTTAATTTAATACATAATATAATATAATTCAATTTAATCTAATACACAATATATTCATATGAAAAATAAATAACATTATTCTAAATGGGAAGGATTTGGATCGAGGATTCGAATACCCCCCTTGCCCTACCACGACGTTCGATTTCTATCTTTCATACTTGACTTGTTAGGGTTGCGCCTCTTGAAAACCCTAACCTGAGGAAAAAATTGTCATCCCTAATAGAATCCAAGCAACCCAAGAAATTACGCGAGGTTTGCACCTTTTTTTTTTCTTTCAAAATAGTTCTTGAGCTATTATAGGAATTCTAAATCGTAGTTGCACAAATTCTACCCAAGGCTTCTATCACAAGCATCTTTCCACACAATAGCTCTCTAGCCTTGATCTTGCTTTCGAAATATCTCTTTTGGAGCTTACCCAATTGGCTTTTGGCGGCCAGTAATACTAGAAATACCAACTTATGATTAATAATTGATGTGGCAATGTTTCATTTGTTTCCTCTCTAGTTTCAATTTAGATCTTATTTAGAGCATCCACAATGGGCTCCCTAAACCACCTCCTTAGTTAATTTAGAGAGGAATTGAAAAAACCCACCTTCAACCATGCTCCTTATTCAGCTCCTAAAATAGGGAGACCTCTAGGAACTCTTAAATTTAAGGAGAGAGAAAGTACTCCTAGTGACTCCCTATAATTAAATGCTTATATATTTAATATTATTTTAAGCATTTGTTTAATGCCAACTATTTTTTATTATTGCTTTTGTGTCTACACTTTATTCAAAAATTGAATTAAAATGTATTAAAAACATTTATGACTCTTTAAACTAGAGAGTATGGTTGGTTGAAATTTTATAGAGAGATTCTAAAATAGCTTTCTAGTGTTTTTAGCTAAATTTTAACTAAAAAATAGAGAGCATGATTGTGAATGCTCCCAACAAATAAGAAATTGTCAAATCAATTAGTAATCAATAGTTTGTGTAATAATTTAGTGTATCAATATTGATTGTTATGCAAACAGACGCTAAAGCATTCTAGACAGAATAATACCATCAACCACAGTCCAGATAATCTCTTGCTCCTAATTTAATTGTAGATCACAGTGACTGCCGAGTCATTCTTATGCAAAACTGAGGTATTAGCTAAGAGTTGTACTTGCCACATTCAACTATGCACTGACTAAACAAATACTTTGGTTATCTAACAAAGGCAAAAAGGTTGATATTTAACATAACTCAGGTCTAAACTGCCGATTTCGATGACAGGCTAATCCAAGCCCATAAAGATACAACATAGTTCAGCTTGCTACTGGTACAACAAGCTTGCTACAGTTTACAACATCGTTCAATTAACAACAGACAGTTACCCACTCTATTAAGGAAAACATACTCACTGTAGATAGTTCAACACGGCCCATACGGGCGCCGTTAACTCATACAAAGAACACTACGAGTACATACGACTACGAACCACTAGGCGACTCAGACATTGTTCCTCTTCAAATCCTCATTCTCCTTGTTTAGAAGATCGATTCGTGCTTGAAGAATGTTAATCATGGCTTGGGCACTCATCATTTCAAATTTCAATGTCTCTCTCTCAATAGAGATCTTGTGGATTTCATTTTGCAGAGTCTCTACATATTTCAAGCAGCTAGGAGGCACAGATGAATGAAGCAAAGCAGCACTGAATTCAGGCGGTGGTGGTGGAGTAGTATCTTTGGGTTCAAGGGATTCTAACAGCTGATACTCCACCAGTGCAGACAGAAAATTTCTTGTTGTCGTGGTCATCGATGCCTCAGTTGACGCTGTTGTTGTTGTGGACGAGCAAGGGTCATGTGTCATCCCACTTGAAATGTCAGAAGCATTTGAATGGTTAGAATTTGAATCATTATGCCGCCTTCTTTTATACTGGCGTAGTTGCCCAGGATGTCGATTAAACAAAGATAGCAGGGGTTGTGCATCATCAGGACCTGGTGATGGATAATCATCCAATCTCTCTTCCCGATTAATCACACATGTCATGGGATAATCATCCATTCTCTCTGTCTTGCAAAGCGGTAAATCATTTTCATTCTCTGTTGGAAGTTCAGCATCAGTCACGAGAGCATTGCTGATGGGCTGAGTATCCTGAAATGAGCAACCAAGGCAGACAAGCAAATTGTGGATATATGGTGAATTGAAAATACAAAGGAAAGTTTCAAGTCAAATATGATGAACAAACAAGTCCAATACATATATGCGGTACAACCCAGATCTATTGTAAAAAAGAACAATATTAATGGGAATGTTTCAAACAGGTCAGGTTGGTTGTACACAAAATAACATGATATCAACTTTGGTTGCTTATAATAGCATGTCATTATCTACTTCTTTTGGTGTATATTCAATCACATGATAAACTTTTGATATGATGCACACAACACAGCAACAATAATAGATGATAACCTGTAAATCTAAATCTAAATTGCACAAGCAAGGATAGTTTCAACAAAAAGATTAGAGTTTAAAGATAGAGTGAGAAAAAAGGAACTTGAGAGATTCATAATGATTCAAGAGTCTCGAAATACAGTTGCAATACTCAGAAATATGGTCAGGTAGTATGGTTCTTTGAAAGGCATATGTGCCTTTCATTCAGTTTTTGGCATCCATGATTTCTATATTCGGGTCAAAAAGAGACAACTTAAAGTAGCTGATACTGTGGTGTCAGGTCAGAAAGTAGCATTATGAACAATCTAAGTAGTGGTTTTAGTTTAAAAATAATAAAATAAAAATTGGTTTCATATTATTCTAAGGCTAGGATTTAATGATTTCCAGCTGTATGTGACATAAATTTCTACAGACCAATGCGATAAAACAAAACTCAAAAGAACATTTAACATGTGGTAAAAATTACCTTCTAATAATTTTCTTTGTTTTTCTTCAGTTCTATCTAATATTTTTATCTGGAGCCATGTAAGGACATCATAGTTAATACTTGGAGTTCAATGGAGATCCTTATGTTTCTACTCACCATAATGGGCTAATTAAGACCGTCAAAATCTGATTAAACAGCAGAAGGATCTATTAATTAACTTTAAGAAAGCCAAAAGTTCTGCAAAAAAAGAAAAGGAGAGCACAAATGATGGACATATAGTCACCATCCCAGGCTTTTCTTCAGGGTATGGCAATCCCTTAGTTTAACCATATTTCTGATTTTTAAAAACACAACCTTTTTTCATGTGGAAAACAAATAGACTGGCAAGTCGTATATGCCATGATATAGTTTCCCAAATCAAGACTCTACACATGGAAACACAATCTACAGCAAAACACAGCTTCAGGCAACTGCTGAGATAAGGATATAAGGGGGAGAGCGGGGGAGAGAGGAATGCAGGTTGAACTAGTAAACCAGTGACTTGAACAATCGCCTGGTTAAGCTTAAGTTCCTTCGGTGTACCATCCATAAGTTGACTTAGGTATTAACTAGAATAATTGTTTGGCATACTAAGAAATCTTGGGAACTGCAAAATTTGATTGTTCACCATTTGGCCTGCTTAGGAATCAAGAAGATAAATTGTTGTACAAAAGCCTCATAAATCCAACACCTATGCTAAAAGATCGTTAACAAACACCACAGTCATCAGATCAGAACCTAAATTGTAGTTACCATTTCGATGCTCTAAGAGTTCTTCCTCATCACCTGGTCTTTCAAAAATTCCAACAAGCTACAGTCTATGTCATTAGAATCATCGTTTTGTTATCACCTTCAGCAAGAAATGCTGTCAACTTCTTTCTACAACTTGATCTCAAACTTTAACCTATAAACCTTCCAATTATGCATATGCTCCTCTACAGAACAAGCAACATCCTTGCTCTTTATCCCTAACTCACATAAAATCCAACAAAATCAACAGCCTACTGAGTTTTTAACTATTCCACCTTCTGATATCTTTCTCTCAAGGTACTTTACTTATTTTACAGCAATCTCTAATCTAAAGTACCATCCTATTTTACTTATCCTCAAAAAAACCAATTTTAGGCCACAGATCCATAAAACAGAATAATATTCCAAAACTTTCTTATTCTTTTTCGGAAGAGAACTCTCCAAGACTTCAAAGTTCAAACTGCCAAATTCTAGCACGATAGGAGATACAACATTATAAGCCATATCTGAAGAGCAATTCATTTAGAGACCACGGTCAAAACAGTTGCTGATTATTGGAACATAAAATATAGTTACCCTAAATCAAGGGCAAATAATACAGAAAACCCTAGCCACATAATCATAGGAAGTTCTCACAAACCACAAGTTCTAATTCCAAACCAGGGACACATAGAATACCCCATCCTTCAAAGAGTACCTTGTCAGACTAATTACAATTTCATCAAGCAGTCATTGCAGCTTTTTCCACATAAGGAAGCCTCCATAAATTGTCTTCCAAACTTCCATTTCAAAATTATGTAACAATTCCAGTTTGTAATGATATCATGATGACACCTTTAAAATGATAAATCTAGAGATGGCATAGAAACAAGGGGGCCATAGGTTATCATCTAAATAAATTAGTCAGTATTTTGTGAAAAACTTCTTCAAGGAAAGAACAAATACATAGAAGAAAACATAAATGATTCAGTTTAGAAAATTTCAATCCACAAGACGATTGAGAAGTTGGATTAGCAATCCGTGAATTCAGTCCACGGAACAAATAAAAAATAAATAAAAATTCTCATTTCCAAGCATGTAGTTACATCCTTTCTTTTGGTGCAGCATATTGGATGTTTACTCCCATTTCTAAGCATACAGTAAAATCCTCATTTTATTATTTTGCATGTTTCATTGAAATTTCTAATACCTACAAATGATTAAATATCCCATATTGCCTAAATTAAGGACCTTCAATCAAAACAAGGTACATGTTTGTCAAAAACAAAAACAAAAACAAAATGCATGCTTCATTTGGTTGATTGCATGCTTTGATTGAGTTGTTCTAATGAATAGTTGTTTGTCTTGTTATCAATCACAATCATCATGATACACTAATGATAAAGTGGAGAAATCACTATTTGCATAACAGATGAGCAAACTCAGCCTATACGATAAAAGAGCACAAATATTTATGTGAATAAACTTAGGAAAACAAAAATAAACTGAAAAGCACAAACCTGCTCAAAATTATTTCCTGCATTGTGCACATCAGGACCATATTCCACCATTTCCAGACAGTTACCCTCATTAGTAGTTCCATGATCATCTCCAATTATAATGCCATGGCCATTTCCTTCAATAGAAGTAAGATGACCATTTCCTTTGACAGAAGTGCCGTGGCCATTTTCTTTGACAGAAGTGCCATGGCCATTTCCTTTGACAGAAGTGCCATGACCATTTCCTTCGACTGAAGTTCCATGATCATTTCCTTCGAATGAAGTTGCGTGACCATTTCCTTTGACGGAAGTTCCATGACCATTACCTTGGACGGAAGTCCCATGACCATTTTCTTGGACGGAAGTGCCACGACCATTTCCTTGGACGGATGTGCCATGACCATTTCCTTGGACGGATGTGCCATGACCATTTCCTTGGACGGAAGTGCCATGACCATTTTCTCCATTACATGCAGCATGATCATTTCCTTCAATGCATGCAGCATGACCATTTTGTTCCCTACGTGCAGCATGACCACTTTGTTCACTACGTGCAGCATGAGCATTTTGTTCACTACGTGCAGCATGAGCATTTTGGTCATTACAAGCAGCATGACCATTTCCTATAATAAATGCATCCCGACCAGCTACAGCTTCATTCCGGGACTCTTGTCCAGGAACCAAAGTTAACTTGTCATCATCATCCCATTCCTCCTCAACAAAAGGAGCATATCTGTGCCCGTTTGGTGGTCCTATGTTGCTTTTATGAAATACTCTACACAGCACAAATGCATCCTGCAGCCCCCAAAGAAAAAAGATAACAAAAATAATGAATCAATCTCCAGAAGATAGCAATAGCCAACACTAAAATAAAAATACCGTTTGGATGCTTCAATAAAATGTAGGTACGGATCTCAGTAGTTCACATTATTGTAACACAATATAAACCAAGTTCAGCAGTTCACTAAAATAAACTATTCAGCTTCAATGCCAAAACTTTTGATAATTACCAAACCAAAATTAGCATAACACAAGTGCAAAAACAGCATTTCTCTCATAAACAAAAAAAGTTGCTTATAGCATAAAAGCACTAACGAAAATTAGGCCAAGGCCTCACCTGAATGGAACCAAGCCCAGCTTTTTCAAATACTTCATCAACAAGCCTATACTCATGCATAACCCAATTGGTCCTTTTGCCATCAGGAGCTCGGCCACTATGAAAAACCAAGGTTTTCTTCATCCCCACAGTGATGTCGTTGTGCTTGACTGCCCTGTCATTTCCTGTGGCCTTCCAGTACCCTAGGTTTGTAGCCCTGTTCATCCTTGCCCCATTTCCATACTTCCTGTCTAATGCACTGAAAAAGTAGTACTCCTGGTCCCTGCTCTTCAAGCTCGACTTATCTAAAAACCCATGTAAAAAATTCAATAAATAACCAAAATTTCAACCCAGAATCTAAAAAAGCCCAAAAAGGCACAAAATTTCCAAGCGTCATCTCAGCCGAAAAATCAGCAAGGAAGACCCACAAACATAATAAGGCAAGTTTCCTTATAAAACACAAACATTAAGCAAACAAAAGCTTTAAAAAAAACACAATAAAAAGCAAATTTAACACAAAAATTAAAAAGCCCAGTTACAAAATTTAAATAAATTTAAATAATAAAAATTGGAGAGGTGGGTATTACCTGCGAGGTCCCAAGGCTCGCTCTTGTAGATGTCGACCTCGGAGATCGCGTTGAATTTGAAGGGTTTTCGACACACCTTGCGCTTGAGGTAGTAAATGACGAGTTCTTCGTCTGTTGGGTGGAACCTGAAGCCTGGAGCCAAAGCCGTTGGCGCTGGCGGCGGCGTGACTGGGGCTGTGGCTGCGAGTACTATTGCTTTTGGTTGCTCTGCTTCGCGACCCATGAGTCCGAAAGCTCAGAGATGGGTCTGGTTTTTGGTCTGGTCCTTGATATGGAGGCTTCTGGGGATTTGGTGGAGGGGAAAAGCAAGCGATAGGGCTTTGATTGGTGTCGAAGAAATGATGGGAATGCCTTAGTTTACAAGAAACTGTTTTCGATTTAATTTTTATTCTGATCTGTTCCCTTTTATTTGTGTCATGGCCTTTGGGTTTGGTTTGAGTGAAATGGCAGAAAATTGTGCCTACTTATACAACAAGTTCCTCAGATGGAAATATCAGCCCAATAAAGTCATATAATATTCTAGTAATTTTTATTTCTTTTTTACTTCTATTTTTATGTTTTATTTTCTCCTTCATTTCTATTATTTATAAAGAGAAAATTGTTAAGAATTGGTGAAATTTTTGAAGTTTTAATATCCTAAAATGTCATTTGCTAAAGAAACTGTTCAAACAAAACAGTACTAGGGAGGTGAAACTTATGTCTCTTTTTTCCCTATTTCTTAATTTAATTATTTTAATTTTATTTAAAAACTTTTAGGAATGTGTATCAAGAGGCTAGTATGTTCTTTCGAAAGGAAAATGTTATTTGTATTAATTCTTTTAGAATTGATATAATAGTGTAAGTTAGCATGTATCACCATGACGTTATTCTACGTTAATAATACTCTATAATTTTTAAACCATCAAAGTTTTCCATAAATAAATTAAAATAAAGAAAAAACAACTACAAGTAGATAATAGTTACAAATACAATGAGTTATTCTTGCTAAGTAGTTACCGGTAGTTGCTGCGTGTACTTTTCTTCAATTTTAAAAAGTCGTTATACATCAAAAGTGCAGTTTTATGTCATCGCGGTCAGATAGTGGTTATCGTTATTTTCCTGGCATTCTCTGTCTATAACTAGTTTTAATTCGCCTATTCTAGCTACAATCATACACCTTACTCCACCCCCTTTGGCAAAAGTTTGAATCTTATCATTTCTATTTCTCATATAAATAAATAAAAGAATTAGAATGCGGGATTTATAAGAGAAAATAAAAATAAAAATGAAAATTCCTAAGCCCAACCAAGCAAGCCCTACTCGTCATATATGTCAGTTAACTTAAGAGTCAAAACAAATTTAGTAAAACTTATTTTCATATCTGTATAGATGCTAAATAAAAAATTTATCCATATATGAAATTGATACTATTCTCGATTTAAAAAATACTAATTCTGAAAGTTTAAAATGTATGTGATTTATTTTAAAATGGATAAATTCCATATTTACTTTTGAAAAGAATTACATTTTATCTTTGCAGGGTAATTGGGGTCACAAAAGCTGTGACTTAAAACCCAGCTGGTGTACTAGTCCTTTCACCATTTGCCACCACACACAGCATTGAAACCCGCGTCAGTTGCATAAAACCTTGTGCACATTTCCAAAAATTTAAAACCTTTTCAAAATAAATTATCATCTTTACCCAAAAAGAAAAAGAAAACAACTATAAGACTGGGTTGCAACACAAGAAACCTCAGGGGTGTTAATGTAAATAACTCTTCAAATTTTTCATTGTCATCATCATCTCGATATTATCGATATTATCGATATTTTTAATATTATAACTATATTTTGGCCAAATATTGCTAAAGTGTGAAAGAAATTATCAACATCGATATTTTCTAATATTATCGATACTTATACGATATGTGTATAGATATGTTCCAAAATATCTTTGCCCAAAAAAAACGATAATATCCTTGATATTATCGATATTTTAGATTGTGGTATTTACTAACATGTGGGTATTGAAACGATTTCAATTCTTGGTTTATGTGTTTACTAACACATGACAATTGGAATGATTCCTATTCATGAATTTAACACATGAGGAACCAAAAATTATGTGAGTTCCACGTTAAAATCCTCTCAAAATCATGAATGGGATCTGGCTAAGGGAGTAGTTGATCCAATTCCAATTCCTTGAGTCCTCATTTAAGCTCCCTGACTCATAGCTTCCCTGTTCCTAATAAATATATAAACATACAATAATTATATTTATATCTTTCTCAGGGGACGGTAAAAAGATAATTCTTAACCATTTTCATAACACATATCACTCATATTTTCTCTTAAACAACATTCAAATCTTACTGCAATTGTGGTAAGAAATCTAAACACATCAATCCTTATAAGCAAAATTAATCCAAAATAGGAATGGTCAACAATTGATGGATAAGCATGCCATGGAAAGTGCATGTATGCCAAGTGTCAACTGGATTTATAAATTACACATATATGTTTTTACTAATTAGAAATTAAATTGCAGAATCAAAAGCTGGAAAAAAAAAACACCTGGATTTGTCCAATTTATCCTATTAAACATAAATATAGATAAAAAGCTTGTACTTCAAATTCTAACGCCACACAAACCCTCTGCCATATGGGAGAAGGTGGTCCTGTAAAAACAGTTGTCGTCTGGAAGTAAAAAGTTAAAGTAAAAAACAACAAAAGATTTTTACCTATAAAATCATGCAAGTGGAGCAGGAAATATTTTTGGCAAAACAAAAAAGAATTACAGTACAGAGAAAGAAATAAAGATAGAGTGAAGAATACGTTGCCGTCACATACTTCACCCACAAGGCAAGTAAGCGTAGCGAGTTTGGTCAATTGAGGCTGCAGATTATTAACAAAAGACAAAATTAAAATAACAAAAGCGTGATTGGGATTTTTATTATCTCCTTGTTACCAAGTTAGACGGTAAACGGTCAGATTTGAGAACGGCCATTTGACCTCGCTTGCAAGGCAGTGAAAAAAAAAGGTTAGGTTTATTTATTTAATTTTTTTTTTAAAGCTTTTATTTATTTATTTATGGGCTTTTCGGGCTTTGAGCCGAAGTGGGGCTCTAGTACAAACCACATTTCTGCTTCTGTTTTGTTTATTAATGTTATGAACATGCATTAGTTAAGCTGATTGATATTTAGTGTCATGAACTAAACTTGGACTACATTAGGTAATCATTCACAAAGATCTTTTTTTTATGTATGAATAGTTGGTAGAAAATTGATTCAACGAAGTAAATTGTGCTGAAGAATATAAGTTTCACATTGGAAATTTGATTAAATAAAATATAAATAAATGACACCACTTCTAATAACACCAAGGCCTTTTGTAATAAAATCACACACCTACTTGGCTTTGTAGGTGGTTAAGTTGTGGACAATATTGATATTGTTAATAGTGGGCTGATACCCTGTCTCTCTGAAAGTTAACATGGTATTAGAGCATGTGCAACGCAGGGGCCCTGCCAGGGCAACAGGCTCCCTGCCAGCCCAAAAACGCCTCTAGCGCAAAGAATTCAGCCCCGCAAGCCCACGGGCAAATCTTGCCTGGGCTCAAGTCCGAAGGCACTGACGTTAGTCCTAATAGAAGCCAACGAGAAAACACCACGTGGCGCTTCCCGGATGTTGCGATGGTTTTTTTTAAAAGAAATATGATGGAAATTTTTTTAAAAAAATACCAAAAAATTCTGGATTTTTTTCCCTATAAATACCTAACAATTTTATTCACTTTCCACACCAAATCTTCATAGAAACTCTTCTCATTTCAATATTTTTTACTTTCCACTCACATTTTTCTACTACTTTCCATTTGTATCAAAAAAACAAATGGCCTCTTTTGTCAAAGCTGGAGGCGCATGGACAACTCAGGAAGATATTGTGTTGTTGTGTGAGTGTTGGGTGAAAGTTAATCATTCCCCTGTCACGGGCAATGAGATGAAGTTCGCTCATATGTGGAGCAAAATTCATGGAGAATTTTATGAAAGATCGGGTTCGATTCAGACCGAAATAGCCTTGTCTAGTAGACGGAAAATTCTGAATAAAGAGTTAGGAAAATGGAGAGATGCCTTGACAAAAGTAAGGGAGAACATTCGAAGCGGTCAAAATCTTTCCGATGAGGTAAAATATTTCTAATTGCCATTTTAATCAATTTAATGTAACTTTTTTTATTTATTACATATTCAATTTCTTTTTCTTGCATTTCCAATTTGTCTATATTTTCTTACATAATCAATTCTTTTCTTGGATTTCCAAATTGTTTATATTTTCTTGCATAACCCTTTTTTGTTTTTTCTTGCATTTCCAATTATTTATTTTTAATAGATCCTACAAACACAAATGTGGTTCGGTGCCATGGTGCAAGGCAAAAAAAGTTTCTTGAGTCACCAATGTTGGGAAGTTGTGAAGGATTGTTCAAGATTCAAAATTATTTTCACAGGTCCGCCGGTTGAATGAGACGCCACTTCACGATTTTCCAGCAACCGATTCGCCATTAGACTCCCCAATGGATCAAGACTCACCACTCCCACATGCGCCGAGACCTATTGAGAGAAAGACGGCAAAGGCCAAGAGAGGGAGCACTTCGAACAATAAATGTGCATAATTTTTGGAGCAAATAGCTAAGAATGACGCACTGAGAATTGAGAGAGACTTGAAAAGAGAAGAAGCGGACAAGGCACGACATGAAGCATTTGCAATTCAAAGGCAATAGGCACAAGAACAAGACATGAAGGACAGAGAGATGAAAAGCATGGCCATGGATATGAGTCATATGTCTCCTAAAACAAAGTCCTATTGGAAGCTAAAACGAAGGGATTTGATGGACACATGGCAACCTAAAATCTTATCCGAAAATTTAATTCGAAAATTTAATCCGAAAATGTTATCTGAAATTTTAGATGAAAATTTTATAATAAATAGTGACATGTGGCAACCAAAAATATTATCTAAAAAGCAATCAAAATTAATAGTTAAGTAAAAAAAAAATGAAAATAAAGTAAAGGGAATAGTGCTTGCCTTTTCCCTTACCCTTTGGGATGGAACCAAAAAAGGTAAGGTTGACACTATTCACATGAATAGTATCTGCCATTGCCTTTTGGGGTGGAAGTGCTCTTAGAGCAGATTGATTGACTAGGCCTGAATTATTGGGCATTTACCCTTACCCCTTACCTAACATGTGGTGTTCACATGTTAGGTTTGAATGCTTGACTCTGATGTGGACTTAGCTACACGTGTGACCCACTATATAGTGATCCCATGTGAGGGTCGTGTTGAAGAATATCCCACATCGGAAACTTGACTAAATGAAATACAATATATAATAAATGACACAACTCTTAATAATACTGTGACCTTTTGTGATAAAACATCACACCTAATGGGCTTTGTAGGTGGTTAAGTTGGGGACAATATCGGTGTTGCTAGTAGTGGGCCGCTAACCCGTCTCTCTGAAATTTAACAAATTGCTCTTGCTTCATGAGGTTTTTCATTATCATATTTAAATGGATAATTTTTTGCACAAGCGATAGATTGTCTTTGTTTATGGATGTCCGTTGGGTAAAATTTTTATAAATTATTAGGCCCTTTTGCTGTCTTCCCATGAAACAAAGTGTTTATTGCTGAAAAATTAGCTTGCTTGCCAAATTATTTCTCTTCCATTGTGTACTTAAGTCTCGTTTGTTAGGGAGGACTAGACTGGATTAGACTATACTAAATTAGTAAAATGCCTATATTTCATGTGCAATCAAAGCATAATATGGATATTGTTGTCTAACTTGGAAGAGGAAGGAGGACTATTTATAAGAGGTCGATTCCTAAAACTTATCCCTCATAGTCCCACTAATTTCAAGGGGATTAAGGGGGTATAAATTTTAGTCATCAACATCTTATAGATAGTTTTCATTCTTCCTCCAAGTTAGGCAACATATCCATATTATGCCTTCAATGCACATGAAATGTGGGCATTTTTCTAGTCTAGTCTAGTCCTCCCTACCAAAGTATGACACTACCTAATACTACACAAGTTCATCAAGCATTGCCCTTTAGTTTTCTTCATGATTTGGGCACAAACAATTGGGCATATTGTTACAAGTTAGACATCTATTAGCCAAGGACGGAATTAGGAATATTTCGACGATGGGCTAGCTAAAATTTTTTGCTAGAACAAAAATATACATTAAGGCTCATTTGGTACATTGGATTGTACTAACAAATTTATGTCGGATAGTATTAATTTGTTACTGAGAGTACTGACTGTTTATCCATAATATTATAAGGCATTTGGTGCAATTACGAATAAATAGTATGACTAAGTTATACTGTGTTTGGTGATGTCCAAATAACATCGGATCAAACTATTTTTTACAAAAATTCTTTGATAATTTAAGTGAAAATTGAAATTCAAATTACACGAATTTTTTGGGTAAGATTCATATGACAAGATTTGCTTTTCAATTGTTTTTGCAAGATTTTTTTTTCTTCATATAACCCATTATCATAATTGTAGTATCTCATAAAAGCAGGCAAGAAGAGAATCAAAAGCCAGCAGTAGTAACACAAAAGGAGGCTACCAGAAAACAAACCTACAAAGCACCAAAAGTAGAAAAAAAATATACAGCAAGAAAAACACAGCTGCATGTATTGTTCTAATCGCTAACTTGGGATGATAATTTGATTATTGAGTTTGATACATGGAGAAGATGAAATATATAAAGAAAAAAAATGCATGAAAAACTCAGCGGCATGTATTGAGTTGGATACATAGCCCCATGATGATAATTTGATTATTTGATTATTGAGTTGGATACATAGCCGCATGTATTGTTCCAATACAACAAGAAAAAACTCATAACCTAATTTCCACAAAATTTAATAAAAGAGGAAATATATAAAGAAAGAGAAGATAAGCCAAAAGAAGAGAGAAAAAACATATTGGGGAGAGAGAGAGAGAGAGAGAGAGAGATGAATACCTGGAGAAGAGTGAAGAGAATAACCTTGGAGAAGATAGCAGAGAAGAACCCTAGGGAGAAGAAAATGAAAATAACGTTGTCGGATTTTTCACGTGAACTTGTGTGTTCTTTTTCCCTAGCTGTATAATTAAGCATATATTATCTAAACCAGGGTGTGTGGATTGTATTAGTTAGTCAGGTAAGGAGAGTATTAAAAGCCCAACTCGTTTAAAATAGTCAGGTAATTAATAATACAAGTTGACACCAAACACTTGATATTGACTATTTACCTTTATCCATAGTTTAATACAGTGTACCAAACGAGCTAAATCATATAAGCCATGCAATTCATAGCTACATTGACTAATTTCTAGTAAGAACCTAACATAAAACAGATACATATTATATGCAATAAAAAAAGGGAGCTAATTTTCCTACTCTCCTTTTGTCCACTTACACTCCCTTTTGCTTTTTAATCAATTTCAATATTGTTCTTTTATGTTCCCCTCTTTCCTATTCTATCCTTACCCTACATTAAGGTTTTGATAACTGAAATATTAAGAAAAGTTAACAAAAAATAAATCAAAAATAAAATTTGGAAATTGATAGAAATGTAAGTATTTGTACGTCAAATTCTTTGTTCTTTTACCAAGTATGTGAGTACTATTTATTTTTGTCATAGTTAATAGATAATAAATTATTTGGGCTAACATGTTTACAGGTAGAAGAACCAAAGAATGCTACTAACAAAATTTTCATTAGGAGCTTAGATATGCAGAGAGCAAAGTATGCATAATAGATAATAGTCTCATATTAATATTAGTAATTGATTGTACATGTCTTTTTATTAAAGGGAAAAGGAGTGTAAAGGTAGAATAGGAAAGAGAAAAAAAAATTGAACAAAATTGATTAAAAAGTATTAAAAAGCAAAAGGAAGCGTAAGTGGAGAAAATGGGAGTGCGAAAATTATCTTCCTAAAAAAAACATATTATCAAAATGAATATATGTTTAACAACATAATTAAAAGTGTACCTATTGAAGTTGTGCCCTGAGATCCTAGAGAGAATTGAAATATTTTGTTATTGTCATCTAAATCCATCTTGTTGCTAATCAACCTATCTATCAAATGATATCTTTGTGACTTTTTTGTTTCATCTTATTCGTAAAAGGGTGAATTTCATTGAAACAAATCTTTCTCTTATGGAGACAAATCAATGAAAATTTTAAAATTGGAGAATTATGGATAAGAATTTTACCTATGAGAATTTCATAACAAAGAATACAAAAAGCATCATGTATTTTTTTGGGACCGCTACTAGGGTTAAGTTTCACTTTTTTATTTTTTATTTTGACATAGTTTATTATAATCAAAGATACTTCATTATGTGGGACCAATTAGGAAATTAGGATATTTATTTCTTTATATGAGACTTCAAACTTGCACACTTCTTTACATGAGAAACTACCAAAAAGCCACAAGATGATAGGCTTAGCCAATAGGCTATATTAAGTTTAATATTTTCTTTTCCAAAAAGCTACCTAGGCTATAGTCCAGTCAGTGTAGCCCACTAGGTAGTTGTTAGCGACTTATAATTAGCTTACTGACACATATGCATGCCAAATATGAACATACATTAGTTAAGCAATTTCTTCTCTTAATTTCTAGTTTGTTGTCTCCAACATCTTTGATAAAATGCCTCGAAGAGACAAATTTGCTATTGGGAAAATTTTGGAACTTTCATTTTGATCTCATGGGGAGAAATTCTTGGACCCAGCACTTCTTAAAATGGAGGACATCGATGGTTTCTGAAATAAAACCCACGAAAATTGTAAGAAAAACTTGAAATTTTTTCCTGAAACTTTGGAAGATGTTTATTTAATCAATTATCTATTACTTTATCACAAAGGAAATGCATTGCATGATGAGTTTAACTGATTTAAGTTGATTATATAGTAAGCTGCGAGTGTAAAAAATATGTAGTAATTAATGAAAGAAGATTAAACACACTATATTCATTTATTTATAATGATTTACTACAATATTTTACACTTTCTATATTGTATGGTAAGATACATAAGTGACTTAGTACCACATAGAGTTCCTATAAGGTTTAAATTTGAGTTATTTACACTAACACCTCCTGAGATTTTTGGCTTTTTTTTTCACAAAACTCCTTGAGGTTTTAGAAATTACAAGAACACCCCCTAAGGTTTAAATTGTTTTTACAAAACTCCTTTTCGTTGATTTTTCATCCAAAGATTGATGATTTTATACAAAGAATTCTCCAAATGACAAAGTTGGCATTTGAGATTTGATTGCATATACTTCATTGAGGTTAATTTTGTCATTTGTATAATTTTTTTTTCAATGAAATCATCAATTTTTGGACAAACAATTGACGAAAATGGGTTTTGTGAAAACAAATTGAAACCTCAGGGGGTGTTCGTGTAATTTTTGAGACTTGAGAGGATTTTGTGAACACACAAGAAACCTCAAGAGGTGTTAGTATAAATAATTCTTCAAATCTTTCATTGTCTTCATCATCTTGATATTATCAATACTATTAGTGATATTATAGCGATATTTTGGTCAAATATTGCTGAAGTGTAAGAAAAATTATTGACGTCGATATTTTTCAAATTATCGATATTTATA